ATCGTCTGGGAGTAAGGACATACTGAAAATATATAATAGACATTGTTGGTAACCAGGGGTGGGAAATAACAGGTGGCTAGCTAGTGCCAGATGGCGAAAGATTATTCTAGGATTTGTGGCAGGTGAGGCCCTGCTAGTGCAAAGTGGCTAGAGAGGCTCTATCTATGAGTTGGCGCGAGGGGCGTGGTAACCTTCAACGGTGATAGGACGTTGGCCTCTCCATGAGTAGACAGGAGGGGTATTTGGCAGTGACTGGTGTCGCCCTCTCTATATAATTTGCGAGGCGACTAACTATGATTTGGCCCGAGGGGCGTATAGTACCTCAAAGTGGAGGATGGGAGACCGCTAGGACTAAGGAGCAGGGAAAAATATCTAAAAGGCCGTGTTGACAATAAGGTGACACAACATACCTGCAGAAAAGTGAGCCCTGGCTTCTGTATGAGAGAAAACAGGGGTCTCTCAAGTAGGGGGGGGCTTAGATTAGATGACCCGTCCATGGGTATTCAGGGTTCCTGGAGGTATGAGAATTTAGATAAGGTACTCTTGTAAGACATACATATAAGACTGTATAACTGAAAGTAGTAAGCGCTTAGGGGGTGACTGCAGAGAGTACTGACCCCCCTATAGACACAATGCTCCCAGTAGCCATGTTTCCTTTAACATTAACAGGGATTAATTATCTTAAAACTTTAAAGTTTACAACTAACAATGCAGATTTCGTATGATATTATCTAAACACCAGTAAGTAATGCATATACTATTATAACTGCTATATCTGTAAAGCATGAAGTACCTATATATGTATTTAACACGAGTTCTACTTGCAGTAATTTATATACAGAACCCACACAGCATTTAATCGAATTATAGGCATTGTAACTGAGATATGTTGTATTACTCTCTTAATGGCTGAAACTAGGAGTCAGCCAGCACCAGACCAGCACAATACCCTCCCTCCCCTTTTAACCTGTGCAAATAGCAGACCGGATTTACCCAGACAACCAGCCCACCTCCCCCCTTTCCTGTGTAATGCCGGCGGGAAACAGGGACTCCTTACGGTAAAGGAGTCTCTGAGGTCTGTTCCTGCCTGTGCCGTGTAGTTTACCCCCGACAAAAACCAGCCCACCGTCCCCCTCAATCTATGTAATGCTGACGGCCGGCGGGAACAGGGACTCCTTACGGTAATGGAGTCTCTGTGCCTGTTCCCGTCCGTGCCGTGCTGCCCAGCGAGTAATGTTCCCCCTGGCTCACCGCCCCATTGAGCTGGGGGAGCCGGTCGGGCTGGGGAGCCGGTAGTGCCAGAGAGCCGGCGTGTAGGTGCTGGCATATGCCGAGTACTCACGACGTGACGTTGAAAAAGCACTGTGCCTCACCGGAAGTGACGTAGCGCAACAGGAAGCCGGAAGGGAAAAGGCCGGCGAGTATCACGCTGTTCGTCTAGACCAACGAAGGTAAGTAAGGGAAGGGGGGAGTCCCTTAAGTAGGTTTATAGCCCCTCCTACAACTTCTGGCCATGCCTTCCAATATATATATATATATATTTATATATATATATATATAGGCAATTGAAATAGTTGGCTGTACTCTGAGATTTCCTTAAAACTTAACTTTTATTGAAATATTTAAGAGATCAACGTTTCAGTCCCTCTTGTGGACTTGCATCATGATGAAAGTCCACAAGAGGGACTGAAACGTTGTTCTTCTCTTAAATATTTAAATAAAAGTTACGTTTTAAGGAAATCTGAGAGTGCAGCCAACTATTTCAATTGCCTGGATACTGGAGCCCTGATGATGCACCCGGTCACACAACTTTGAAGCCTGAGTGCAAGGTACAACATATATTATTGATACATTTTTTTTTTAAATTCTTTAATTTTGTAGTGCATGAATAAAGTACAGGATTGTTAAGACATCTTAGCGTAAGCACGTTTAACAAGAAAAGTTGGTCTCACATGTCATAGATGCTGCACTTTTTTTTTAAAAAGGTAGATAAAACATAACAAGTTAAACAGTATGGCATTAGAATTAAATCAATAGGAGAGAGCTGATATGCAATTATGTATGCCATATCGGATTAAGGTCCCTGAGCCCTCGGCATCACACAGCCAGCTAATCAAGCGTAGGTATCCACTGTACTGGCTGCATGGAGAGTCACCCCAGTCCCCAGGTAGAGATCCCCATCTCCCACCGCCGGTCGGTTAGAGTCCCCATTTTCAGTCATGAGTCTGTTGGCGGACAGCCATGAATCAGCCTTGTGAGCCCAGTCACTCCTCAGAGCCAGGTGTTGTGTGTCGCTTGAGGTTGTGGAGTGACTTGAAATTTCTCCATGTTGCGGGAGCTGATGCTGCAAAGCCAGGAGGTGGCGTGTGGAGAGGGAGAGGTCGGTGCTTCCGGCAGTCTGCCTCGGTGTCGATTGTTAGCACCCATGTGTGACACAGACAGTGTTGCCCTGCCCTGCCTGCATGGGGCGCCAAGAGCCCGAGAGAGACCACCATCTCTGTGGAGGAAGGAATAGACTCCGACGCCATCTTGTTCGGTAAGCAGGTCCTCCAATGCAAGTAGCTGGCATTGCTAGTAAGCTGGAAGTAGGGCTTCAGGGTGGACCGGGATGACTCCCACCGCTCCAAAGGGGGGGAAGCAGGGCCATCGCCTAGCGGAGTCGAGGGTCTAGCTTGTTTCTGGTATGCAGGATAGCAGGGTGGCGGCCGTCCACCCCACTCACTGCTGGATTAGACCTTAGGCACCAAGATTAAATTTCTCCCCTTAGGGGGCCAAGACTTCGGTTTTGAGACGATCTTTAGGACCAGTACCGCTTAGTGCATGTGGTGGTAGCTTATTGGTGCCTGGTATAGGATCAGACCGCCTTTGTGGGCCAAAAGGCTTGAAAATGCTGGGCGCTGTTCTTCCATGCGACTTGTGTGCATGGCGTTCAGCCCCCCCCCCCATATTATTGATACTTTTAAGCCTGAGTGCAAGGTACAACATATATTATTGATACATTTCTTCTTCTAATTCAAAATATTAGTTCTTTTAGGGTAATTAAATTATACAGTAAAGCATACTCACACACAGACACAGACAATCTTACTGATGCATACAAATAGGCTCATTGACAGACAATCTCAATGACACACACAGACAAGGTTACTGGCACACACACAAATTTAGTACAGACAATCTCTGATACACACACAAGCTTACTACAGACAAGCTCACTGACACACACATGCTCACTACAGACAAGCTCACTGACAAACATATGGTCATTACAGACAAGCTCACGATCACACTCATGCTTACTACAGACAAGCTCACTGTACACAGATGCTCACCACAGACAGGCTCCGACACACCCATGCTACTTACAGACAAGCTCACTAACACGCGCACACACACATATGATCCCTACAGACAAGCTCACTGACACACATACAAGCTCACTCACTAGCAGGCACACACACACACACACAAACTTACTAGCAGGTGCACACACACAGAGGCTCCCTCACCAGCAGATGCGAGCGCACACACACACACACACACACACACACAGAAGCTCGCTCGCTCACTCACTAGCAGATCCACACAGAGGCAGACAGTCACTGACACCGAGGCAAACATTCACACATACAGAGACAGACAGACAGCACACACACACACACAGACACACAGGCAGACAGTCAAACACACAGGCAGACAGCCACATACACATGCAGACAGCCACACACTCACTCACACACACAGGCAGACAGTCACACACACACAGTCACACAGGCAGACAGTCACACACACACACACAGTCACACACACAGGCAGACCATCACACACACACAGTCACACACACACGGACAGTCACACACACAGTCACACACTCACAGGCAGTCACACACACAGAAAGTCACACACTCACAAGCAGTCACACACAGTCACACACACACTGTCACACACTCACAGGCAGTCACACACACACTGTGACACACACACAGGTAGTCACACAAACTACCAGCGTGGCATATCCGACTTTCCACCTTGTGCCAGAAGTCCTCAAAGATTTCGCCCAGCCTGGACAGGATATCAAATCTACCCCCTGAGAAGCAGGGGACCCTGTAGCCTGTAGGGTGGAGGTAGCAGACCGACAAGCCTGTTGTAGAGAATAGAGAGAGAGGAGAGCGGATGTCCGTAGGCTCCAAGTTTTGATGCCGGCTCATGAAGGCTAATTATTGCAGGTAAGGTATCCTCCGATTTGTCAGTTGGCTACCAGTGTGAATAATTCACTGAGGGGTAGTTTCAGGCTAGTGGGTCAGGGATTTCACTTAGTTGTTGCAGATAGTGCAGGAGCCCACTCAGCACACGTCTGATCGGCTTGGCGGCTAGGTTCTGCCCCAGTTCCAGGCTTTTTAAGTCATGTGAGACAAGGTTGTAACCTGTGCTCCACACAAAAATTAATATATCTCTGTAAGTGTAGTGTTTCAAGCAGAAACTCTGGACATACAGACTCCTTTCACCATGACCATATGATATCACTGAAGTGGTTGTGGTGATTTGAGTAACCCTTTAAATAAAAAGGTTTTTTTTTTTACTTTCAGATCATCAGTCTATATGAGGATCTCAGCCAGCCCAGGGCTTCCTCATAAGGAAACAATTGGAGGCTAGTGCGCATGTGCAGCAAATTAATGTGCGAATCAGAACCAAGTTTGACTTGGCTCTCTCAGCGGAGTAGGTCTAGTTGCCACCAGTATGACAACCACTGAAAGTGTGTTAAACCCTGCAATGGAAGCAATGCAGTTTCTACAAAATGACAATGTTTTACATTGTAGGGTTAAAACTAAAGCAGATGGAGCAGTCTGTGTGCCTTTATTGGGCCTTTAAACTAGGCCTCCAAGCACCAGGTGGCGCTCTATCCACCGCAAACCAGTTTGTACGTCAATTCTCTATGTGGACGCTTGGTGGTTGCACGCGCGATGACGTCAGTGAGCGCTGTGATTGGCTGAATTTGAAAGATACAATGCGCGGGAAGCGGAAGTTCCAGGTCTGAGCAGATGACCGTAAGATCCTGAAATCAGGAATCCGACTGAGGGGGATTTACTGTCCCGGAGTAGGTTAACAGAGCGGAGCCAGGAGCCGAGTGACCGGACATCATGAAAACCGCGTAAGTCGGAAACTGAAAGCTTGATCCCGGGGACCGGTCCGTGTGCAGAGCGCTGGTCGTCGGGCTGTACCGCACTATAATAATCTGACCCCTTGCACCATAATAATCTGACACTGTACCCCAATCTGACCCCCTGCACCATAATAATCTGACGCTGTAATCTGACACTGACCCCCTAATCTGACACTGTAAATCTGACCCCCTGCACCATAATAATCTGACACTGTACCCAATCTGACCCCCCTGCACTGTGTACCCCCAATCTGACCCCCTGCCATCTGACACTGTACCCCCCCCCTGCACCATAATAATCTGACACTGTACCCTCTGACACCATAATAATCTGACACTGTACCCCAATCTGCACCCCTGCACCAAAATCTGCCACTGTACTGACACTGTACCCCCTGCCATAATCTGACACTGTACCCCAATCTGACCCCACCCATAATAATCTGACACTGTACCCCAATCTGACCCCCTGCACCACTAATAATCTGACACTGTACCCCAATTTATAATAATCTGACACTCTCTGCATTATAATAATCTGACACTGTACCCCAATCTGCCCCCTGCACCATCAATAATCTGACACTGTACCCCAATCTGACCCCCTATGTAATCTGACACTGTACCCCAATCTGACCAGTCTGACACTGTACGCCCCACTAATAATCTGACTGTACCCCACCCACATTGTGTACTATCTGACTCCCCACTTTCATAATAATCTTCAAACTCCCCACCTTAATAATCACTGTACCCCAATCTGACTCCCCGCACTATAATAATCTGACACTGTACCACAATCTGACTCCCACTACTATAATAATCTGACACTGTACCCAATCCTGATCCCCCTATAATAATCTGACACTGTACCCCAATCACGGCCCCATAATAATCTGACACTGTACCCTAATCTGACCTCCCTTTATAATAATCTGACACTGTACCCAATCTGATCCCCCCTTTCAGTCAATCCGACATATTGACATAATCCTGACTCCCCGCACCATGTACCCCAATCTGACTCCCCGCACCATAATAATCTGACAGCACCATAATAATCTGACACTGTACCCCAATCTAACTCCCCGCACTATAATAATCTGACACTGTACCCCAATCTGACTCCCCCGCACTATAATAATCTGACACTGTACTAATCTGATCCCCCACACTAATAATCTGACACTGCCCCAATCTGACCCCCAATAATCTGACCCATCCCCCGCACTAATAATAATCTGACACTGTACCCCAATCTGATCCCCCCGCACTATAATAATCTGACACTGTACCCCAATCTGATCCCCCCGCACTATAATAATCTGACACTGTACCCCAATCTGACTCCCCCCGCACCATAATAATCTGACTCCCTCCCGCACCATAATAATCTGACTCCCTCCCGCACCATAATAATCTGACACTGTGCCCCAATCTGTCACCCTGATAATCTTATAACCTGCGCCCTAAAATCTGATACTCTGAGCCCTGATAATCGGACACCTTGTGCCGTGAGCTAAAACTCTGCACCCTAATCTGACCCTGTCAGATGGCCTATCATCATGAAGTGTAACTTTGTATGAAGCTCAGTACTGGGCACCAGTGTATTAGTTCATTTTGTGTGTGCTGCTCACACTGAGTGCAGGAGGGCAATACTTGGGTCCAGTGCCATGTTTACCCAATATTGTGCCAAGGTCTGCTTTTAACCTTGCTTATGTCAGACAGTGTTTATTGGTAACCTCTTTTGGTCAAACATGAAGTGTATGATTTTTTTTTTTTTAGCTGGTTGCTTCCCCTTGTGCAGCCAGTTCTTAAATGGTTCGGCTGCTTACTCTGGGAGGATGGTGGATTTTCTTGGCACCATAACAACTACGTCAGGTTGTTACGGTGCTTGAAGTACTCTAACCCTAGATAAGGGACCTACTTTGTGTTAAAGGAACACTCCAGACCTCATAACTTCATCTCATTGAAGTACGTATGTTTCTAAAGCTTTCTTCACAATCGGTGGCCACTGAAATGCTGAGAGATATGGGGCAACACAGATGGGCACCAGAACGTTTTGAAAATTATTTAACCTTATAAGGGATGACTGGCCAAGCACTATTGACAGGCACCCATCACCGCCTCTTCTGCATCCAGAAGCTACACTGAGCTAAGTCATACAAGGCTGGCTTCAGGGTGCAGAAGGAGTGGCAACGTGAAGCTGTTCTTAAAAGGGGCTACTTGTTAAAAAGGACGCTATATGTACCCAGATTACTTCATCTCAATGAAATGGTCTGGGTACAGTGTCCCTATCCCTCTTATTCCTGAAGTGTAAAGCATTGCAGTTTTAGAGAAACTGCAATGTTTTAGATATATAGATATATATATCTATCTATATCTCTATCTCGTGTTTGGGAGTGGTTTTATTTAAAAAATAAAACAAACAATATGTCTCCTCAACAATAGGTCTACTGAGTTTCCCCTATTTACAGCTGCATTAAATCATGTCAGTAGTCCATGACGCTTTAAGTGCATTCTGGCATCTCCATTCTTTGAATAGAGCTGTACATTAGACTGCATGCATGACACCATGAGGGATATATTGTCAATGTACACATTACAATTACAACATGAAAAGAAATTTGCTGTGGCTGACATACAATTTAAATAAAAAAAGGCTTAAAAAAAAAACAAAACAAAAAAAAACACAAGAACTACTTATAGCCAACTTTCAGTTCACTTTTGGTTTTACAAAAAATAAAAAAAAATACCATATTACACTGCAGATTTTATAACATTTTGTTTTAAAGGAACACTCCAAGCACCATAACCACTGCAGTAGTTTGATTGCTTACCTGAGGTCTGCTCGGGGCTGCTCTGTCATCTTTATTTCCTGTGGAGAGCTGGAAAGGAAAGCTCTAAAGCAGGAGCTTGTCCTCTTTCTGGACCGAATTCATGCAATGTCACTCTCAGCCAAAAGACAAAGCCCTCTACCGCCAATCTTAGCTCTGATAGAGAGCTTCTGGCTCACCACTGGATGTAAAGGAGGTGGCGAGGAGTGGCACCTGACAAACTGTAGTAGTTATGGTGCTCGGAGCATTCCTTGAAAGCGGCTTTGTCACCCCACAAAAAAAGTGCGCATTTCATAAAGATAAAATCTTTAGGAATTGCTCATAAATATTGTTTTGGAATTTCATTGGAATTCCAGTGCAGCTATATTATAAGACAAAATAGGGACTACTTTGTCTTATGGTAAATTCTCTGCTCGACTAAAGCTACCACTCAAGTTTTATCACTTCCCCCAGACTATGGCTGAGGGAATAATGCATTATCTCATTCATTGTTGGGTAATGTCTTTGGAGGCTCCCGCTGTATCCCAAGATCTTCGATAGATATTGGTGTGCAAGAGTACAGCACTGGATGAAGTGCCATGAGCTGAAGATCGATGTCTGCGTGGGACAGCATCGGGTAAGTATAACATGCCTGCACTGCCCATCCTTATTCACTAAACACCCAAAAAATTTTGCCATGTAAGTATTTGCTAAAGGTTTTAGTGAGTAACACCACTGGTGCAAGGGTTCAGACTAGCCCTTGAGACATTGAAATTAAATGCTAACAGGTCGAATGGTTTAGCAATTGGTTCAACAAATTTTACTTGATGGAGGAGTGAGGGTGTAGCAGTGGTCTGGTAACCTGTTAAATCAAAGCTGTGTTTCTGTCTTGTTAGATGTTTTGTTTGGCAGCAGGCAGCCTGCCTGAGTTCAGGAATGTGTTGACCCTGTTGGGTGGAGTAAGCAATTTAATCCCTAAATGCATTGCGAGCTCGGGTTTGAAAAAGACACAAGCACATTCTGTAACGATAAATCTCATCCTCTACTCCTGAATTGCATGTACCAAGGAATGTGCTGGCGATTGTGACGTGTCTGTGGTGTATTTAAAAAAAATAAATAAAAAAATTTGGGGTGTTTGTAGTAAATTGCCAATCTCAACAGTAACCTGTACTTTTATATCTGGGGCAGAAACACCTCCCTGGCTGACATTCAAAAGCCAGGGTGGTTTTCGTCTATTTTAGGTCCACAGAGCTGACAGAATCAGGAGACGAGCGTTCTTGTTCAAACCTTACTCTCTCCATTGAGGTGTCTTATTGCATATTGAAAAGCATAGGGAAATTGCAATTGTGCACCATAGCATCTCCAGGACCGAGGCTTCTATATGCGATGCCTCTGAAGTATTCCCTGGGGAAAGAGGGGAGAGCTGCAGAGGCCAAGTCTGTATCTTCGGCAAACTGATTTTAGAAAAAATGCAGAAGGTGTTGTCTGATAAATAGGATTTATTATCCTTTAAGGAGATGTTGCTGAAGTTGAGTGTTTTTAAAACCTACTCTGTATGCAGTCCGGCCATGCTGTTAATTTGCTTGAAGTGTCTGTAATTGAACTTCTCGGTATTGGTGGATTTTCTGAAATTTGATGCACTTGAGACTTGTTTAATGTCTGACAGAATGTATGAAAATGGGGCGTTTTTATTTTTAAAGTGGCATTGTGACCCAATTCTGAAGGAGTGTAGCCACATGGATGGCCGGCACACATGGATTTAGTTAGCTTGAAACTCTTCTGGACTGACTTATGTTAATCCTGTGCTCAAAAAAACTTGTCATTAGTGCATAATGGTTGATGACCTAATCTGCTTCTTTACTTGCAGGAAGCGCTATGAGCCTGCCAGTCTTTAGAACTTTGTGTGCACGGGTGGCTCGTGCACACAATTTAATGCAGTGCCCAATGTACTCCCTCCGAGTCTCTCTTCCTGCACACATCCCACGGTCTTCACTTCCGTGTCTTTCTCTATCAGAATTTGGTGGATTGCGATGCCTGGCAAACATTCGCCCTAGGTCCAACAATGCTTTTTTTTTTTTTTTTTTAATGGGGAGCATTTGGTTGGACCTTAAAACAAACAGCGATGATGTGAAAGTAAGCAGCTCCAGCGCAATTTAGTTGTTTGCCTACTGTAGTGGTTGTTATAGTAGGAATACCTTGGTGCCATTGCAGCGCATGCGCATTAAGTCACCCCGGCTGACGTAGACGTGGGTGAAGCGTAGGCGGAGCCTGACCAAGCGCCGAGGGACATTGGCGCTGGATTCAGGTAAGTCACTGAAGGGGTTTTAACTCCTTCAACAACATGGGATGGAGGGAGGGGGGCACTGCAGGAACCTGCAGTGCCAGGAAAACAGATTTGTTTTCCTGGCACTGGAGAGTCTCTTTAGCGGTCTTACAGATTTTACCTGGGTCCACCACTGGAGCCTAATCTTCTCAAGCAGATTTACAACATCTGACTTCTGAAGCCGTTTGTCGGCCATTCATTAGCTGACAGCTCTCAGCCAATGAATGCAACTCTATGCATAGAAATATATGCACACAATTGGCATTATTTAGACCGTACGAAACGCTTGTTCTGGACTGGCTAATGAAGCTGCCTGAGGTAGTTACAACTTCCAACCGTCAATGGGTTAAAATCTATATTGACTTACAGACTCAAGGTTTCCTGACCACTTAAAGCGGCACTGTCATGGCCGAATCCTGTCTTTTTTTTTTTTTTTTTAAACCCCCTCCCGACTCCACCACATCTAACTGACCCCTTAGTCGCCCCTAAGCCCCCCATATTTCCTATTTTTTAACTTTATTTTCTGCCCCGATCTATATTCAGGGCGCCGCCATCTTTGTGTGGGTAGATAAGGTCCCCGTGGGACACATCATCTGCCCACACTAGATAGCGATGTGAGATTCCCGCACATGCCCAGTGAAAAACTTGGACATGCGAACGGGAATTTCGTCTATTCATTCGTCACCAAGCCGAATGAATGACTAGAAGTTTCAAATGAACAAACACACACTGAATATCAGTGTTCGTTTGTTCATTCAGTTTATTAAAAGGAGGGAGCTACCAGCTCGCAGCTCCCTCCTTGTAATTTGTAAAGACAGAAGCGGAATCTGAGTCATTTTACATAGTGTGGGAAAACTCCAATCAGAGTGTTCTTAGCCTTATTGCAGAGCTCAGTCTGCGCGGAGCCCTCCATGGGTGAAGATGGATTTTTTTTTTTTTGATTTTTTTTTTTGCGTTTGTTTGTTTTCTGCGCTCCTGGTTTTTTTTATTTTAAGTTTGGGTATTATAGGTTTTTTTTTTAGGGGGGGGGAGGGAGGCGGGATGGGGCTAAAAATTGAAGATTTTAGAAGAAAGAAGACATCAAATGGTAAGTTTTGTGTTTTTTTTTTTCCTTTACGGTTAGTTATTTTATTCCCCTCACAATTTTTAGGGTGTGGGGATGTAGGTAGGGGATAGCTTTTATTTGGGGGGGGTTGGCTAGGTGATTTGTCATTTTGGGCCCCCGCCCAGGGGTGGGAGAGCCGGGGGGAGGACAGTAGTTACCCCTCCGCCCCGCCCATTATCCTTTATGGCCCCCACCCAATGCTCAGGGGTGGGGGCTGGGGGGGAGGACAGTAGGTCCCACCCACCCTCATTTTCCTGTATGGCCCCCCACACACTGCTTCAGGGGTGAGTGCTGAGGGGGGGGGAGGACAGTAGGTCCCACTCCCCCTCATTTTCCTGTATGGCCCCCACACACTGCTCAGGGGGTGGAGGATGGGGAGGGAGGACAGTAGGTCCCACCCCATTGTGATTTATGGCCCCCACCCATTTTATTCCCCCCTCACTATTTTTAGGGTGAGGGGAGTAGGTAGGGGATGGTTTTTATTTGGGTGGGGGGGCGGGTGACTAGGGGCTTGGGGAATTTGTCATTTAGGGCCTCCACCTGTCGCCAAGGGGAGAGGACAGTAGGTCGTGTGTGTCCACCCCCCCCCACTCATTTTCCTTTAGTCCACCGCGCAGGGGTGGGGGGAGGACAGTAAGTTGCCGTCCCCCCAATTGTGATTTATGACCCCCACTCACTGCACTGGACAGCAGGTGTCCTCCTCCCCCCCTCTCATTTTCCTGTATGACCCACACCCACCGCTCAGGTGTCTTCGTCCCCCTACTGTGATTTATGGTGCGCCCTCCCCCCACACACACACATCTATCTATCCCTACCCCTCCCGAGCGTCAGATAACGGACCAAAGCTCTGTTTCAATTCAGGAAACCCTCTAGTGGCTTTCTGGTAGACAGCCGCTTTCTATGGAACTGCAATATTTTTTTGCATTGCAGCACTAGGTGCAAAATGGACATTACACCCTACACTGTAGTCACCCAGAACTCTTCAATTTGTTGAATTGGTCTGGGTGCCTACAGTGTCTCTTTAAGCTGTACTTGTTCTGGTGACTATAGTGCCATTTTAAGAGTTTCAAACACATGAAAAACAGATTTATTCATTAAATGGTGTATTGTGGTGATTTTGGAACCAAATACAAAGTTTTTGCTAAATTAACTAAACCTGTGACTAGTGGAATTTGAAATTGTATACCATAATTGGCTATTTTAGTTTCTAGTCACTACAGTTAGTATTTAGTTAAACTCCGTCTACCAGTGGTGTATAGTTTCACTTGGACACATTTGTCTATTGTTATGGCTTTGTATATGTTGATTGGAAGCAAACGGTATCTATTGAAACCTGATTCCTCTCTTGAACTAGTGTTATAGAAACTGCTGATACTACAAGACATGTATCTTTTTACCTTTTAGGGTAAAGGGACTCTCCGTCCACCCTGTGGTGCAGAGAGTTTTCCTGTCTCTCTGCATACAGTTGCATAAATCTGCAGTGGTATGCAAAAGTTACTAAAGCTGCAAGCTGCCCCCCTTCTCCTTAGATGGCAGAGGAGGAAGCTTCACTTCTCTGCCCATACAAAATATTTGCATGTTGTACAATAAAGGGACATTCCAGACACCTAAAGCACAAGTGTCTTCTGTGGATCTGCAACTTTTGCATGCTGTTTTAAAAAAAAAAAATACCTCTATTGAATGCATTCTCGTTTTCATTGGGGTTATATTTACTAAGCAGTTTTGCTTTTGGACAGTGTCCGATGCTTTGTGGGACATACAAAGTTAAAATGTGAATCTGTACATTTGTTAATGATACTGCTTGCTTCCAGATATTATTGCTACTTTTATTTATTTTATTTTTTTTAAACATTAAACTTCTTGTCACATAGTCATGTTCGGAAAATAAAAAAAGCTATAATTTTTTAGGTTAAGTAGCACTTTCATTTTATACACAAAGATGTATTTCTAACACTAACGTGTTCGTCTGTCCCCTCCTAAATCGGGCATTGTAAAGGGTTAAATAAACCCTTTATTCATTAACCCTCTTCCAGCATCGATGTCCTTCTGCGCAGGGTTCTGCTCCGCCTCCTTTGATGTCAGATGATGGGTATCCCAATGTGCATTTGCGTGTTGCCTCAATGCTTTCCTTGACTCTCGATGTCCTCATGCAGAGCAAGAGGATGTTTAGCATTGTTTCACAGAAAACTCTGTGAAACTCCAGGAAGCGCCTCTAGTGGCTGTCTGTTTGACAACCACTACAGACAGGCTTAGTACTGCAATGTAAACATTGTAGTGTTTTACGTTACAGGACTAGGGAGGACAGGGCATTGCACCCAGACCACTTCAATGAGATGAAGTGGTTTGGGTGCATATAGTTTTCCTTTAAAGATCCCCCTCCTCACATTGTCACGTCTCCTTCCCTTTAGTTCTTGGCAGATTGATGTGAGTTTATTTTTATTTTTTTAAGAGTTTCTTTATGAAAGTGTTTAAACAGATGTACAGTCTTGTGCTCCATTCCTCTGTGTACCCAGGAGCAACTTCCTGCCTCAGGACAATAAAAGCTTGTTCACTATTATCAGGTGACTTATTTGTATAAGGTTTGTACTGGTTATGTTACCATATACAGTTATAGGAAAATTGCTGCACACGCAAATGAACTATGTGATAATGGGTTGGGGGGAGGGGGAGGAGAGTGAAATCTTTAATTGAGACAAATATTACTTTAGCTTATGATTTTATTTTTAAATGATTTTGGATCACCTCTTTCTCCACCGAATGTATTTTATTTTTCTTCTAGCCGGACTAAAACTCCAAGGAGACCGCCTCACAAAAAACCATCTAACTCGGACCAGAAAGATCCAGTGGGGGTGAGATTACTTATGTGGAGATTTTACAAAGATGTTCCACTTTGGTAAAAATGTGTTGCCTCTCAATTCCACTTTTCCAAGCTATTAAACTTGCTTTAAAAAAACAAAACCAAATAAGGTTATAAATATGTACAAGCATCATTACATTAATCTGATATTTACCGTGTAAATGGCAAATATTTGGCGTATCATATCGCATACATTGGACTTTCTTAACTTTTTCAGAATGTCCTTAAGTCTACTTTGGATGTACACCTGTTCAGAAAATAAAATGTAAACATGTTCAGAATGGTGTTCTTTCTTTATCTATTAATTTTGTTTAGTTTTTGTGTTCTCTGTGGGGTGGCTAAGCTGACCAGCCTGCTCATGTTTTTGTAGAGAAGCCATGTGTGTTGTAGCTAGACTCCCAAGATAGCCCTTAATAGGCAGCTATCTTGGCTGAAATAGATTGTCAGAATATACACAGGAAAATAACTCACACATCTCTTCTCAGGTTTATTGCAGAGTGCGACCTCTCTTCCCACCTGATCAAGAATGCTGTATTGAAGTTATTAATGAAACCACATTGAGGCTGCATCCTCCAGATGGCTTTAAGGTTAACCGTAATGGGGAATATAAAGAGGTAAGTGACCACTTTTAGCTGATCCTGGAATCACTATATTGCATAAAGTAGCCCATGGTTCCTGAAACAATCGTTCCTAATTTACAGTTTGTCAACAATGTAGCCAATATTATCAATATGTCTATCCTGCTGCGTTTTATGACCCTGTCAACCATTGTGCTTGTTTCAGACACAATATTCCTTTAAACAAGTATTTGGAACTCAGGTGACTCAAAAGGACCTTTTTGATGTTGTTGCAAAACCTCTGGTGGAAGATATAATTCATGGCAAAAATGGTATGTATGTGACTGCTCACAAGCATTGCTTTAGTTTAGTTGGATGTTTTTGTGGGTTTTTTTTTGTTTTTTGTTTTCAATCTCAAATTCCTGTTTTGTCACCTAGGGCTACTTTTCACATATGGGGTGACAGGAAGTGGGAAGACTCACACAATGACTGGGTCTCCTGGGGATGGAGGACTCCTGCCACGATGTCTGGATATGATCTTTAACAGTATTAGTAACTTCCAAGCAAAGAGATATGTAAGTATTCATTCTGTCTGCAACCTTCCGTCTCCATTATGGGAGCATCTACTTTATTTAGAGATACTGCTTTCATTGTTTTCGTTTAATTCATGTTTCTTTGTTTTGTTTTGTTTTTCTTGTTTTTTTTTTTTTCTCTCTCTCTTAATTTTTCCCCATCTATTGTACGTTTTTGTACGCTTATTTAAATCTAGTGTTGCCTGGTTCCTTGCTTTGCTGCTCTCGACCTTATGTGAATAGGTTAAAGAACATTGCCGGATGTGGTGGCATATTTTTAGTTTTTGGGTTGATGTTGGGGCTTCTCTTGTGGTTTGGTGTGTTTATTTATTTGTGGTGTGTAATTCTTTTTATTCAAATGGTTCCCTTGCTGAATATAATTTGTATTTCATACAAAACACCTTTCAAAATTGTGTAAACTAGGCTTACTTGTCCATAAAGCTGGCATTAAAACAACCCCCCTGTGATCTGTAGGTTTTTAAGACAGATGATAGAAATGGCATGGATATACAGAGTAATGTGGATGCTTTGTTGGAAAGACAAAAACGTGATGCACCAACACAGATCAGCAGAACGCCTCTAAACCGGTAAGTTCAGCTCTCTTCTTGTAAGTAATTTAGTCTTGGCCTGTGTTTTCTATTGAATTATGTATGTTATCCACAGGCAGAGGATCGAACCTGAATTTGCTGACATGATAAACATTCAGGATCATTGCAAAGTTGAAGAGGTGGATGAAGACAGTGTATACAGTGTTTTTGTATCCTACATTGAGATCTACAACAATTACATCTATGACCTCCTGGAAGAGACTCCTATAGACCCAATCAAGCCAAAGTGAGCAGTGTTCCACGTGAACCCATTACATTGTTACTACTTTTTTGTTTGTTCTATTTTAGAATTTAAATGCATAGACATGTGACGCAGCATCTTCTCACTCCCACACATCAAAATGCCTTACAACTCGTTTTAAGAGCGATTCTTTTTCACATAGAGCTTGTTCACAGAAATGTATCAACCACATTTCCTTTTTAAACTCTAATTCAAAACAACTTAATGAATACATTTTAAGAAAATTAATTTGTAAAGTAGCCATGTAGTGAGGGGGAAAAAATCCCATAGATGGTTGTAGTGGTTATGCCAGGAGTATACTGGCGTAAGTTGTGAATATGTCTGTCTGAGCAATACATAACATTTTAATTTATTGACTATTCATTGGCTAACAGTGCCAGCTGAATGTTTAAACATCAGCATCCGACTAATATTATTTGAGAATTCTATAAGCAGTGTGGCTGCCCAACAGTATCCAGGTAGTGGTTATACTATGCTAAAACGATTTGACTGCTTACACTGGGGAGGTGGCTAGCAGACTATAGTGGTTAAGTTGTTTGGAGTGTTCCTTTGAACCATGGTGATCTGCCTGTTGCTTCTCCCTCTTCTCATCATTGGTCTGCTGAGGGTATAAGTGGCATCAGTGTGCTGAGTGAAGGCAGGTGATATGCCTTGTGCCTCTGTTCACTTAACCTAAGTCTGAGTAGTAAAATCATGGGCTCATTCTAAACAATAAAGACCCTCTCTTCAAATAGTAATCCTATCCCAAAGCAATATAGTAGCATTCTAAACAAAACACTTAAAAAAATTTTTTTTTTTTTTTTTTCAAATTAGAATTTCATCTCATGTTGTTAAGTGATACCTATGTTTCTAGCCAATCACAATGCTTCGTTCACTTTGCCAGAATTCTTTAGTGATTAGACATGTATAGCAGATTTGAAGTTTCCTAAAGGGGTTATTACATTGGATCTCCTGACTTTGCACTTTCATTCTTCAAATCCTGGTATCTAATATCTTGCTGTATAGATGTTAGTCTGTATGTTGATATACTAGTGTAACATTTGTGTGTGTACTTTCTGTGTATGTACTTGTGAATGGGTTGTGTGTGTGTGTGTGTACTTTCAGCCAATATTATCAATATGTCTTATCCTGCTGCGTTTGTGTAATGCAGACAGAACTTGCTCTTAAAGATGTTTTGATCATTTTCCAGTGAATCTGATCCCTTAACTGTGCAGGAGTTTAACGTGGAGCCTACAATTTGGCGTTGAAAGTCCTATTTTCTTAATGTGGATATGTCTAGTTGTAAAATCAATTTTGTTGTCTTCCTTTTTTTCATCTTGTTCTCTTCCTTCTTGTCTGCATTGGTAGAGGTTTTTTGACAAAAGGAACTAGTGTTTCTGATTTTGTGATAAATCCACTCTAACATGTGATATTTGTTATATTTACTTCAGATACGATTTTGTCAGGCTCCATGATAGTTCAGTACGGGTTCTGTTCACTACAATGCACCAATGTGATGCAATGTAGAGATTATAACCTGTTCCTATTCCTTTGTCAGGTGGAACACCCCCGGGAAGAACGCAGAGTTTATGTATGTTGTGCAGTTTGTACTTTTCCCTAAGCCCTGTGCTTGATGTTGTAGGTTGCCCTGTGCCATCATTTCTATGTTCTCTTATACACCATAACTGTTTTTAGACTTTTTGCCTCGTGTTGCATGTTGGCCTTCTTTTACTCCTAATGCTTCTGTTTAGTTAGTAACTTCATACTGAACATAGCTTGTCATACAATTTGACTTCAGCATAAGCTCCTCTGTTTGCAGACCACCACAATCTAAGAATCTACGTGAAGACCAGAATCACAACATGTATATAGCTGGGTGCACAGAGGTGGAGGTGAAGTCTACAGAAGAGGCATTTGATGTCTTCTGGAAAGGTGAGCGTATAACTTCTAATAGTCTGTTATGGGTGGTTCTGCTATGCATAAGTGTATGGGTGACTTGGTCTCTTTGGGAAATCAATTTATTTATTGTGCTAGCCAGATACCAAAAAGGAATAGACTATTAGAATAGGGATAGATTGAATATTGTGATGTTTCCTTAGAGTACTGTGCAAAGTGTTGATGTGTTTTAACACTCACCTTAATATGAACATGGGAGAGAACATTTTTCACCCTAGGGTCTTCTAATTCAATCTTTAGTCAAATTATATGGAATTTCACATGGCAAACCAGAAGTGTCTGTAAAGAATGCAGATGTATATGCACATTAAACAGATTTATTTACAAAGATCCTAGCCAGATTTTCTAGATTCCACAAAACTTTGCTTTCCTACTTCTAGAGATGCATTAGGCGCCACAGCAACTTTTCTCGTTGAAGTGGTTATGGTATTTGGTAAGAGTCCTGATGTCTTAGACTTCAGTTCTCTCAAAATAGGGCTTTAAAGCTGATGATTGTAGCTCTGTGTTCAAGCACGGTCACTCGGGCACTGAGTGACACATAACACACACCTGCATTCATAACATGCTGATGTAGAGGTACTTGCAAGCACTCACTGTTGGGGAGCCGCATCTACAAATCCCAAAACTGGCTCTGTAATTTATCATGGATGTCCCTGTAGTTCAGTATTGCCATACTAACTCATTGATATGGAGGAGGAGCGTTCTTTCCAGATTACTGAAAAGGCTTGTAAGTAGACTACAAGCTCCCCTTGAGAGAACACTAAAGCCTAAGACTGGAGGGATCTTATCTTATAGACCATAACCACTTGAATAATATGGCATGGCTATGCTGCTTAGAGCAGAAGTGGGCAACTTTTGATACTCCAGATGTTGACATCTCTCCTGGTGCTTTGCCAGCATTATTGCTGCATTAGCATTATTGGAAATGTAGTCCACAACAACTGGAGTCCCGAAAGTTCTTTACCCCTGGCCTAGTGTATTCTTAGAAACACTATTGTAATATTCTGACTATTAATAAAGCTTCATCCCTGGCATTCGGATTAGTCCCAGAATACCAAATACTATCAGTGTATACAGCATGTAATGATTCTGCTGTGAAATCTGTGAGTGCATCCTTCTAACTAGCAGACAGTGTTTGGTTGCAATGTATATTTTGGTGCATCTCGGTGTAAGCTTTAACCACACTTGTTGTTTCAGGTCAGAAAAAGAGAAGAATAGCAAACACACAGTTAAACCGCGAGTCCAGTCGCTCACACAGTGTCTTCATGATTAAACTGGCACAGGCCCCACTTGATGCAGATGGAGACAATGTACTTCAGGTAACAAGTGCTCATTCAATCTGCTGGGTTCCATGTCTAGAAGCAGAGTTTTTGAGTAGGTGGCCATGACTCTAAAACATACACATCATTACTTTGCTTATTTTGTGTAGTTTGGTGTGCAATGAAAATTAAAAATTGAATAAAATGTCTAACATAAAAGTAGTTGCAAGTATACTGAAAACATAGTACAATGTACAGTGTGGTATGCAAAGAAAATACCAGACTTCCTGCTTTGATACTAGTCCAGTGTCTCCCAGTGCCAAGTCTGTGTTTAGGTAGGTTTTGGGTCTACCACCATCCCCCAATTTAACCCCTTAAGGACCAAACTTCTGGAATAAAAGGGAATCATGTCATGTGTCCTTAAGGGGTTAAAGAAAGACTTGCTCATATCAAAAATCACTTCTGTTTTGTGCAATTAAGACGATCATAAAATTTTCTCTTCAAACACATTCTTTTTTTTTTTTTTTTGTGAATCTAGATATTTAACTGTGGCAGACAAACATTTTGGGCTTCATCTCTTTGACTAATCGTACAGATTCCGTAGTTCCTGCCCCAACTCTTGAAGATGACATTTGAAGCACATAGTGTTTCCCTGCATATGCTGTTCAATTGTGATTAGTTTAGACTCATAGACTACATCTCAATTTTCGAGGGTTTTAAATGAAAACCAAAAAATGAAAGGTTAGGGCTATGAGAGATGATTCCATAGCAACCAGTAAAATAGAATAAAGTTATGAGCGAGATATATGTGTATATATATATATATATATATATATATATATATACTCGTATCCAGGATTGACAGTTGTTCAGTTGTTTTTATGAACGTTTATTTTTTGATTCCTGTTATATACCCATGATGTTTTATCTAGGAAAAGGAACAGATTACTGTAAGTCAGCTATCACTTGTGGACTTGGCTGGAAGTGAAAGAACAAATCGCACCAAGGCTGAGGGTAACAGACTGCGAGAAGCAGGTACCATTTGTGCCAGTTAAATCCCTGATCTAATCTTGTGCTAAAATACCATTGATTCCACACATTACAAATGGTATGACCTATAAAATGGTATCTCGTCCACAGGTAACATCAATCAGTCACTGATGACATTAAGGACATGTATAGAAATTCTTCGAGAGAACCAAATTTATGGAACAAACAAGGTAAGACCATTTCATAATTGCAAGGTGGGCTGCTTGTAGCTTTTCTGGCTGGTGTTCAAAGTTTAGTCCTTTGCATGTTGTATAGTTTGTCATCTTTAAGTATCAAAGCCGAATAAAGGTATGTTTAGCGCAGCAATGTCTATTTATTGGCACTACTCATTAGGCATTCTAGGAAACAAAGCTCACAAACTCTGTCCTGTGAATGTTTTTGCTATCATTTGACTAGGATATGTGAAATGTCAATGGTGTATTTGTCAGTTTTCTTTTGGGAAGAAAAGCAAAAAAATGTATCATCTACCCCACAGATGGTTCCCTACAGAGACTCCAAGTTGACTCATCTTTTCAAGAACTACTTTGATGGAGAAGGCAAAGTTCGCATGATAGTGTGTGTCAATCCAAAGGCTGATGATCATGAGGAGAGTTTGGTGAGTCAGTTGAGAAATTGAGACCTACATTGTCTTGTAAAGACAGTCTTTGAGCTCATGCATATATTTCACTTCTGGTCACAGCAAGTGATGCGGTTTGCCGAGATGACACAGGAGGTTGAAGTTGCCAGACCAGTCGATAAACCAATCTGTGGTTTGACTCCAGGGCGGCGTTATAGAAACCAGGCATTTAAGGAGGAGCTTTCTCGCAGACTGGAGGAGCGTGGTGGGCCAGTAGTTGGGGGTAAGTGTTAAACTGTAACAAGTGGTTGGTGCTCTGCTACCCTTGCCCTCCAACTTATAATCTTATCACTCTTCACAAACAGAGCCCGAGGAACAGTCTGTGATGGATGTGCTCATTCAAAGCTTTCCTCCAATCCCATCATGTGAGTTACTGGATTTGAATGATGAGCATACACTTCCACGCCTTATTGAGGTCCTGGAGAAACGACGGAGGATCCGGCAGATGATGACTGAGGAGTTCAATAAAAATGGTGAGCTATTGGGTCCTCTGGCCATTTTTAAGAGGCAGAACGGACAGAAAAAACAGCCCTTGGTTGTCTTGGATGCCAAAGTAATTTTGCTTTTCTTCCTCTGTGAACAGTGTTAGAAATTCCTTAAAGGACCACTATAGGCACCCAGACCTCTTCAGCTCAATGAAATGGTCTGGGTGCCAGGTTCATCTAGGGTTAACCCTGCAGCTGTTTACATTTGGGTTAATCCAGCCTCTAGTGGCTGTCTTATTGACAGCCACTAGATGCGTTTCCGCGCTTCTCACTGTGAAAATCAGTAAGAAGACGCTGATGTCCACAGGAAAGCATTGAGAAATGCTTTCCTATGGATTGTTTGAATGCGCGCACAGCTCATGCTGCACATGCGCATTCGGCGCTGGCATCGGAAGAGGGAGGAGAGTACCCCAGCGCCGAGAGAGCCTGGCGCTGGAGAAAGGTAAGTTTAACCCCTTCAGCTCAGCAGGAGGGGGGCCATGAGGGTGGGGGACCTAAAGACCCTATAGTGCCAGGAAAACAAGTTTGTTTCCTGGCACTAGAGTGGTCCTTTAATTTCTGAAGTTATTTTGTTATTGATTATACACGATTTTCTAATTCTTTCCAGCATCTTCCTACCCACTTTTTAATGTAATAACTACTATATACTTCTTGCAATTGGTGAATTGACATGTATACTTAAACTTGTTCTTCATTCAGTATCTTCATTCAGAGCAATTCTACAAGATGCTAATGGGGCAGTTTCTGCAAAGGAAAACTTTGTTCAAGGCAAAATGACCGAGAAGGATAGGCTTATAACATCCCAGAAATCTGAGCTTGAGCGATTGGAGAAAAAAATCAAAACCCTTGAATACAAGGTGAGCAGGCCATCTGCATGAACTTTTCGCATAGTTGTGTGTTTTTTGTTTGTTTGTTGTTTTTGTTTTTTTTCCCTCCTGTCCCCATTTATGTGGTTTGTTAAAAATGTGGAATGTGTCTTTCTTGCAGATAGATATTCTGGAGAAGACTACCACCATTTATGAAGATGAAAAACGTGCATTGCAGAATGACCTGGAGAATCAAAACCAGAAGCTGCAACGTCAGCTTTCAGACAAAAGAAGAATGGAGGTTCGACTGCAGGGGATGGCATCTGAGAATGCTTTGAAATGGGAGAAGGAGTGTGTAAGTGTTCTCACACACTTAATCTGTGAAATGAAACTAAGACTGTAAACTTGCTAGCGAATCATGCCTGGCACTTCATATGCTTAAAATCTGGGTGATCAACATATCCAAAAATCACCCAGATCTGTTCTGGAATTTCCTGGAAGTCTTTTGTTTGACCGACCGCACACATGGTCCCATGCCCAAAACCGTTCCAGAGAGTCAGGGCTTGCAGTCGGTCTAGTTCGGTAGTTTAAAAAAAGTAAAAAAAAATTACCGAACAGAATCAATAGTTCTACCCTGGAGCTTGTTCACCTTATTCCACCGAACAGTGTCTTCCTAAGTGTTATAAAACCGCACACAGGCGATCATGGAAGTCCAGCGGTGTTCAGTAGTTTCAGTATCCGAAAATAGTTCCATGAACCTCAACAACCAAGATGGCCGCCACCTTGTGGTTGTCCAAAGGAATTGCGGCCACCCAGACGAACACTTAGAACACTGAGGTGGAAATTGCTACAAAGAACAAGCTCCAGGCTGGTCTCTGGTTCACGCGGCTGTTTGGTTCCCGAACCATATAGTCTAATTACACGAGCGGAGACTTTTATATCACAGTTTACATGGTCCATAGTCTGTAGGCAGGAGGCTGGCAAGCAGGCTCTTCCAGGAACTCGTGGCAAACTCACTTTAAAAGGAGTTTATCACACTTTCTAATCAACATTTCATTATGCCAAGCTATATTATTTTTGCAATTGGAAAAAGCATCCTCCCCCTAAATTACGCATGAGATCCACAAAGTCCTTTGCATCTGACAGTCACAACTGTGTCTCCATGGGGCACCACTAGGAATCTCAATGCTTGTGGCTTCCTGGGCACCATCTTGGGTTGAGAATGCAGTTGCTACCTGTCAAAGACTAAACTTATATCAGGCAGGTGGGAGCCCTCCGAGTGGGGTACTTTGCTACTCTGCAAATGTTCTTGAATATCATGGCAAAAGGGCTGTTGTATGTGTGGAGCTTCATATACTAGATAACGTCTAGCCATGCCCCACAAAGAATTGCAATGCAACGCCATATTAATTTGCTGCCATATACACCATAGTGCTTTGAAAGCAAGAAATTCCTAGGAGAGAAGTTTCCTGCTTCTTAGGTGTGTGTGGATTTTTTTATTTTGGCACTTTTCTTTTTCTCTCCATACAGTTGATGCAGTTCTGTTCAATGTGTAATTGAAATTTTATGCCCCTTTTGTTTTAATGAGGCTTTTCCTGTGCTCTATTCTTTCTATGTGCAATATCAATGCCATCTAGATCACTCATTTATTTCAAATTCTCATTTGGATATCTCCAGTTGCCAACAACCCAATATATTGTGGGTTTTTTTTTTTTCGTTTTTTCATGTCTGAAATTCACTTGCCACCATTCTTCTACAGGAACGACGTGTGGCAGCCAAGCAGCTGGAGATGCAAAATAAGCTGTGGGTGAAAGATGAAAAACTGAAGCAACTCAAAGCAATTGTAACAGAAACAAAAGGAGAGAAGCCTCAACGGCCATCCCGAGAGAGAGACAGAGAGCCGAAGGTTCCAATAAGATCCATTTCTCCATCCCCTGTAACTGTATGTGACACTTTCTATCTGTTCTGCATGATGGTGGGGACAGGTGTGGGCACTTGTGATGTGTTGCTGCATGTTCATGGTCACATGGTCTAGAGAGGGTGGAGGGTGATGGTGGCTAACCACTGGTGAGGATTGTCTGTGCAAACCGTCATGCTTTTGCATTCAGCATTTCCCCTTTCTGTGGTCATTAATGTATTGTCTTGTCCAAAGGTAGGCAGTATGGCCAAAAACCATAATTTGAAACCTGTAATAAGATCAGCTATGTAATTCCCCTCCTATGTCGTTTGTAAAATGGTTCACTCTAGGAACTATTTTAGAACCCTAAAAAAAAATTGATAAATATTATTTATATTGAATGGAAGGTTTACTGACTTTTCCTTCCCATTTTCTAGCTGAAATTTATTTTAAAAGTACAAAGCTATTGATCCTTTGGTCCTGGAGCCGGCTGCTGTTGATGTTCTACAATATGTAGCTCCAGAAGGGCTTTGGTCTATTGTGCATGATGTGTGCTGGTTTAGATCTGTACTCAAGGGTTAACACATGGCGTAGGCCAGTGCCTACTTTGTAAGTTATAGTTGCTTCGTCTGGCACAATGTGGCCTTTTGATTAGATATTTAATTCATGATTGGGCACAATCTTTGAAGTACTGGCTTCATACACATAAGATGTGTACAAAAAAAACCTTGAATCGATAACCCATTTAACATGCGATCCATGAGACAAACTGCTATGAAATTGATTAAATGTTGTTCACCCATGAACCTTTTATGGGCCAGCACCCCACAATATCTGCTCTACACCCATATGCTATACGCTAGGTGTTGTAGGTTGACATATGGTTGTGCACACTTCTCTTTTGCCCATTTTGGAAAGCCAGGTAAGTATACCTGAATCCATGAACTTACTGGTGATTTGGCCTGGACATTGTATAGTTTTGAATTTGAACATGATTTGTGGATGACAGGCAACTTTATTGGTCCTTCAGGGGATGTAGAGATTACGGTCAACAATGAAATCTGCACGCTGGTTTACAGGTCACACTTGTCTTGTAAACTGTCAGTTTGTATATGATCTGTTGCCCTCAAGCATCATGTCATCAGAAACAGTGTTTAACTTACAATGCAGCCACTAAGACATGACCGTGTCCATGTGGAATAATTGTGAGAGAACCTCTGGTATAGAATATATATAACCTAATTGAATTTTGCTTCCCAAGCACTACCAAGCCTTACTAAGCAAACCAGTAACCAACCTCATGCTGAAGAGTTGCATTAACAACGAAACAGCTGTCCATGAGTGGTTCACTGGTTTTGCATCTTATCCTAAATTGTGTTCCAAGCAGTTGTATACTGCAAACACAAATTAAAAGGAATCCATGTTTAAAATGGAATGAGGCAAAAATGTGATTCTTTGTTAAACTAATTTGCATATGCCCACCCAGAATCCTTTGCGGTTGTAACATCACTGCTGATTTGGGGTTTCTGTGGGAAAAGCAAGTCTTATGGCTTGACTGGTGTGCAGATTTTTGTTTAGCATTGTATTAACTATCCACATACTTCAGGTGGAAGGGGTTTTCAATCACAATTTTTCCCCACCATAACCTAATTGAATTTTGATATATATATATATATATATATATATATATCTCTATCTATCTCAATGTGGTTATCGTACTCATAGCAAATTGGTAATTGATAAATCTCATATCAGGAGAGTGTTTGGAATGTGGGGTTACGTGTTCATTGTATTTGGATTAATCTTCTGTGGTCTCTCCGGTTGACTGGTTTCCCTATTCCCTAGTCACTCTACAGTCAGCCTTCCCCTGCAGAGCTGCAGCTGCACAGGCGCTCAAACTCTTGTGAAAGTTTATCCGTGGCTTCCTGCATATCACAGTGGGAAAAGAAAACTCCGCAGCACGATCCCATGAGAAACGTGTGCTCCAGCCGCAAGAGGCGGGAGCCAGATACAGCTAGAAAGTTGAATTCAGCAGAGAACATTCCACCATATGCAATGTCCAGCCAGCAGGCAGAGATAGAAGAGGATCAATGTTGCAGGGTTAGTAAGCTTACTGCAGGTGCCAAACACTTGGAATAACAAGGCTCAATCAGTCCTGGTTCTGCCGTCCCCTATGCAAGTGTTATGATTTGCCCTGACAGCATGGTTACTGCAAATATGCTTTCAATGACAAACATGCACAATTAGAACACCATTTGCATGCTTTTATATTCAGCGTATTGCTGGCTCTATTCTAACTGGTATATTCAGTAACAAACAAAATGCTGCAGAAAATACATTTTAGACTTGTTTTCTGTAATTGCTTAAAATTCACAGAATCAACATTTCTAAAACCTGCATTTTGTCAGTTTGTCTCTAAACCATGAATTTGGAGACAAAATGCATATTAAAAACCTCTCGCTGTGCATTCTGAGATTTCACAACAAATTGGTCTATCTCAGTCTCACTATTGTTATCAGTTTACAGTGAGCAAGCAGTTACCGAACACACTTGGGGCATTGCTAACTAAACTGTGAGATGTAGAAAATCTACATGTACAAATCTTAAATGTATATATTCCTGGTGTGCCGATTAAAGACAAAATGTGTAAAATAACCAGGAAGTAACAGGACCTGTTATCTGACAGTCAGGGGGATGTAACAATCTCTTTTGAAATCTGCACATTTTGTAAAATGGGAGGACAACGACACATTTTTGACACTTAAAGCACTATAGCAAGCTAAGGAGCTTTGTGTTTGAAGTATACCTTTTAAAGGACAGCTCTGTCTTAATGCTCTGATTCTGATGGCCTCCTTTTCTGGATTTAGCAACAGTGTAGTGAATCACAGCCCTGAAGAGACAAAGATCCCTTCTCCAGTATTTTTGTGCTGGAGTTTGGGTAAAGTTGTCAGTTCCTACATAAAACTTCTACATGCTGTGAGGCAGTGTATGAAAAAGCTTCCATTGCACTATGTAGAACAAATTCCGAGCCGATACCACTCAATTGGCGTTTTGACTTGACAACTTCTGGATGAAGTTCTGTGTATAAAATCCATGTTGTTGCTAATAAATAAAATATACCAGATATGAATATTTATAACAATACTATTTTGTACAAATTGCTTTTGGACATCTTCAGTTTTCAGTCCTCAAATACATAATTCTCTAGCCTCGGCCTTAACACCAGGGGTAGATGTGTGCATTAAGGAAATTAGTTGCTTTGCATGTTAAGATCATTGTTAGATTCTGCTTTCTTATGACCAATGCTCATTTTATATGGAATTGCTTTAATTGGGGTTATTCTGTGCATGGTGCTTTGCTTTATGTGATAACTTGTTTGTCTGCAAAATATTTATTTGAATTCATACAAATTGTTTTGGGCTCGAGCATTCACTCGGTCTGGCCAAATACATGATTGATGTTGTTTCAGCAACTGTGTAGTCTTTAACGTTGGCTATATGCCTTTAATTGGATATTGCAGAATTAAACTTTTAAAGGCTACCACTGCCAAGCTTTTGCGCTCGAACTGGATCAGTTTTTTTCAGTGTGTCTTCTCAAGTACACTCCATGCATGAATTCTGTCAGTATAGTGATTGACCGCATATGGGTTGGTCCATTGATGGTATCTTCACCCCAAATGTTTGCCAAATACAGTTCCAATGATACTCTGCCACCTCTATACACTGTATATTAGTGATGGAGAAACATCTGGGTTGCCAAGACTTACCACCACTGGATTAGTGTTCCAGCTTTACCTCCCTGAAACCAGAAGTGGTGGGTTACTCGAGGACAGGCATTGTTAAGCTTCCGATAGCTCAGGTTTTATGGTTGCTTGTCTGTCCTGTTCTTGCACCCTGCCTACTCGTATTTATTAGTTTCGTGTGTGTAATATTTTTTTTTTTGGCTACATCAGTTGTCTGAAACACATTTATTAAGTGAAACTTTTCAGAATTGAAACCCCCTTTTATCAAGCCTTTTGAATGCTCTTGTCCCTGCACTGGAATTAATTACTCATTGATTATACTTGTTTGTCTTGATTTGCTCTCTGGTTCTGCTTAGAATGTTCATCTGGTGCATGCCAGGCACCGCCGCTCTCGTTCGGCCGGGGCGGAGAGATGGGTAGACCATAAACCGCCCACTAACGTGGAGACTGAGACAGTCATGCAGCCCCATGTCCCCAACGCCATCAAAGTTGCCGTTGCCAGTGAGAAAGCGCTGGCAAAGTGTGACAAGTATATGCTGACACACCAGCAACTGGCTTCGGATGGGGAGATTGAGACTAAACTCATTAAGGTAATAGTCATGGGGTATTGGTGGGAGAGGGTTCCCTTATACTGTTTAAAATTTGGCAGAAATTGTTACCAAAATGTCCGTATGAATTAAATTGTTTTAACAGAACTATCTCTAAATCCTCTTCTGTATTCAATGTTTGTATTTCATTTGTCTACTGTAGTGAATTTTTCTTAATGGAAATATACATTTTACGATGTGAGTCATTATGTGTTTTGTGCGGATTCTGTCTCTTCTTTTGTCACGTTTTGGTGGTCACTCTGAGGTGTAGGGGAAGAGGTCCAACACCTACCTCATTAGGCTTCTTAGACTTCTCCAAATTTCTTCTCATAGGGTGATGTCTTCCGAACTCGTGGTGGTGGTCAAGCAGTGCAGTTCACAGATGTTGAAACACTACGGCAAGAATCTCCACCAGGAAGCGGGTGAGCCAAGAGCCTAGTCCAATGGTTAAAGGGACACTCCACTACCAAAATACAAAATAAATTAAAAATTACTGTTTGGTAGATATACACCAAATGAAAACATGCATACTTTTTATTTTACATTTTTTTTTCATTGGGGTTATATCTAAAAACAACTTGTGAAAACTGCTGCTTGTCTGCTGTCTTTGCAAACCTGCCTCTTCAAATCCCTCCCAGACTTTCTGGACCCATCTAATCACAGAATTCCCAATGCAGCTCAATGAGAAGTCTTTGCAAGGCAGGTGCTCTTCACACACAAAGCTTTTCCGCAAATGAGCGTGCTTTAGGGATGTGGAGTGTCACTTTAATCTTCACCTCTTAACTTAGATGCCTGAATCAGTCCTGAACTTGAAGCATGCCATCTGATATTTTATGGTTTTTTTTCCTTCCAGTCGCAAACGCAAATCCTCCCCAACTAGACAGCCTCAACAGGAAGAAACAGAATCAGAATGGACAGACGTGGAAACCAGAGTAAGTTCAAACATGGTAGTCTTGCATAGTGACCAAGCCCACCTATGCTGTGTTTATGTGAAAATTGGCCATGCTGTACCTGGCTAGGACTTTTTAAACCGTGCATGAGTATTGTTTAAACTGCCAACACCACATGTTAATTATGCATGGTTTCAGTAGTAATGTGTGGATTTTTGTGTTTTGCTTGAATCCCTTCTTCATAGGGACACAGTGATAATTAACTTGAATCAGATTGCAGTATGGTTACTGTAGTCTAATAAAGTAAAACTGTTTGTTTGGTATGAGGCTTGTTGATGTGCTTTGTGTGTCTGGATTCTGTAACTTGTTCTACTCAATAGTTAAATACAATTTAATGGAGTGTTCCATTTAAGCTAGATAAATACAGATCACTATTTTGATAACTATGCTGCTCATGCTACAGGTTCTGACTTATGCATTCTGTGCTTGTAAGGTATGATCTCTCAGGCTTTTGGTGGCTGGACCATTGACTTTTATATTTTCTTTTTTAAAATCTTCCTCCTCTCTAGTGTTCTGTTGCTGTGGAGATGAGGGCTGGATCGAATTTGGGTGCTGGATACCAGCACCATGCAATACCTAAGTAAGTGACCGCTTCAATTAATTTTAAGTTTTAGTAAGAGGTTGGGAATTATTTCTTAGTGCACACAGTCACTCCCCCCATCTCTAGTTTGTGTACTCACACAACCAGTCTCCATTCTAGAATTCTATGTTGGAAGCCTGAACAGAATCATATGTAGCCTGATTCCTTCTATAAGAAGACCTGCTATATGTAATCTAGCTACGAAAATAAACTTTGCATTGAAATTCTCATTCCGTTAAACATTCTTGAAGGCTTGTATTTTAACCAATACAACCTTGTATTTGTTTATATTATTTGTCAACACTTAGGAATTCGAAGCACAATATAGGGAATAAATTATTTTATTCCCCAGTGGCTATATGTGTACACATTCTAAAATCGCCACGTGCAGCTAGGACACCCCTAAATATTGAAAATGTTCGTCAAATGGCATCTCTTCAACTGTTTCTATCCGTCGTCATTCTGTGTAATAATTCTGGAAGTTGTAGTGACCAGAGTTTTTTTTTTTTTTATCATCGGATTACATATAAAGGTAACAGGTTGGTTCATTTATAATGCGTTTTTATATTCTTCTAGACGCCGTAAACCTTGAAGATCTCTATTTTGTGAATTCTTCCCTTCCCTGTACCATCTGAAGCCTCTGCGGAGCCAATTTGTATATAGTGTGAGGAGACGCACTGTGTAAATTGCACAGCTGGCCTGCGTGACGAACGTTCTACTGTATCTGCTCACACTTTCATGTTTTTAATGCTAGACAGTCTGAACTGTTATGCTGCTGACAATTCTACTCCTATTTTATGAAGTCACCAGTATCTATGGACAGTGGGATATTGAACTGTACTTTAATATGCTTTTTTCTACATTAAACATGAACATTTTTTAGTATCTTAAAAATATATATTTCTGGTCATACTGTTATTTAGAAAACTGCTGCTATTCTCTTAGTAGCAACAATGCACTTTACCAAAGCTTTTCATTTTGTGTACACACCAAGTATATTTAACACGGAGCCCTGTCTATTGCAACTGAATACCTTACTAACTAAACTGCAGTGGAATCTGGTAACTGGTTGGTTTTATACAAGCTAGTTTTAGTAATTTGTGAATAAACTTTAAAAGTCTTTCATGACCATGCGTGGTGTTGCTGAGTTTGCATTGTACAAGTCACTGTTGGAAATGCATTAATGTTAGTACTGAATTCTAAGTACCCTAAACCCCCAGGATGAAGACATTTCACACATTTTAATGAAGAGGGCACTCGGTGAGGGTGGTGGTGGGGAGGGGGCAATGTAATTATGCATGTTGTAAGCTTGATGTGTTTACTGGAAATGTCAGAAATTTTTTTTTTTTTTTTTTAACTTTTTGGTGGTTTCTTTTGGCGGGTGGGTGGGGGGGGGCATAGCTGTGGGCAAACTGTGATCTGCACTCTCATCTTACTTCACTCATCTTACGGACACCAAAATTAAATATCTGTTGTGGGAAGTTTTCTGATCTTTACTGTTGGTAATCAAGAAATTTTATTTGAACTATACAATAAAACTGATGCCACAGATATCTAGCCTACGTTCCTTAAAAACAGTAGCTGACACTGTGCCCTAAGATTCTCAAATCAAGTGCCACCATACCAGTTTAATGTGTTTCTGTATCTATTGGGAAGCTTTAGTGTTGATTTAAAAGAAAAAAGGTTCTCAGATCTGCACTTTTCTCTCCCAATTCAGTTTGTGTTTATGCTATAGAACTGTGTGCACGCTGTTTTATGGAGGTAAATATGTATTTTGTATGTATGGAAATAGATTTATATTGTATTTATGTATTTGTTCAGACTACCCAGGGTTACAAACGGACAGGATTATTTAGAAAAGTAAGTATTGTTAGGATTTCAAATTTAAGGCCAGAGTAGCCAAAATGGAAGCTTAGCTTATTAAGTTTGGCTATTTTGGCCTTAAATACTACTTGTTGTGACAAAATACAACTTTATCTTAAAGGAAAACTCCAGTACCAGGAAAACAATCCGTTTTCCTGGCACTGCAGGTCCCCTCTCCCTCCCATCCCCGGTTGCTGAAGGGGTGAAAACCCGTTCAGTCACTTACCTGAGACACCCCGCTGATGTCCTTCGGCGGTGGTTTCCATTTGCCGCCACTCCTTCCAGTCATTACGTCGGCCGGTGGGCGAGACTGATCCCGCCGGAGAGACCTAATGCGCGACAATGCCGCACATGCGCACTAGAGCTTCCCATAGGAAAGCATTGAAAATGCTGTCCTCTGGGGAATTGAGTGACGCTGGAGGTCCTGATACAGCGCCAAGACGTCCAGCGACGCTCTAGCTCTTTGCTATAGAGCAGGAAGTGCCCTCTAGTGGCTGTCTAGTAGAGGAGGCATTAACCCTGCAATGTAACTATTGCAGTTTATAACAACTGCAGTAATTACACCTGCAGGGATAAGAGTAGTGGGAGTTGGCACCCAGACGACTCCAATGAGCAGAAGTGGTCTGGGTGCCTGGAGTGTCCCTTTAAATGACACAATCACATTTCTAGACTTTTCTCTAAAATCAGAGGTTAAACTGCGCATTACCCCTCCTGTTCGATCAGTCAGTGCCAATGCACACAGATAAGAAGGCTCTGCACGTCTGTTATCATGGAAACCCACCTCTGGGCGTGTCTTCTGTTTTGAGTTCACCATAAGAAAGCAATGGATGCAAGGGGAAGAAGGGAGGTGGGGCAGGTTCTGGTGAGTGCTACAGCCTTGATAATGTATTGCAGTAGCTTTGGACAGAGAACAGATTTTTATTTAGTTTTTTTAATTACTTACATACCATAGTGTTGGGACTTTTAACCTGTTATGTGCTTCCCAAACAGCAGAATGTAGGAGAGATGTCTTACAGCAAATGTAACACCCCACTGGAAACACGATTGATGCTTCCAGCAGTATCAGGGGTAATGGAAATAAAGTAAAATATTAGCTTTTAATAGTACTAAGGGAATAAAATCTGATTTACTTTGCATGGAAATTTTTACTTTATAGAATAATTAGGTAAGAAATTAATTGTAATTGAGAGAGAAACTGCAAATTTTAGGCTACAGTAGGTGAACTGGAGGGGGGAATCTAAGGTTTTTGTAGCTCGGGTAGTTTTAATGCCTATAATTTACCTTTTCTCAAATGTTTACAATTCCTGATTTAGTGGAAAAACTCCTAATGTGATCAATGTTTCTTAACCAGCACATTTTTTGAAAATGTATTTCTCCCCCCCACCACCCTACTTCGGGACACCTTAAGGGACTTTTTAAGCCCCTTAAGGACACGACATGTGACATGTCATGATTCCCTTTTATTGCAGAAGTTTGGTCCTTAAGAGGTTAAGCCATTTCTGTAAGAAGTCTAAATTAAGTGTTTACACCCCTGATAGTGTTTTAGTGCCATCTACTGACTGGAGATATGCATGACCGCTTCTCATACACTTTACAAGGTGCCTAACTTCAAAGGAACAGAAGCACCATTTTAGCTTCTTGGGTTCTGTACAGTTCATTGTAAGAGAACATTTTGGGCTGTCTAGTATAGTGTAGTCACTGGCCTTTCTGTGTGATGTTTAACCCTCCCCACCACACACCATTATTTACTTACCTGCTCTTTTGTAATGGGCTGGTTGGATAGGTTTCCAGATTATACAAATCAGCATTGTACATTTTGTTCTGTTTGATTTCATCCAACTAGTGCCAAACTTAATGGAACTCTCAGAAGGCCCCTGGTCAATTTTTCTTGCACCTATCTGTATGTGTGGCAGTGTCTCTGTATGTGTCTGTCAATGTGTATGTGTATATCTATATCTATCTCTGTATGCGTGGCAGTGTATGTGTCTGTATGTCAGTGTCTATACTTGTATGTCTGTATCAGTATTTGTGTGTCTTTGTCTGAATCTGTATGTGTGGCTATCTTTGTATCTATTTGTCTGTACAACCATCTGTGTGTTAGTGTTTTTATCGGTGTATCAGTAAGTGTGACTGTGCATATGTGTATCTGCCTGTCTGTCCATGTTTATCTGTATCAGTATGTGTGTTAGTGATTGTATCTTTGTGTCTATGTATCTGAATGTGTTTTGGTGTGTCTTTGCCTGTATCTGTGTGTCTGCATATGTGGCAATGTTTGTATCTTTTTGTCTGTGCTGTCGTTTGTGTATCTGCATGTATGGCAATGTTTGTATCTTTTTGTCTGTGCTGTCGTTTGTGTATCTGCATGTATGGCAATGTTTGCATCTTTTTGTCTGTGCTGTCGTTTGTGTATCTGCATGTATGGCAATGTTTGCATTTGTGTCTGTACAGCCATGTGCATATGTGTCTGTGTTTGCATCTGTATGTCTATATGCAGGTGTGTTGTTTGTGTATTAGACTGATTTGTTCGAGCTGCATATAGTATAGCTTCCTTAAATTGATGGGACTGCAAATTAATTATTATATCTCTCGGTAGGTGTTGAGAAACCGAGCTAGGTTTGCTTTAAAGATGGTATTGTTCCATTTTGGTATTTAGAATTGACACTTCTATTTTGAGTGTTGCCCATAAAGTATCCAAATACTCAGGTATTTTATCTTGTGTAATTGCTTCTGGAACATTTCTTATTCTTAGATTGTTTCTTCTTAAACGATCTTCCAAATCTCCTAGTTTTCCTTCTATTTGTCTCATTTGATGATACAGCTGCTCATTTTGTTCTTTGTTTGCTCTGCTTTCGTATTCCAAAGCTGTGATTTTTTTTTTTTTCACTTTGCTTTAGTTTTTCCAATATTTCCAGAAACTGTTTTTTTGTTTCTGCTGTGTTTTTATTAAATTCAGCAGTTATTGCCACCAATTGTTCTTCTAAACAGTGTTTTAGAAAATCTGTTGTAATATAATTTTCTGTTTGACTGACTGGAAGGGCTTTGATTAAAATCTTCACTTTTTGATGAATACATAATTGAGCTTTCAAGATTTTTTTTCTACATTAGATTTTTGTCCAGGTGAAGAGAAACTTGAGGGGTTTTTACTTTTTTCTGTTTGTTGATCCTGCTTTGCTGCTTTCTTGATGGCAGCTTTTCCTGATGACTTGGTAGCCATATCTTTTTATCTTTTTTTCTTCTTCCTCACTCCCCTTATTTCTTCTCCTTTTCCTTTAATAAGAAGTTATTCAGTGTTCACTTTTTCCTCTTTTTTTTTTTTCCCACCTCCTTTCCCCTCTCACTCTCCTTTCTCTCTCTTCTCTCTTTTGTTTTTTAGAGATTTTATTTATAATTATTCTTTATATTTGTTTATCTACAGCTAGTTTATCTTTTTCTCATCTCAGCATATACATCAGGATAAATAGAAATAGGGGAGGGTAGAAGTATTTAACTTATCTTCAGTTCGTTTTCCTCACATAAAACTCTTCAGATAGCGTTTCCATATCACTTCATATAAGTAGGTTTACGATCAAATTCTTGTCGACTTACTACCGGAAGCAGAGACTACGGAGATTTACTGCTCACAACACTTGAAGTCTTGTCAGCCTTTTTGTCAGCCCTTTTAGCACCGTTCCTGCCTCGTGTGTCGGCAGAACGCCGCTTCCTCCTCCATCACCGAGACGCCTCCTCGCCTCAGGATGCGTACATGCGTACGTGCGTGCGGACCTCCGCCCACCTCTACGTCATCACGCAAACCAAAAGAACACTTTGTGTTTCACAAGGAGCAGGTGTGTTGTTTGTATTGATTTGTGTCTGCAATTCAATGTGTCAGTGTTTCTATCTGCATGTGTGCCAGTGACCGTGTCTGTATGTGTCAGTGTTTGTATATGTAAATCGATGTATCTGTGTGAGTGTGTCACTGTTTGGATCTGTGTCTGTGCATCTGCATATGTGTTTGTTTTTGTCTGTATTTGTGTCTGTGTGATTTTACAGATCTGTGTATTTCAGTGTGTCTGTATGTATCTGTCAGTGTTTGTATATGCTGGGGCATTACAAAAAATAAAAAAAATACACATTTTAAATTTCAACTATATTAATAACAAACCTTTTACAAATATGAGGGGTACAATTTATGGAAATGGGCTGCAAAGGGGTACTCAAGTTTAAAAAAAAAAAAAAGGGGGAGGATTTGCTGCAGCCTTTGCAAGCTCTTTTAAGGTATACATTGAAAAATTCATGCATGTGTTCACTGGAGGAATATCTACTAAACAGTGATTTAGAATATATACATACATATACACACGCACACACGCGTCTTTGCTATGTGGAAGTGTACTGCTAGTTTAACAGAAACAAATTCTAAATTAAATAGAAATAAATGAAATGTAGACATTAGATCTCTCTACATGTAGTGTTTAGAAAGGCTGTGCACATTACAGGCAGGGAGCTGTACCTAGGGCTGCATAAACAAAGTGATTTAACTCCTAAATGGCAGAGTTGAGCAGTGAGACTGCAGGTGCATGATCTGTACACTTAAACTGCTTCATTAAGCTAAAGTTGTGTTTGTGACTGGTATTCATTGAAGTTTTAATTTGTTGTACACTATCTTTCGGCCCTCCAGATGCTCTGCACTACATTTCCCATAATGCTCGGACAGCCATAATGCTGGCAAAGAATCAAGGGAGATGTAGTCCAAAACATCTGGAGGGCCGAAGGTTCCCCACCCCTGGTGTAGAGTGTGCCATGCACTCACTCTCCCCGTTAAGAGTAACTTACAAATCAAACCATTTCAAATTCCTCACCTATAAGAAAGTCCCCAAGAGCGGTCTATTAGGAAGTTGGAGTTCTATCTTTAGGGCTGTCTATGCCATTTTTGTCCAGGTTGTCTATGAATGCTGCATGCCTAAAGGGACACTGTAGGCACCCAGACCACTGCCGCTCATTGAAGTGGTCTGGATGCAATGTTCCTTAACCCTACAGTGGTAATTACTGCAGTTTCTGAGAAACTGCAATAATAACCTTGCAGGGTTAACTCCTCCAAGGTCTCCCCCTGCCGGCTGATGTGGGTGTAGCCTAACTTAGAGCCAAGGGACATCGGAGCTGGATTCAGGTAAGTGGGGGGGGGGCACTGTAGGATTCTATAGTGCCAGAAAACGGCTTTGTTTTCCTGGCACTATAGAATCCCTTTAACTTGTCATGATCTTGCTATCCTCCCAACTATGCCGATTGCTGCCCACTGCCTTGCGCGCATGACTGTGAATTTGGCTGTGTATATGAACTAATAAAAACTGCGTTATGGCTGCTGTCCTCTTATAGAACAGTCTCACTCATGTGATGTGTGGAAATGTTGCTGGGGTATCACAAAAGTTTTTTTTGTTTTTTTTTTTTAAAACAGTTTATCTTTTTACTTGATGTTTGCTGATCCTGTTCAGCAATCTAGCATTAGTAGTGGAAGCAGATTGTGGAGGCAAGATGATCTATAGTGATCTTGTTGGTAACAAGACTCCAGTCCAAGTTCTATCTTTAAAAAAAACATCTTTTTGTACTGTTGATACAAAAGAAGGCCACAACTACTTAAAGCAATGGACACTTATGCCACAAAAAAAGGAGGTCTGGGGGAATTGAAATTAGCACTTGAATTTCTCCTCAGATCAACAATCCACATACATCTTGAAATGTTTTTCCAGAAAACCATCCAGATCTTTTATTTTTAATATATATTTATATATAAAATATTATAAGACTAGCTCCTTAGGTAGATAATTCCAAATCTTTGTTCTTATTGCATAGAACTCTTTCTTCCAGTCTCAATGGATCCATTATAGAGTGCTGTGGAATTTGTTGGTGCTTTATAAATAATAATGGTCACTAGTCTATTGTATATTCATGTTAATGAACAGGAATGTACCAAGCAACCTATCGAAAACAATTTGACTTCTTACAAGGGGAGGGGTACTCCTGGCACCATAACCACTACATTGATTTGCAGTGGCTATTGTGCTTGGACTGTTCCTCTAAATAAGGGTCCAGAACAGTGATAAATTAGTCTGCCATGTAATGTGCTCTATACAGTGATCTCTATGACCCCATTTAGAGTTCATAGACTGAAGCGTTAGTCTGACTTGGACTATATTATTTATATAAACTTATTTTGTAGATGTGTAGTAATTGGATAGTCTGGAGAGGGTTAGATACACATGGGCTGTAAAATTAGAGAGTGAGCAGTTCTTGGATTGTTTCAGTATAGATGCCAACTAATCATTTACGTTAAATTTACATCCTGAGCAGAAGGCAAAAAAGTAGTGTCTGTACTATATTTTCATTCTTGCAGTGTTTGCCCTCTGCAAGGAACATTGGTAAACATAAGCTGTCCCTCACATCCCTTTCTTCTAACAGAGACCCAGCAGGCAGCGTTATCCTGGAATTTGCATTCATGGCACCAGTCAAGGGACAGAGCTGTCATTAAACCGTCAGGAGGTGACATAAATACTTAAAATGGGATTACAGGACGTGTCAGAGCTACATGGGTGGTCAGAATAGCTCTGAAGAAACAGGTTGTGAATGTATAAAAAAACTTTTATGATCAAAGAAAGAAGCGTCTAAAGATTGCTGATCTCGGCCCTTGACATCAGCTAAATATGTAAGAACTTCACCGACCAACACACAAATTCATGTTCATGATCCAAGCTTGTCTTTACCGGTGTGTTAATTATTTAAAGTAATTCTTTACATCTCAAATATTGTCTGCATATATACTTTATTTTACTGGTATGTAAACAGTAAAAATGACAGGGCTTTTCACTAAAGTGTGAGCTGTCTGGAAATGAAACGTTTCAAATTTTGGGTCAGAATAGCCATACTAAAAATAGGCTTTGGGAATTTGTCACTTCTGATATTTCGGTCTAAACGTTTCACTTTAGTGAATAACCTTGGGAGGATCTGTAGTGATCTTTATTACATTGTTCTACAAAACTATTCTGAATATTAAAGAGTTACTTTAACAGAGGGCATAGGAAGGCAGGGAGGGGAGATAAACCTTTCCTCTTGTGCTGCCTGAAAGGGAGAAAAAAGTAAAATATGTACAATATTGACTTTGGTAACCTGGAACAGAGTTCTGGGCTGCCTAAGTCAATTGTGCTGGGGGTGTAACTAGCCTCCGACACACAAGTGCAAATATCTCTATATGAGCAAAAAGGCTGCACATACAGACTTCGAGCACGATAACCAATTCTAAAAGTAGAAGTAGTCATGGTGGTTGTTGTAAACATTTAGGTTTTTCCATTTATTGATCATATGCTGCTGTTCCTCCTCCACCTACTAACTTGACCGCCTCAGACTTTGCAATTCACTTCACTGACAAGATCTCTACAATTAGAGAAGAGATCTCTCATCTTTCTTCTTCCCCTAACTTCACTCCCTCTGCTGTTCTATGTTCATTCGCACCCGCTACATTGGAAGAGGTTTCTGCTCTGCTCCAGTCCTCCCGCCCCACCACCTGCTCCCTAGATCCAATTCCCTCGCATCTCATCTGTACTCTGTCTTCTTCTCTTTCTCCACCTCTCGCTAAAATTCTCAATCTCTCTCTCTCCTCTGGTATATTTCCATTGCCCTTCAAACATGCAACTGTAACACCAATTCTAAATAGTCCATAGCATCAATGCCTTCATCTTGCAGGAACTGCTGACACACTCCAGCCACATGAGGTCTAGCATTATCTTGCATTAGGAGGAACCCATGGCCAACCGCACCAGCATATGGTCTCACAAGGGGTCTGAGGATCTCATCTCGGTACCTAATGGCAGTCAGGCTACCTCTGGTGAGCACATGGAGGGCTGTGCGGCCCCCCAAAGAAATGCCACCCCACACCATTACTGACCAACTGCCAAACCGGTCATGCTGGAGGATGTTGCAGGCAGCAGAACGTTCTCCACGGCGTCTCCAGACTTTGTCACAGTGCAATGCCCGGTCAGACAGGAAGTATGCTCAGGGAACACCAAACAGCTTCTGGTCAGACCAGATTGAGGAAAGGGGGGAGGCGGTTGAGACCACACAGACAGTGGAGAGACCACAAAGAGGCTGGAAGGGACAAAGAGACACACAGAGGGGTTGGAGGTGTGCAAAGAGATATTGAATGGTGCTTAGGGGAACAAAAAAGCACACAGTGGGGCTTAGGGAACAAAGAGACACACAGAGGGGATGGGGATAGACACACAAAGGACCTGGGGGGGAGGAAGACACACAAAGGACCTGGGGGGGAGGAAGACACACAAAGGACCTGGGGGGGAGGAAGACACACAGAGGGACTGGAGGAGGCAGAAAAAAAAGACACCCCCAAAGGATTTGTTTTGGGGGAGGTGCAAGTAGCTGGTCTTGCACAGGTTCTGTACACAAGACTCAATACAGACTTTACATTTTTTTTTAAAAATGTTTATGGTTGTGAGACTAACTATGACTTCAGCCAGGAGGTGGGGATCCCCTTACTTTTACACTCTAACCCTATGTGGCAGGGACTGAATGTAGAACATTGGATTTGGGTACAAGGGACATTTTGGCTTTAGTATGTTATAAACAGTTACAGCACAGGAGGTGGGTGAGGAGCCACTCTAATTTGGATTTTTCTCACTTTTCTTTTTTTCCTACAACATGGGAAAGACCAGAGTCCTCAAGCACGGTAAATTTCCTTTTTTTTAATTTTGAATTCCATTGGTGCACTTTGCTGTTCTCAGTAAAAGTGTTAAGTGACACCTAGGTATAATATAGTTGGTGCCGATTGGGTTAATTATAAAGATGTTGCACAGCTTTTCCCATTGTTTAGATACGTCATTAAGTGTAATACAGTTATCAGGGTTCATTACTAGAAAGAATAATACCATATATAAAACAAATTGTACATACTTGTATTCAGTTTTAATTTCCTAAGAAAACATGCCTGTATTTACAAGGCGTTGAATTAAAGGTCAGTTATATGAAGTGGAGCCCACTCGTCTATGAATGACTGAAAAGAACACGATGGAGTGATAATTTAACTCCCACGTGCAAATGGACCATGTGGAATAATACACCACGTCTCACTACATATCAAGTCATCATCCCAAAATGGTCTTTAAAATACAATTATACAGAGTGATGTCTATCTCTGTGAGCAGATGTTGCGTAACGTCTGGTTTGTATCCCCAGTTTAGAAATTGCTGAAGTAAAGAATATCAAAATAACTAAAACACGTACGGAAGTTCAGTAGCAGACAGGAGACCTGTCCCATAATTAGCCACCACTCCATATGACTAGAAAGAGATAGTGGAATGAGAACTGTCTGACATATTAGTCTCTGGATCACGTAAGAATAGCAATTAGTTGGCTGTAGTTTGTCTGGCCAGTTGCTTCTTTCTCTCAGGGCTTGCATTTGAGGATAGGGTCTGTGGCTGCAGTGTCAAATTATGGTGGCAGCCTCAGCCAAAGGCCTAACACTACAGTGCTGCAGTCAAAGGCTCTACCCTCAGACTTAGACACAGGTTATAAGCACTTATATTGCAAAGTGAGTTTTCAGACTTCAGAGGAAAAATCCTCTATGGCCATGTACTATTTAATGCTTAACGCCAAGCCTTGTTATGGGAAAAATGCTTCAGCAAAATATTAAAAATTCTACTCCGCTCGAAATACTCTAACCCTGTATGTAACGATACGTATTGCCTGTTCACCCAATATCTGTTCAATGTAAAACTGCAAATAATTGACCATTTAAAATGATCAGCCACAACATTAAAACCACCTACCTAATACCGTGTAGGTCCCCCTCGTGCTGCCAAAACAGACCTGAGGCATCGAGGCACGGATTCCATACGATCTCTGTACATGTCCTGTGGTTTCTGGCACCAAGACATTAGCAGCAAATCCTTTCAGTCCTGCAAGCTGTGAGGCGGGGCCTCCGTGGATCGGATTGGTTGTTTCAGCTCATCCCACGGATGTTCAATTGGATTAAGATCTGGGGAATTTGGAGGCCAAGGCAACCTTAAACTCTTCGTCATGTTCCTCAAACCATTCCTGAGCAATTTTTGCAATGTGGCAGGTTGCATTACCATGATGAAAGAGGCCACTGCCATAAATGGGTGTATGTGGTCTGTGTCAATTGCGATCATTGCCCAGACAATAACAGTGCCTCCACCAGCCTACCTTCTTCCCATAGTGCATTCTGCTGCCATCTCTTCCCCGGGTAAATGACACACCCGACCTCCCACATAATCTAAAAATAATTGTTTCATCAGACCAGGCATCACCTTTGTTTACTCAAAATGCTTTACTCTCTCACCTCACCCCTCTGTCAGTCCTTACATTGGCTTCCTGTATCCTATAGGAGTCAATTCAAAGTACTAACCCACACCTATAAAGCACTGAACAATTCTATCCCCTCTTATATCTCCTCACAGATCCATAGGTATGCCCCTTCTTGGTCTCTCCACTCTGCCTGTGACCTTCTCCTGTCACTCACGCTTGCAGGACTTCTCGCCATCAGACTCTCCCCTAGTCTTCAATCATTTAAGAAGTGCCTTAAACCCATTTCTTTAGGAAAGCTTATGGCCCCCCAGAGTAACCTCTACCTCACATACCTGTCTCTTGCTCTCTCCTACAGCTCTGCTTCACTCCCACCTTATTTGATTACCATTTCCTGTCCTGTGTTTTACACCCCACCTCCTATAGACTGTAAGCTTGGTAGAGCAGGACCCTCTTCAACCTATCGTTTCTGTAAGTCTTCTTGTAATTGTCCTATTTATAGTTAAATCCCCCCTCTCATAATATTGTAAGGCGCTAAGGAATCTATTGGCGCTATATAAATGGAGATAATAATGCTTGATCGAGAGCTGAAGTAAAGGAATAGCAGATGAACAGCTAACAAGGTATGGCTGATTTTACCATCCGCAAGGCAACTCTTATTGTACATATAAATACTCGTCAGCTATAAATACATGAATAAGCCACTTTTAAATATCCGACACAATCCACTCCGACACAAACTTTCTACAAACTGAAACAGTAAATCATGTGCTAGTATATACTAGAAACAAATACATATACTAGCACACATAGGGGTGTTATTACTAAACACTGAATTCAGTTCAACTCTACGCCTTTGGTTGTTAAAATTACTCTGTGGTTCATTGCATTCTCTAAGAACCAAATGGTAATTGAATTGAGCCAAATGGATTTTCATTTCAAAATAGCTCACCCAAGTTCCACCTGAATTGCAGTCGAATTGTAACTGAGTTTTCCTACTACAAACAGAAAAAAGTCCACTAATGGAACAGTTCGGGAAGATTTAGGGTTGGTGTATCCTTAGTGTTAAGGTAGCATTGGGGGTGTTCGGATTACACCGTTTAGAGTTATAAATGCAATTCTCTGGTCTGTATCAGGGGCATCAGGACAGCTGAACTAAGCCAATTCGGTAGCAATGTGGCTGCAATTCAGTTGTTTGTAAATAGCCAAATCTCCCATATTATATGGAAACTTGGCTGATTTAAAAAAATATTTTGTGAATAGCCAAATGTTAAAACTGCCTAATTGTAGATTGTAAGCTAGTTTGAGCAAGTCCTTTTTTTCCCTTTGTCTCAGAGAATATTTTACATACAGAATATTGACAATACTAGAATTGTAAAGCGCTGCAGTATGTGTTGGCACTATATAAGTGATGATGATGATGATGATGACCAAATTCCATATGCCTTTTGGTGTTATGTGAATAGACTCCACAGACACGCTAGCATACAGATGCGTGCGCGCACACACACACACAATCATTGGCAAAGTATAGACAATCCAATATTCTATAGATTCAGGAAGTTATTTATTTTGACAGGGTTTTTTGTTGTTTTTTTTACACTACAAAACTGTGCATTGATCCATACGTGTGATATAAATACAGATTGCGGTGTATATGTAGTGTTGTATGATGCACGTCCTTTACTTATTTTCCCCATAGTAAGAAGGTGGCCAATTCAGAGAGCAGCAATTCCATACTTAAAATATTAGTTTAATATAATATTAAATATTAAACACAGCTTCAACACTCTCAGAAAACATAAGTTTTGTTTCCCTTTTGTTTAAAATAATGGGGATTTAGTTAAGGTATATGATCATACATTGCATAAGCTTGCAACATCAATGTAACCTAATCAAATCCTAGTCCTGGAATGAAACATCATAGGACCGCTTTTTTAAAAGGGTACATTGACGTTGTGGCGGGCTTATGCAATGTATGATCATATACTATAACTAAAACCGCATTATTTATTACCCAAGTCAGGTGTTTTTGTTTTTTTAAAACTATATAACTTATTGAGAGATTTGAAGCTGCGGTTTAGCGAGTACGTGCCCTGGATTGTTTATGTTGTGCTAACTGGTCCCAGCAATACCCTTATAATGTATCCATGTTTAGGTGAGTGCAGTGTTTCTGATATTTTATTTATTTATTTTTTTTTAAATTCTTTATTTTTCACTCAATAGACGCAGCAAGTATTCATCAACTTTTTGGGCTTACGCAGAAGCCAATGTGAATTCAATTCTCATAAGCATAACATAGTGCAACAAATACGATCTACGCCCATTCCTTAAGAAACTATTGGTACCTGTCGTCTACAAAGGTTTTTTTTGTTTTTTTTTTTGTTTTTTTTTTTGTGTGTGTCATATTATAGGTTATAGCAAGTACATGGCCAACTTAAATGCTTACGCAGAAGCCAATGGCAAGCAACACTGCCTTGGGCACAAGAGGCGTATATCCATTACATATCGATAAGTCATGTTGAAATCGTTGGTGCCTTGCTACCCGTCTAGAGTTTTTGGATGAACTGTATGCTTTCACTCAACGGGTGGAACAATTGCATAGAAACCTTCAGGCTTACGCAGAAGCCCGCTTAGAGATTTGTAAAAAGCTAAGATATATATATCAGGTAGGCCAAGCGAGATCTACCCGCGTTCCCCTCCGGTCGCTGCCCCATTAAGGGAGCTGTCACCTGTCTCACAGGCATATTGGCTATATTTGGGACCCATTCTACTACACTGCGTGTTATAGCGCTTTCTATGTATGGGTATCCCAGCACTTCTGACAGCTTGATTAAACCTATCGCGGAGAAACACTAATCTCTTGGCTATCAAGAGATAGAGAGAACGGAAAAGAGAGAAAAATAGATAGCAGGAAAAGGAACAGGAGACAAAAGTACAGTAGAAAGAGAAAAGTAAGAAGAGAAAAAGATCAGAGGAAAGGAAAAAGAAAAGAGAGAGGAAGGGGGAGGGGGGGAGCCCTCATTCCAACAGTAGTGCAATCAAAATGTCCTCGGGAGAGAAGGGGAGGGGGATCGATAAGCGTACCTAGTCTATGCTATGGTCCGTTTCCTGTGTTTCTGATATTTTAAAGTACTAATATATGCAGCCAGTGTGATTCAGGACCCTGAGCAGCAAGATAGATAGTTCGATATTCAGGTTCTCCCTCCAGTCCACTTAAAGTAGGGGTTATGCAAGAACCATGTTTTCTACGCAACAGAAGACTGGCACGGTTTGCTGAATGCCGAAATTTTTCATACACGCGAATCTACAGTCTATATATTGGCTAAGACATGGGAGGTGAGCTTATTCTTTAAGAGCCATTGTAGACGTTTGAGCACAGGGCATAACTCTGAGTTACTATTATATTATGATCTATATATTATACAGACACAGAAACAAAAAACAAAAACACAACTACCAAAATATTAAATCACAGACAGTTTGGTGCTCAGATAATAGTTACCCAATGATCATATATACATGATTGGCAGAAGATAAAGTAATACTGCCAGTGGAATCTCCTACTTGAGATTTGGATACAGAAAGACCACCACTCATTTTTGGCAGGCTCCTCAGGATTCCTCTTGCTGAGTTGTGTATGTTAGCAGGGGCAATGTGATATAGTGTGATATAAATATTTTTATTTTTAAATGATTTTCATGTACTCAAAAAATACAAAGCATCTGATCTTTTCTCCTAGTGCAGCTTGTACTGTAAAATCAGCCATGATTGAATTTGGGATGTCGTAAGTGAGTGGGACAATTACCATAGCAATGTCAAATAAAAAACAAATCAAACCATGGTCAGTATTAAACACCCCCTTAAAAAAATATATACTTGAAATGAAAGCTTCAACCAATTACGTGACAAGACAGACAACCTGAGTAAAGTAAATCTTTATTGCAGTTTACATAAATCCAGTTCAGTAAATGGGCTGGGTACACAACCCTCTATTGCATATTAGCTCAAAGACAGTGTAATCAAGGCTAGGCAATCTATATATAATATAGCCTTATGCTCAAACAATGCCTAACTCCCTCAACTGCTATCATTTACAGATATTCCAATAGAGGAACTAGCGAATATCACTGGGACTAGAAGGCAGATACCATAGCACTGGGATAAAAGGTTACCGGGATAGCATATCATCCCAGCACCTCGAAGAGTACATGCTGCTTTGTTAGTTTCCATGGAACGCGTCAGACCTGCTGACCTTCCCATGGTAGTATAAGCGATCCAAAATATCCATACAAAATATATATACTTATATAAATATAGATCTCTATCTCTAATTACTGTGACTGTAAACTGCTATCTGAATGTGTAAATGGTTACTTGAACCAAAAAGTAAAAACTTTTGAACCTGGCCAGCCAAGTCCATGTAGAAACAAAAGGACTAATTTTAATTAACGAGACACTAACCTGTAACACTGTCACTACGCTTTGTGACAACAAAGTCGCATGGAATTCTTCCTGCATTTACATCTCTGTTCTAATTATTTCACTCTATCCCAATCTCTTCCCAGCTCTATCATTATCCAACCTCTTGCTTTTTACAGGTTAATTTGTGTCTTAGCGGTCCCAACCCCACAGCTCAATGGCCAATAGCTAACTACTAGTAAAATTCTGGAATATTAAATAATAAAGTCACTGGTTCACCAAGCAATTTCTTCAGACACTATTCTCTCAGTAAATTGCCCTGATTCTCCCACCTATCTACTAAGAAATGTTTTTATTTAATCCGGAAATCCAAATAGTAACTGTTCACATCACATATCCAGCCTGCGAATAGGCCAAAAAATAATAATAATAATAATAATAATAATACAGATTTACATTGAACTATTTTTCCAAATTAAAAAGAATATCAATGTCACTCAACCAGTCACTGTTCACGCGGCAGTCAGATTAGATCCTTATAACAGATGTTCTGAGTGAGTCTGACCATGAGCTGCATACCAACTGGGCCTATTCCAAACTTATTTTCTTCTTTCCCATTCATTCAGTTTCTCATTATCACACATCACATCACATTCTAACCAATAATTCACTTATCTTTTCCAACTCTTCTTCCTCTGCTCCACATAACCGGCTTATTATACTACATTCTTCCCAAGTCAATTCTCTGTTGCCTCGCATGTTCCTCCACTCCCTCCAAGCTTTCGTTTCCTCTCCACCTGCATGACCGCTTTCTGTACTTCCTCTACACATCATTCCTGATGCCTTGTAACTTCACAGTCTTCTTAAAAGCCACCTCTTCACATCCCCCTTCCCATCTCACATACCAGCTCCTTCAGTAAAGCCTTCTGGCAATACACCTTTTGTTCACACCCACGCATTCTACATCTACAACATGGACTATCTTCATACCATATCCCAAGTTCTTCTCCCTCTACATTCTCCCCCTCTTCAGGCTCTCATATCATGACCCTTTATCCATCCCACATGCACATCTCCTCAACAGATTATTTGCCTGTTCACTTATATCACTCTCAACACTTTTACTTGTTTCTTTGCATGTTGCTCTTTCTTAAACACAGTGTATCCTGTCTGTATTAACGGTTTATGAGTCATGGTTTCCGGACGATAGTAGACTGTACGGTAGGTTAAAGTTTGTATATATACGGAGTACGAGTCTTAAGTTCCATTTTGTTGCGTTACACATTTTTCTGCTCACTTGACAGACATGGCAGTTAAGAAATTAGCAGACAAGCTCTTGTCGCATGTGTATGATCTGTAATAAGGCATCTTGTACATCAGCATCCATGTGACCCTGTAAACAACACAAAATGGTGTTACCAAAATATAAATACTACAGCATCAACGTGTAAACTCTGGAAATGAATGCAGATTAAGGACTACGGTCTAGTACCTGGACAGCATTCAGCAAATGTGCACGGTAGATGGAGATAATTTCTTGATGTCGCCGTTGAGACTCCTGCAATGATCCAGAAAGGCATTACACAACCAAAACTGACCAATGCAAATTATATTACTGTGAAAATGGATTGTAACAAGATTTACTATACTGAGCAAAAACACCAGAGCAGGATAAGTGTAGTATACTTTTTGGAGAGTAAAGTAGCAGTAAGTGATATGTAGAAAGCAGAGCAGAGGTTTGTGATAGACATGTGTTAGAGAAGTAACAATTACTGCTCTCCACAAATTGGCAGTATAGGAGTAGCACACAGAGGGACAACAGTACTTACATCCAGTTGGCACTGTAGGGCTCTGATCTGGGTCTGCAAGGCCTCCACAGACTGGTTCTTCCCAGGACCACCAGTGAACTGGCACAAGGACAGTTTCAGTTTCTCTACATCATTGTGGAGAGTGCATATCTTAAAGATGCAGAGAGGACACAGGTTAGATGCATGGACAGAGATACTGAAGTATGGATATAGAAGAAAACTGAGACAGGGCAAAAGGGAGAGGCAGAATCACAATGGGAAAGCGCAAGTACAAAATTCCAGAGGCACAGGAAAGTACAGCAATACAAGTGAGGACAGGTTAGCGCCTGCAGCCAGCCATTCAATTTACCTCTTTGTCTTTGCCCTCCATGTCTCTGGATGACAATTGTATGCGTTCCTTCAGTTCTTTTACAGTGTTCATTGACTGGTCATACTTCAACTTCAGCTGAGCAATATCATGTTCTATGTCACCGTGTTTCTTCCGCAGCCTTTCACTATGTTCCTGTGCTGCATGCAGTTCTTTGGCCATCCTCCTGGATTCCTCTCCATGCATTCTGCAAGATTCCTCAAGCTGAGCAATTACCTGTTCTAAACCTAATTTTAACGTTTGATGGTCAGAATTCTCCCTGTCCTTGCAGATTTGTAACTCCCGCAGACTATGTTTGGCTTGCTGCACTTCTTCCCTAAGCCTCTTAACTTCCTGTTCCATCACAAATGCAGCTTCCTCCTTTTCCTGCAGTTTCTGTTGTGTTGCAACCATATTTTTCTCCCATGTTGCCTTCTCCTGAGCATGCAGAGACACTGTGATAGAGCTTCCTTTTATCATTTCCAGTTCTTTCTCTAACCTTTTAACCTGAGCCTGTACATTCTCATACAAGTTAACTTGGGTTCTCAGTTCAACCTCAAAGGATGCCTTGGTGTTACTGAGCAGGTCTTTAAGCTCCTGATGCTGTACTATAGGAACATACTGACTGTTCACGGTTTCTTGCAATGTCTTTAGCCTATTAGCAGCCTGTTGACATTCGTCTTGCAGTACTCTCTCTTTCTCCTTAGCCTCTGCAAGGGACTTCTGTGCCTCCTGTAAATGGCTTTGCAGATTTTCTAGCTGTCTTAGCATTGCATTCCTTTCCTGATTCCATGAGGCACGCTCTTCGTTTAAGGCACACTCTGCACTGTGCAACTTTTTCTGCATCTTCTGCATCTCTTGTTGCTGCTCATCAAGCTTAATTTTTGTTTCACTGCTAATTTGGCACTGTTCCTGCAACTCTAATTCAAGCTCCATTCTCGTGGTCTGAAAGTTACGCTCCTTCTCCTCCATGCTGGTTAACGGTGCATATTTCTCAGTGATGCACTGATGAAGTGTGTCCAGCTCTTCTCTCTGTTCTTGAATAGCCGCCTGCAGTTTCTGCACCTCATCTTGTGCTTTATGGTACTTTGCGTTTGTCTGGGTCCATTCTTGCTGCTTCTGTTCCACCTGTTTCTGTAACCCTGACACCACTGCTTCGTGATCCTTCCGTTTAACGTACTCTGTGTCCACTTCCACCTTCAGGTTGTTTAATAATGACTGCAGATCTGTCTTCTGGGTAATCTCTTTCTCCAGCAGAGTCTGCAATCTTGTCCATTCTACAGCTTTACGATCCACAAGTTCCTGCAATTTTGCCTGCTTTGCTGCTGAACATTCCAGTTTTGACTTCAACCCGGCCTGTGCCACAGTCTCACTTTCTAACTGTGCTTGAAGTGCTGTCCTTTTAGTAGTCTCTTTTTCCAGCTGTGCACGTAGAGCTGCTAGCTCTTCAGTCCCACTCTCAATTTGCTTCTTAAATGTGGCCAATTCTGCTTTACATTTCTCGAGCTCAGTGGTTAGTTGGGTGGTGGTCTGATGATGAGTTGTCAATGGCACATGGCTTTCCTTCATGCTGGTGTTCTCAGACTGGAATGTGCGGGCTTTACTTTCTATCTCCTCACATTTCCTGAGTGCCTCAGTAAGCAGCATTTCCAGTTTTGTAATTTTTGACTGCATGTCCTGCAGCATCTTATCATGCTCCTCCCGAGGGATGCTAGATGCCTGCAGTCGCATTATATCTTCTCGTAGTGTCTTTTTTTCTTCCTGCAACTGTTTTTGTTCCAGCTCAGCCTTTCGCAGACTCTGTTCAGAATCAGATAGACTCTGGCTCAGTCGAGCTATGGTTTCCTCACAAGCTCTTTTTGTCTCTGCATGAAGCTGTGCAGGTACATGTTGGTTTCTCATTTGTCCCATCAGATCCTCAACTTGCCTCTGCAGGAGAACTTTCTCAGTCCGTAACTTCTCTGCTTCCCGGGCCAGGCTGATATTCCTAATTTTAACCTCCTCTAGCTCCTTTATCATCAGCTCCCACTTACTGTCTGATCTTTTCTTTTCACTTTGGCTACTATCCAGCTTCTCTCGTATCAGTGTCAGCTCGCGTTCAGCCTCTGTTAAACTTCGAGATTTCTCATTTACCTCGTTGGTCAAAAGGCATCTCATATTTTCAAATTTCTCTGCAGTGACTGAAAGACCGACTTGCTCCATGGCTTCCTTTGCTCTACGTTCTGCTCTCTCTCTATCTTCTTCACACACCGCCAGCTCATCTTGAAACCTCCGATTTTCCTTACGCAAGCGTGAATCCTCCCTGCGTAGTTCCTGTACCAGAAGCTCATTATGACGAAGTTGATTTCGCAGTTTTCCCACCTCAGCAGATGCTCCTTCATACTTGCTTTTTATGTCTCTCAGTTGCTCATTCAAGTCCTCCGCTCGGGCACTTCCACTTAGAGCTTCTTGTGTCAGGTGGTCTTTTAATGCCAGGAAATGTGATTGCATTTGCTTTACTTTACTTTCAGAGTCTAGCATTCTTTTCTGCACATCGCGGAGGGCTTCTTCCAGCTGTCTTATCTGCTGATCAGACTCTGCTTTAGAACGATCTCTCTCGGAGGCTAGCGCAAGGCACTCAGATGATCTTCTGGACAGTTCCTGTTGCAATCTCATGGTCTCTTCCCTTGCAGCTTCGTAGTATCTGCGCACTGTATCCAACTCCTGGCGCTGATCAATAGTTTCCCCAGGCAGCTCCAAAGGCCGCAGCTGAGACCTGGCCGGCAGGTGAGCTACGAGCTTAATAAAGATACAAAAACACAAAAAAGTAGATTAGATTTAAACAATTTACAAAAATATACTTCCAAACAGTTCCTTAAAGTTATCTTGTAAAACAAAATAGTTACAAATTATTTTTTAAAATGATATTTCCAAAAAGTTGTTAAAATCAGTGAAATCCCAAGATGCTTATTCACTTAAGAAGAAACGGGACATCAAAATGTATGTCAGAACAGCCAAGATGGAAAAATTCTAACTCATTTTTTTATTATAATAAACTTTATTTATAAATTGCCAAAACATCCGGCAGCACTGTACTGGTGTTTTAAAAAACAAAACAAAAGGGACAATACATCAAAGAGACACAATCTGACAAATACAGGAGGAGTTAAGATCCCTATGAAACTTGTTTTTAACTTTATTAAGTTTTATTTTCATTTATTGCTGTTGCATCTCCCTTGGGAACATAACATTTATGGCTCCAGAGAGCCAAAAATAGATGTGGAGACATGCAGTCTATTTTATCCTGTTTGTAAGTAACCAGCGATTAAATATATTTTTTTTCCTTACATTATTGAACTATTGCGGGTTTTTTTTCTTGCAATATTAGAAACTCCATACAATCTATTTTTGGAAGAGGACCTATATTTTGAGATACGCCTACTATTGAATACTATCTTGAGAGTGCTCTACATCCCCTTCCATCCTCCTTATATCTGTAGCTGTATTACACAAGTGTTTTTTCTTTTTTTAGGTTTATAATATTATCAGGTTGTATTTATGATCATACACAGACACTCCTCACTTACCGACCGGGTTCCGTTCATACGACCCGGTCGTAGAACAAATTGGTCGGTAAGTGAGGAGTTAAGGGATTCCCTGCTCTGCTGCGTTCTTCTGTGTTCGGGGAAATGTCCCTGACCAAAGATGAACGCAACAGAGCAGAAAATCCTTCTAATCAATGTTCAGGGAAATTTCCCCGATCATAGATTAAGGGATTCTCCGCTCTGGTGCGCAGGTCTGTGTTCAGGGACATTTCCCCGAACATAGACGAATGCACAAGAGCAGGGAATCCTTCTAATTTCAACGACAGCTCGCACTTACCACCCCGCGAGAGAGCTGGTCGCAAGTGCGAGCCGTCTTAAAACATGTAGGTCGCAAAACGAGGACCACCTGTATTATATTGTGTAGGTTATTCATACCTCCTTTCACATAGGTGTGCACGTATTTATTTAAAGTTTCTCCTTTTGCTATATATAAATGGGAAAAGGGAGGCAAGTAAAGCCAGATGTAGAGCAGATGAAGGAAAATAACAGGTCAGCAGAGCATCCATCATGGGGAGTAGGGAATTGGCTGGATTGTAAGAGATCAAAGGGGGATGTGAGTGAAAGAACCTTAGAGGCAGAAGGGGCAGATAGGGTATCAATGTGGATGATATAGTCAAACCCCCATTTCAAGTAGAAACAGAGCTATTTTCTAAACCTCCAACAGATGTAATGTACACTTGATTACATGAGAACAAGCCCAGTCCCCCATGTTCCCTATCACTCATTACCTGGGGATTTGCACTAAGAAGAGGAACCTGCTTCATTACAAAGTCTTCTTTACCTTATAGGAAAGAAAGTGGAAAATACTTGGTTTGATGACTGGAAGAAGCCTTTACGAGGTTTTTTTTATGCTTTTATTCATACTTACCAGTGGATGGGCTGCTTGGGACAGAACTGTTTTTCTGCTGCAAAGAAAGATCTGGAATTGTAAAATGCTCGGAGCTCAACAATGTAAAACAGCACTAATTGTTACTGGGACGATCAGGGTCCCTCTCTGAAATGTCCCTCTGTTACTACTTTCCCTCCCTTCTTTTCATGATTAAAACATTTAAAATCAAAATGAACTTTTACTCTAATTCAGAAATGTTTCCTTTACCAAAAGCCACCCACCCTTCCTTTTTTTTTTTTTTTTTTTTAATTCCCTTTTCCCAAGTTCAGTTTAAGTCTACTGTTTGCACTAAGCACTACTCGTTCTCTAACTCACTTCCTTTCCACCCTTTATTTAACCATTCAGATGGATTCTTACCTCATAATACCTAACTTTTCCTCTAAGATTTTCCATTGTTTTCAGACTTTCCTCCAATTCTTTTTCTTTTGCTTCGAGCAGTGCTTTGAACTCCTCTCTCTGTTTGGGTCAGTGGAATGAGAAAGTATTTCAGTGACAGCAATATATGTGTATAGAGGTTTAGCCTTCCCACCAGAGGATATAACAATTTCCTTTACATTCAACATCCAGGAGGAAAATTCTTACCTCATTCTCAAGGTCATCTGACATCATCTGTTCCTGTAACCAAAGTCAATAATTAGGTCTGTGTGTTTCCAACATCAGGATCACAGCATTTTCCCATAAGCAGCGTAATAGTTAACAAATGACTTGTGTCCACACACAACATCTCCCAAGCTTCAAGAAGACCAGAATGACCACAAAAAACAAGACTTCGTTAAGAGACACGTCCACATCCTATTACTAGGTTGCTGAAAAAGTAGAAATCCTCGGAGATTTTATAAAACAGACCACACTAGACATGCATTAAGTACGATTCAGCTGCTTGAAAAAGACCGGATATCTTTTGACTGTTCGCGAAAAACTTTAAATGGATTTTCCACAGATTCAGCAATCCTTAGAATTCCAGGTGTCATTTGAAACACATAATTCAATCATGTGTCAATCAATCTGGTAACACCTCTACAGACAATAGTGAGTTAAAGGATAATCGTCATTAAAAAAAAAAAAAAAAAAAGTTGTTATAGCAATAGAAACTATGGGAGTTTTCATGCAATACAATTCTTTCTTTTTTTTTAACAATGTATATTGAAAAACTGGAGTAAATCCCTTTTCCAACTCCATCTTACTGCTCCAAGGGTCAGATTTAAAAGCAATCCAAACATTTTATGATCGGATTCTGTCCTGCTGTAGTTTATTTACATACATCATCACCCTGCACTGCAGTGGATCACTGTCAGAAACAAAAGGGCTTCTATCTGCGATGATTCTGCAAAGTTCCATCCAGTCTAAAAAAAACAAAACAAAAAAAAACAGATGGATAGCGGTTGACCCATGGAGCAGCTAGATGGAACCTGAAAATGGAGTGGTTTACATGTGGATTTTCTCCAATTTTTTTAATATACATGGTAAAAATAATAAGTTTGATTATATAAAATCACACATTTTGTTGCTTTAAAAAAATAAAATAATAATCACTTATCCTTTAGTCACCAAAACTACTATAGATATATAGTCATCCTTGGTGGCCCAGCAGTGTAAACACTGAATTTTCTGAAAAGAAAGGCAGTGTTCACATTGCTGCCCAAGTCCACCTCTAGTGATGTACACTCTCACAGCCACTAGAGGGCTTTCTGAGTTTGACCCTGCAACCTTTGCAGGACAGACGTTCAGCGTCTCCACACCCTGCATGGAATCAATGCAACTCTATGAAGAGAGGTTGATTGGTGCATTGCAATTTTTTGACGTGCATGCGCACTAGCCTTCATGCTTTCCTGTGGAGGAACAGTGGATTGGCTGAGATCCCCCAGATTGACGATCTCAGTCAAGAAGGTGGAGCTGGCAAGGAAAGCAGCTTGACAAAGACTAAAAGAAATATAAATATGTATTTTTAAAAATTAGTTTTTCTTAAGACATGGGATGTACACAGTATGTATATGTATAAAGTGTTAGGAATATTGAATTCCTAATGCTATAGTGTACCTTTAAGAGTCATTCACACATACTAGATGGTTGATTCAAGCAGTTTACTTCTCACACAGAACCCCCAATGGGACAAGCATCACACACACAGATCTGTACCTGACTGAGCTGCATCTGCAATCCCCCAACTTTTTCATTTAGAACACGCTGTTCATGTTGAAGCTTCAGCAGTTTATCCCGAAGATCCTCATTCTCCACTTCCAAATCCTGTGCAAAATAGTTGGGAGGGAAAGTGTCTGCATAGAACAGATCTCAACCAACCAGTCACAGTTTCAGAGGACGGACCACATAAAGGCATAGACACAACTTACCTGCCCTTGTTCCTTTGATTTTGTGCTGGGCTCTGACTTTGAATTCTGTCTCACCTGTTTCTGTGTAGAAGAAAAGGGACGCGTTTTTACATCATTACATAGAACACAGAGTGACATAAACCCTTAAGGGTAGCGGTAATCTGTTATTTTATACACACAATAATCTAGAAGACATTTATATAGTATGGTAAGGGATATACACTACTAATTTATTCTCTTAAAAATAAAACCAATTAACAGCACGTTTTATCATTAGAAATTATATTTTAAGGTTCTCAGACCAAAGTTTTTTCATTAAACACAGAAGTGAGCTGAAAACCATACTATAAAAATATAGACTAAAATATACACTTAAAGAATAATCGCAGCTTTGCAATTCACGATTGTTTGGCCTTTAGTTAATAAACCATAACACATAATCTAGAGGTTAGAATGTGTCTTCATACATTCAGTGCTGGGCAGTGGGCTTTTACATATTCCATTCAATGTGTGAGAAGACATTCAGGAAAGCACTTTATCTCCTCTCGTATTGAGGGGAGAGCAGGACTTCAAGATGCAAAAATACTTTTTTCATTCCCTGTTTAATTGCAATTAGTGAAAAACTGAATTAAATGGAAATATTCATTAAGAGGAAAACTTTTTGTAGATCTAAAAACACACAAATATCCCTCATTACCAGCAAATTGCTTGGAGACAATACTTTTGCAGTAATGTAGGCAGAAAACCGTAAAAGCTGTGATCCCTCAGCCAGTCCTGGTTCTCCCATTGCTTTTGAGAGGAAGTCCAGAAACCGTTCCATAAAAAGATAATTTTCATGTATTTATCCTTCTTATGTTATGTTTGTTTGTTTCTTTTAATAGAACCCAGGCATATGCAAAGGATATAGCTGTACTTTTTATACTGGAGGTGAGAACGGGCCCGGAGTTCCCTCTTCTTGGAATCAGTGCTCTAACCCATCTACCAGGTGTCCATGCTCTGTTGGGTTCTAGTAGTTTTACAGGTGTGGAGGTGAACAGAGTCATTATACTAGAGTCAGTATCAGCACACCCTGAGAGCGAGTGCAGTAAGTGTAAATGCATGGGTAGATTTCAATGAGGGAGGTCAGAGTAGTCCTATGAAGAACAGCTGCTAATAGACAGGTTGCCAGCATATACAAACAAAACAGACAAACCGTTAATAATGTCAATGAACCCAAACTTACTGTGCGCTTATAGACACCGCTCCTCAGATGTTCTGGCCCTGCATATAGATACACAGAAATCAGAATTCACACAAGTTATCACCTTGCAAAAATGCCATCTTGCAAAAAGGGGGGAAAACTACATAGATTAAGGCTAGACCACAACGCCCATCAGGCTTTATGAAAACCAGAGATATTGTTCACTTTGTGAACTCGATTTAGAAGGTGTAGACCAGAAGTGGCTACAAGGTAGAAAGATACAGAGCACAGATAAACACTTACCTCGTGGGGAGTTCTCCATTGCAGTTCGGATTAGAGACAGAATTTCCATATTGTCTCCTATGCGGGCATAATAAGCACAATCACGGCCAAGGGAGTCCACCAGCCCAACTTCTGCTCCTACCCGCAGCAGTACCTCCACAGACTCCTTACACCCATACTCACATCCCAGCATCAAAGGAGTTCTGTGCAAAACAAACACTATCAGATGGGCACACTATATACAGATACCCCAATGTACAAATTAAATGTACACATTCACTATTTAACGTACCTGTGCTGCTTGTCTCTGGCATTTACCTCAGCTCCTTTCTCAATTAAGAGCTGGCAGATCGCTGGATGACACATCTGAGTGGCCAGAGACAGGGGAGTCCCTCCATCCTGCAGAGCAGACAGAGGTGTTCGGTAGAAAGAAAGATCTGGATTGAAGTGTGTGAAAAGGACAAGGAGCATATAGGGCAAAAAGACAAGAAACAATGTGTGTTGGTGGACAGGACAGGTATGTATGGAGGGAGAGAGAAGAAACCGAAAGGAAGAGAACAATTTCAGCGGGTTTGAAGAGAATTTCATAAGGAGAAGCTATTTCTTACCCCATCTTTTGCATTAACACACGCTCCATGGTCACAGAGAAGGTGCACACAGGAGCAACAATCAGACATTGCTGTGAGAGACACAGAAACAGCCAGTTATGAAATATAACCAATATTTTTGACAATAATATAAACGTAAAATCTTGAATTCCTTTAAAAATGATGAGGTGAACACCTATTATTATATTAATATTTATATATCTTTGACAGTGGAACTCTTGCAGGACTATGCATTCCATCAGGTTCTCATTAAGGAATATGGGGGCTCCAAGCCCAGCCCTGCTTTAAAAACTGCAGAACCACAATGGAAACTTTCTGCCTTCTCACCTGCATCATGGAGAGCAGTTCTGCCTTGGAGATCCACATTCTCTGTGGGGCAATTGAACTGGAGGGAAGAGAGAGAAACAACAAATGGAGGTTTCAAGTTAATGCATTGTTGAAGACATTGAAATAACGTATTGTATTGTCTATTAAAAGCTACAGTGTTATGAAGTACTGCAAAAATCAAAGAGATGTCATAATAGGAAGTGACAAAAGGGTTAAATCGGTAAGGAAAATGGTAGGTCCTTTGAGGGGATATAAAATGGGAATCAGGGTAGAAGTCATCAAGAATCCAAAGAAGCAATGCGATGAGAAACGCATCACTGGGAGGGGCAGGCAAGCACAGAGTAGGGCATTGGGACAGACTATTCTTGCCTCCAACATCCAGGACTATTTGAGACTGGTATAAGAGCTGTGTATCTGGCATGTGGAATAGCATGGGACAACTCTATACTGACAGGGATATCAACTAAAGTGAGAATTACTGGGAATTTTGCAGAATTTTTAAAATGTGCTATTTTTGTCCTTAAATTTGAAATTCACGTTGAATTCACAGCAATTTTCAGTTTGGTAAATAACCCTGTTAGTATTTATTTCACACGTCACTTGAAAACATCCCTGAACATTGACAGTACATAGGTTGGCGGTACATTCACGAACGTGCACTACACAATTTTTGTACATTTTGTTTTACTGCACAAAACAGTGGGAATTTGGTCCAGCGGTGTCCTTTCAATGTGAGCACCTGTTATGATGCATTTTTGCTAGTAATCCTTCGAAAGAATAAATCAAATAGATCCAGTGCAAAGATCCCACTAACCTGTAGCAGTTTCTGCAGACACAAGGAGTGACCATACTTTGCAGACAGATGCAGAGCATTGCGACCTGAGAGAAAACACATCAAAGTATAACTAAACCCAACTCAAGGGTTATATAAAATGAACAATGATTGGGTAAAGTTTCAGAATAATATGAATCTGCATCTGTATCTGTGGTGACTGCACCACATCTGGAATGCCGTCCCAGAATTGATCTGTATAAAACGCTAAATATATTGTGTCCACCAAAAATATGGTTATTTGTAAATAAAAACCAGTCAATGCACATTACTTAATACTGGAATCACTGAAGGTATTAAAGTTAAACAAAATGGAGAGCATGAAAATTAAATATATAAATTAAAATAAAAACACACAGTACAGGTTTTAAATGTGTTAAGGCTACAGCTGGGGTCAAAAGTCTTTCATTCTGTTGTATGGGGTTGGATATCATTCCATAAGCTGGATAGGGTTTTATGGGATAAGTACTTCAGCCCCTCTCATCACATTCAATGTGTGAAACTGCTGGATTAGCCATACTTCTTCTGCTTATTATCTTATTCACAGCTTGGTTCACAACATTGTGAACAGGGATGTGTTTATCCATCTCCCAAACTGCTGATTACAGAGAGGTGAGTGATGTCCCTCCTATGTGCTCCTGTTTAAATTGAAATTCTAAAATATAAAACAATAAACAGGTGATTGTAAGCTAAAAGGAAATCTGTTTACATATCACATTGTGAGCGTAGGTGTGCCACTGTGTCGCCTTGATCAAGCCATTCTCACCCAGAAAGAGTTTTTAGAGCATGTACAGGTAATACAACATCCACTGGGGGCAAACTTTGAAAAATCTGCTACCGTGGACTGCGATTAAAAGACACTCCAAGCTTTTACGTAAATACATTTATTAATAAAGCTGGAATGTCGGGGAGTCCACTTAATAAAGCTTGCTCTCAGTCCTGGCGCGATCACTGTGGGATATGGCCAGTATTTACTCTATGTTATAGGATGAACTTCATTCAAATATGGTGGTGTGCAGAATCTACGTACAAGTGTGTGATATGTAGAGTGATACACGATAAAGTGTGAACGGTCAAATTTAAAGTGAATTTCACAAAACTTTAAAAATGAACATTCTTGACAATTCACACCTTTGGTTAATAACCTGGAATAGCAAATAAACAAATAAATAACTTAATCAAAAAGGTGTGTTTCTCATCCAACAAGACTTGCAAAAGTGCACTAAGGCTTACAGAACAGGAGAAAAGGCGAACGGTTACCAAATAATAAATACAATTACATATTCACATACACGCAAAACAGCTAGTATTTCTTTTGAAGTTTCTTACTCAGAGATTAACGAGAGCAAGAAAATCTACCAACTCGAGTTATAGCCTTTTACTATACACTTTTATTGCGTACAAATACTGCTAAGTGCTGATGATTATAGTTTAGATTTTTTTTTTTTTTTATTATTTTTTTTTTATTAGCAGGTAATTAATACAAAAGGGCGATGTTCTTTCGCACCCACATGCTTCTCTAAATAAACACACCTGCATGTTCTCTACGCCAAAGAGTGTTGACCGGTTATTTAATTTCCTTTTATAACACTTCATATTGCACATGTGCTTCCCACCCACATACCAGCAGCATCTGGGGCTGTGAGATCCACCCCATGTAACAGGATTGCATTCAGACACTCCAGGTGACCTTTTGAAGCTACGATGTGGAACCTGAATAGTAAGAGAGAGAGAACATATTTTAGTACAAACTTTATAGAAATATGCTTTTGTATCCCATTCATTCTCTCACCTTATTGGGCAAGGCCGTCCCTTGCAAGGCACAATTACAGTAACATTTTTAAATGAATCAATACAGGATACATAGATTACAATGAGGCTTGGAGGTAACTTTTGAAGGTTGATATTCGAGAAATAGCTGGATCAAAGCAAAATTCTTTGCATGAGATTACATAAAGTGAAATAAATAAAATGATATAAGTAGCATTATAACATAAGTAAAGATGAAAGAAACTTGCAAATTGCATATGTAGCAAGCTATTTAGCGTACAAAGGAAGAATTACAGACCCAACAACTTTGTAAAAGAGGAAAAGCAGCATTTGTGCTGAACACTAAGGAGGGATCACTTTACTCACCCCCTGTAGCACGAGCTCCTGGAGGAGCCTGCTAGGCTAGCCTCCTGCCCAATGACTACGGGCTACTTACAAAGACCCTTTTCAGGAGTTAAACCTCCTCATCTGCCATTAGTAGCTCCGGCACTTTCCCTTCACGCGAATGTAACTGAAAGCTAGCTCTCTGGCGGCTGTTCGCGTGAACCAAACCCACAAACAGTCCCAGCGGTATTTAGCCGCGACTGCTAGGGAACTAATTTCGGCATGAGGACTTTGTGGGTCCCGGTCACCTCAGCGGGACTTAGCCACGAATGTTATGGAACCATTTTCGGCATGAGGCGACCGTGCGGTTCCCGGACAATATATTTCGCGGTCTTGAAAATCTGCCAGGGTAGCGCTTTTGGAGGAAAGGTGCCTGAGACTAAGGGGAACAAACGCTACCTAAGAGCCAGGCGGAGCACCCTGTATTGCAGCCGCAGGTGCTCCCTGAAAGTTGACCTGCCATGGCACCAAACGCCCTGGATCTGTTCTGGGCATAGGACCATGTGTGTAGCCGGGCAGAGTTTTAACATGGTGGCGTTTCCCTTACACTGCATGGATCTAAGCACTATTTGGAGAACTTGGGCACTCAGTTCAGGGCTACTTGGCGATGTATTATTTGTGGGGTTATTATATATTTTATGATGTTTTGGGGTATTTTTAGGTTTTATATTTTTAGGTTTGCCTCTCTGTTCTTGGGAGATAATTAGCTTACCTGTCTTTTTTTAATTTTTTTAATTCTTTATTTTTGTAGTGCATAAGCTCATAACAGACAGTTGGGAGGTACCCCAAAGGCAATCCTCCAACTTGGTATATAGACATTTAGACAGAGGTACATAAGAAAATATGCACAATTTTTTATGATTAAAGATGATGAAAATAATAAACAGTCATAGGTCCAGCAGCCAACCCTGACTCCTAGTTGGAGGTAACTTTGCTGGCATATCAATTTGGCTAATGTTAGGCAACATAGAACAGCATTCTGATTGAGTGATACAGGCTTAATTCCGTAAATGCCTAAATCGCTTTGTTATAAGGCGTGTGTGTAACTTGATAGGCTTGCAAAGGAGAGTCAAAGTTACTGCACTGGCCCTGACTACATGCAATTCTAGTCCCTTACTACGCTAATCTCTTGTTTGATTCTTTATGTTCCAGCACAAGGTATGGAGGGTACGTATGCATGTCATATTAGGGAAATGTGCTTGCAGAAGCTTAGGTGACTTGCGAGTTCCCCTATGTTTGAGGGGTGTGTGGCTTCGTACTGTTTCTCCGCTTACCTAAGGGTGTTGTTGCCCTATGTTGGGGGTGCATGTGAGCGTTAGTGGGCCAGAGTTGCAACATATATTTGCGTATATGCGTGCTTGACTAGGCTGCAGTATGTGCATAGAGTAAGTGTGGTCTTTAAGGTAGTGTCCGAGGTGACATGGCTGTCAGGAGCCGGTATCAGGGCTATGTCCTGACTAAATCTATGCACTCCGGGTGAGCACTCCTGATCAAGGGAGTATTGGGGGGGTATGGAGTGTGGGTGTTCTAGGGTGCCCGCTAGTTTGTTTGTGTAGGGAGGGAGTTTGAGTGATTTCAGTTGTGGGATAGTTGGTACCGTTTAGGTGTCCCCTTCCACTAGTCGTGTTGTGCGCCCTGGAGCTGGTGTTGATCCTATTGGTTGTAGTAATAAGAAATTATGCGGGAAGGGGAGAGAGAGGGGAAGCACAGAAGGTGATATCAATAGTTAATAACTGAACATATGGTCTCTTGTAGGACTTTGGAGCGGTTGTGCCTGGCAAGGCAGTCCTCAGGTGTTGTTTCCATGTACCCTATGTTGGGTGGGCTCTCAAGCTTGGTCCTGGGTCCGTCGCTCTCATGCGCTCGTTCCTCGGGACGAAGGTCACCGTCTTGTCCGGATTCCAAATGGGAGTGGAGGTGTTCGGGGGTGTGTTGGTCCTCAGTGGCTCCAGGCCCAGTGCTGTGAGGAATGGTGTTGTGTCTTCCATCGAAGTGTATGTAGGTTTCCATTCTGGGTCACCGTTAAGGATCCGTTCGTTCCCCACCTGTAGCTTATGTTTGTTGAACGTAAAAGGCTTGTTACCGGTTGGAATGTTTTGCGCCAGAGGAGGGTTGTCTTTGTGAGATCTTGATAAAACGAGAGATGAGCCTCTTCAAAGTATAGAGGCGTTTTGCCTTCAATTGCGGACATGATGAGTATTTTGTCGTGCACTGTGAGGCACCTTAGTATGACGTCTCTTGCCATGTTAGTTGGTCCCCCCGCGGGTCCAGGTAGGCGGTAGATCCCCTCCACCGTCAGCTTTTTAGCTACTGGGTGCAAGAAAAAAAAAAAAAGGCATTTGTCGCCTCAGGGGGTGTTGGTGTGTTCAGCTATCCACTTTTTAGGGCTGGATGGGCTCTCTTTTGCGGGATATCCGTGGATTTTTGATGTTGCTAGGAGGAGCTTATCAGCATGGCGTCTTGTCAGGTTGGTGGTCAAGCTCCGCCAGCTTACCTGTCTTTAACGCAATTATCTCCCAGGCACAAATATCATTTGAATTGTGTGAAGACCCCCAGCTGGGGGAAGTGTGTAAAAGCAGGCAACTTAGCCATAATAAACCAGTTCCTTTACACCCATCACTTAGTCTGGACTAGTGTTTGATTGGATCAGCTATACTCTCTGCAGGAGAGCTTAATCACTTGAAGCTGTACCCAGGACCCTGTTCCATAGCCCTGTTCCGGAGCGGGAAGCGACGGAGAGACCCCAGCCAAGCTGCGGCCAGGGGCTGAAGCACTCCTGTGTTCCAGAGGAGAGCTAGGAAGCGAGCTTGACAGAGTTACTCACATGCCCTCTCTTACATCCAGTCCCATGCCACTTTTTGCACCAACATTCATTAAATAACTTTGTGCAATAAATAACATGGAGATAACGTTCTTAACACGTATGAATCTCCCTTATAAGGAAACTCCAAGCATGTAAGAATGGTTTCCGCCTCCCTGTTTACAGTGTCTTAGAATTACAGTGATTTGCAGAAATTGCTGCAGCAATAAGTCATGCCGCTTAAAGGTATACTTCCCCTTGGCTGTACTTGTGTGGTTTTAGCTTGCCATAACAATTTCTCACCTCCTTCTTCCCAGAATCATCTATAAATAAGAATGTGCCATGGTGACATACATGTATAGTAAGTCTTAAATCTCATCAACTCCTGTCTCTGGCATTGTTATTTTGTACATCAACTACTCGTTTCTAGAATTCATTGGTGATTTCTAAATTTGATTGATAACAACATAGCTACATACATGCAAATACACCAAATATACACATTAGTAATTTGTATGGAAAAACTCTAAAGTGTCTGTGCCACTTCAGAAAGATTCTTTGTAAAAGGTCCATGTTGTATCTAGATTCATTTTGAATTAAAAACAAGTTATATGAGACATAGGAAGCACAAGCTGCCCCCTAAATCAAACAGCACCATACAAGCAGATAAATCTTTGGGGGGGGGGGGCACTTTAACAGAGACCACCAATGGCTTCTATCTGACTATGCATTCACTTCATTCTTGTCTTTGCATGAATGAAAAGTGACATCAGTGCTTATTTACATAAACCTAGCACATTAAAATGTGTGTCATCTACAGTTTTTCTTTAAGGAAAATATAAATATAGAACATTTTGGTAATACCATTTGAATGCAAAGCAAAAAACAATTGCACCTAATTTGATTGTTCTGCTGGTATTGAACTACAACTCAGAAGCACCTCGATCAGGATTTGACGGGACAAATGTTGGTTGATGACCGTGGGAGGTGTAGTTCAGCAACTGCTGGAGTGCTACCAGTTGGCTACTCCTACTTTATCCTGTATAGAGCCCCCGTGCTTAGAGACACAATGTTTGTCTTTCGTCTTACTAATACTTAAATAATAATGGCATCACGCACAGGTGGAAGGGACTGCAGTTTTATCCAAAGGTTAAGATTAGTAATACAGTTGTAGCAGTAAACTCACGCTGAACGGCCCTCCAGGTCCAGCTTGCTGGGATTTACACCCTTTTTGGCAAGGGTGGCTGAAATCTTCTCTACATCTCCTCGTTCTGCTGCTCTCATCAGCCGGTCATCATATTTGCTCCAATCAGAGGTTTGCTGTTAACAAAAAAAAAAAGAGAAAACAAATGATGAAGTCCAGACGCTGAACTTGGAGCATTGTAACCTATGCTGCATTTAATGATTCACCATGCAAATCTTCTAGAAAGAGTCTGCTCAAGTGCCCAGAATCTAAGTCCAGCTCTTTCAATGCACAGAACATGGCAATTCTATCTTAGTCTGAAACTGATCATACCCATCATAACTAACTGATTTTAGAGAGAATCCTGTGGATGATTTTAAATCCATGTAAAAAAACAAAAAAAACAAAAAAACACACAAATAGATATTTTTTTTATATAACACCACAACAGGTTTAAAGATCGTGCAGTGAATTGTGCAATTAATAAAAGAGCATAATGGTACATTAGACGTATTAATGTACACTAAACCATGTGCATAGCATGGGGAATGTAAAACCAGGTGAGCATAAAACAGGTTGAAGTGTATGCCAGTGCCAGAGCACACCTTGTAACAGACAGTTAATCTCGTTGTATAGATGGATGAATGATGACATAAGTAAGAGCAAGGATGTGAATGTGGCAGGTGAAATATTGGAATGTTGAAGAGGAGAGAAAAACAGCTTAAGAGAAACAAGAACGGAGTAAGGGGAATTAATATAAAGAGATAAAGTTGGTTCATTGACTAATCTGAGACTAATCAGCTCACTAAATTGTAGCCTAATCTTTGCCATGCCACAGTACGATCCAAACAATTCATAGTTTGGTGAATAAAGCTGAGAGAGAGAAAAGCAAGAGTACAATCACTGTATATTAATGTGTTCTGGAACAGAATGAAGGCAAGACTAATAACATAAGTGTCAGCATACACAGAAGCAATAAAAAAGGAGTGAAAATGGTCTTTATGACTATAATGAATGCAACGCTAAACAAAGTTCAAAACTATTGTTTCCCCATAGTTTTTCACCTACTGCTTTATACTGAAAGAAGATCAGTGGATGCCATAAAACAAACTTACTGTGCGTTTAGAAGAACAGGTAAACCAACGGGTCATTTTAGCTCCACCAATATCCACAGCGCGCACATACACAACACACATTAAGGAGAATCAAGAGTGCCAGCACCAGTGCCCATCAATGCTAGCACAGACTGGGGCATCATGAATGCCATGCTGAAAGCCATCTTTCCCAAAAAGGGACATTCTTCACCTGTCCTGCGACCAAGGAGTTCTAACATGTTAAAGCCATGGCTCTTCTGCTGCCTCTGTTCCTCTCTGAAGTTGAGCTCCCAACCAACCCCCCACCCCCACTGTGATGCTCTGTTCTCTCTCTCTCTCTGAGGTTCTGCTTTTCTGCTCCTCAAACGAATAGTAGCTTCTCCCAAATCACTCCCCTTGTAAACACAGCGTCTCTGGCCTCTTTCCCAGAGGGAGGGCAACTCTATTTTTTGCCGAGGAGGAGGTTAACAGCTGAGATAGTGAGCAGGATCCATACACACATGCTCATGCTCTGCATTCCCATGCACTGAGCCAGTCAGCTTTATAATTTAGGGCAGGGAGCATTAGAATAACAATTAGGAGTATTTACAATATTCAGAATGCGTAGCTGACACCTCTCAGACACTCTGCTAGCACCTGCCAGGAAGCAGAAGGAATAATAATAATAATAATAATAATAATAATAATAATAAGTATATATTCATCCTGCTTCCTTGGCAACAGCATTCTACAGGAACCAGTTTATGAGCTTCAGATACCATTGCCTTCAATGGTAAAATATTACAAAACTGCATCATTGTAAGGAGTGCTGCAGTGATTAATCTAATACAGACTGGCTCAGAAGAATCCACTGGACAGCTTACCAGTGGTTCATGCCAGACAAACACAACAGCCAACATTTCTATGTCTGGTATGGCAATGAGAGGAACCAGCCATTATTACAAATGTAAAATTAGCCATTGCAGGTTAGTAAAAAAAAAAAAAAAACGATTTGTGTGGCAGAAGCTGCCAATGTTTCCTAATCACAGGGAAGCTTTAACATTTATCGTAAAATGATAAATCAAATTGTTAAAGATTGGATACTTGCTGATCTATACATTTGACGTGACTAACTCGTTTGGGCAGGGTCCTCGTCTACTTATTGTTTCTGTAGAATTTTGTAAATCTAATTAATTGAAAAATCTGCCCCCTTTCATAATGTTATAAAGCGCTACGAAATAAGTTGGCGCTATATAAATACCAATAATGACAACTTGAGAAATCCATATATAGTTATACTTGCAGCACATGTCCTTCATACTACAGGCAGACTGACTGATCCCCATGGACCTTCAATACATCAGTTAACCCTAATTAAAATACCTTGCATGTGGCATGAGCAATCCAAACAATGCAGCCGTTAACCACTCAGGTAGAAGGTCTACAGCTGACCTGAATTCAGGCATGTCTGGAATGCATTGTGCTAGCATACATAATAGGTCTGTACACTTGCAATTACAAACATAATATAAGCAGGAAAAATTCACAGACTTGGACACAATGATGTCGAATTCCACAACTATTAAAACATCCTAGTTTAATGTACTATGGGGAGATAGGTTATGTACAATGTAACCAGCAAGAGTTAATATTTTAACACTGTTACATGAAAAATGATAGAAAGACATAAAAAAGTAGCATAATTTGTCTAAGAGGGAGTAAAGAACTTTCACATTAAAGAGCTGTATAAAGAGAGTAATGCAATTTCAAGCATTAAGCATAGCACATTCATTCTATTCTTCCTATTATAATCCTGCATGGCATGTACAAATCCTCAGAAGGATCTTTATATTTAATAGCAAAGAATGGCAGCTTTGAAGTCTCAGTGCTCACATTGCATAGAAGGATGATCTAATATACAGGAAAGTGAAAGATGTGGTGTAAAAAATGTGCAGTTTTGCTATTGATTCGTTTTTTTAAGGCCCTTGCTATTTTATAAAGGAGGACAGATCATAACGGTCACTAATCACTAGTTTTATCACAAGAACCTGTTAACAACTCAGAACACAGATTTACAAATAAATAACAAATGGCTTTACTGTAAATATGTAAACACACACACACACACACACACACACAAAACCCTCTATTAAAAAGAAAATGAAAAGAAAAAACACACACACATAGGCTGAGGATATGTGAAACCCTTTCGCAGCAGAATTTCAATGAGAAAGAAGTCATATCAGAGCTGTAATTGTAGCAGCATTGTCCTTGGGAGCCTTGAGGTAATGGACCCCCCCTCTCCAACTCCCTCATACAAGAAGCATCAAAAGAATCTGGAGAGACGATTGAGAGATGGAGGGGGACAAACTAGGAATACAAAGTACATTCAGTGATATCAGCTTTATATAATAAACATTTTCACTGGATTTAAGTTTTTTAGTAACATCAATCCATATATTAGCAGTTTTTCAATTTTCCCTTTACCATTCTGAAAATACAATTTCCTTTTTCTAAACTTATTGGAGTAGACATTACTGTGATTCCTTATTGAAGACCTGTTGATGCTTCTTTTTCTGTTACACAGGACTTGGCATTTAGTGATAGGAGTAACAGGACCCATCGATGGCAATCCTAGCGAGCAGACAGAGAATAAATGGCATTTTCCTAGAGTAAAGGGAGCAGATACCAGCACTATAAGAAGGGATATGTATCGCTCAGCCTAGCTCAAAACAATGAATCATTCCATGCCTTTATTACAAATACAAAGAGCCAGGAAATAGCAAGCAAGCACTTCCTCTGCTCCTAATCTAAGACTGCACAGAACTGCTTGGCACTCAGATATACAGATAAATACAGCTATACATTTATATTCAGAATACAGGCATACATTGGAGGAAAACAAGGAAAAAAAAATGTATATATAAAATCAGTGTACAGATATCAGTGTACAGATATCAGTGTACAGTACACTATTACCACTGTCCCACTAACCAGTTCCAGTTGGAAGTTGAGCTACAGCCAGTGTGCCACTGTTTATGAAGGATCATCAGTGCCATTTGAAAACTACCTCTTATATTGTCCTCAAAGATGTAATTGAAGGGTTACTTCAAGCATTATAATACCATAGCCCACTGTAATGGTTATAATGCCAGTAGTTCCCTTGCCCAGTAATGGGGCAAACTGATTAGCTATGTCCCCACACTACTCCAATGCTTCCTCGTGGTCCAGTAACAGGCTTCTAGCTCCTGCAGAGTTGAAGAAGCTGGGAGGCATGGTGGTCGACATTTATTGGTTGAGAGAGTCAGCAGACTGTTCTCAGCCACTATTTTTTGTTGGCCAATCCTCACAAAGTAATTTGCAAAAAAGTAATGATGGTCCAGGCATTCAAGTTCAGTCCAGTGGGCAGATTTATTGGAGCAGAATCAAAACATTTCGGCCCACAACAGGGCCTTTGTCAAGCTTGACAAAGGCCCTCTTTTGGGTCGAAACGTTGTTTGATTCTGCTCCAATAAATCTGCCCACTGCATTGAACTTGAGTGCCTGGACCATCATTACTTTGTTCGTTCTCAGCCACCGGCTGACTTTCTGTGCAACAAATGTTGCGCAGATTTAACATTATGCACTCTAGCTCTGGGCTGGCTGATAACCCCTGGCTTTATACCTCCAGCAGAGGAGGGGTTAATCAGCCAACAGAACTCAGTGTAGTAAGGCACAGTGCTGGGAGTACTTCAAATGCTTCCACAAGCATCCTAGATACCCCCAGCAAGGATGACATATTTATAGTGGAGAAAGGTCACAAGTCTGTTCCTGTCTCTTCCTCATACATTTAGACAGATGTGCAGGAACGCTTAAAAGTAAGCATTAGTCACAGCAATGTTAAAGGGACACTATATAGCTACAGCTCACAGTATTTGTTCTGGTGAGTATAGTCCGTATCTGCAGGCATTTTGCCATAAACACAGTCTTTTTAGAGAAATGGCAGTGTTTACATTAAAGCCTAGGTTCACTTCTAGTGACTACTCCTCAGATGGCCATTGGAGGTGCTTCCTGGTGCAGTGCTGCACAGTGCGGCAGGAGTGAAGGGAGATTGAAGTGGCTTGGTCTGTGCCACTAGGGTAGGAGTTAACTCTGCAGTTTCTCAAGATCTGCAATGTTTTACATTGAAGGGTTAAGGGGACAGGGACTCTTCACAGAGATCATTTCATTGAGATGAAGTGGTCTGGGTTACTATAGTGTTCCTATAATGAAAAGTAAGTTTGGAAACTTAGTGTGGGTTTCAGAAACCGTATGAAGCGGTCTCACAAGTCCCTGTGCTGGCATACCACTATCCAATCAAAAGCTGAAATCATGGAGATAGTTGTTGCATGGGAACTCCACAAATCTCAGACAGACTAAGACATTTTTGAATTGACACAGCCTACAGTTAAAGGAACTTTTAAAATAAAAAAAATATATAAAACATACATAAAACAGTGAAGATTCCACCTTAAGATTCTATCGTCATTTATAAACCACAATTAACATCACAGGATCTTTCGTTTATAGAGCTGGGAAATTCTATATTTTTGTAGTCAGTGGCCACTGTGTTTAAACCAAGAACCCCCAGAAGAGGCCTACGAAGTTCAGTCACATGGGCCTTTTATGTTATATACAAAAGATAAGCGTTGCATTTCTAAAGACTCATTGTTTAACAGGAGCTGACTTTAAAACGGTTGCTGGTTGGATACATGCCCATTTTGTGCCCCTCAGTCTCTTGGGTTATGGAAAAGGGAGTTCATGAAATCAATTTCATGAAGGGGGGGAGGAGAGGTATAGAGCAGCTAATATACCAAGGTATCCATCTTTTAAATAGTAATTATTCATTTGTATCCATCTTGGGAAAATACACTTCGAGGATTATTACCATTTTGATTTTACAGATTTAATATCAAATTCAAACACTTTATAATCAGTATTTTTTTATGCAGGATGGTAATAATGTAATATATACTGGACAACATACAGGTCACCTGAACAGTCTGTAAATATATCATTATAAGATATAATAAAGTGTACGAAGATAATTTGAAAGAAAATGAAAGATCAAATGCTACACTATTCTGCCACTACAACCATGCCCCTCTATACCATATGCCAAAATAGAATGTTTAGAGTTTACTTTTTTTTGGTCTGTCAGCTCTATACAGCCCTTCAGTAAGTTATGGAGTGAATTCCATTTTGGAAATGGCTCCTTTAAGAACAGACAGTTATGATGGCAGATTGTCACTGGTCTTAAAGGGGTTAAATCTACGTAATTGGTAGATCGAAAGCTACGTAACCTTGTTAAAGATTCGATTAAAGGATTAATCTTCTATTAGCATATCCCATATGCAAGTGTATTTTACTATGCACGGTTTAGAAACTGATAAACAATTGAATGAATAAACACAAGCATCAGGAATCTGTCCCCTAGCCATGTCCCTTTCATACAATCAGAAAAAAGAAAAAGCTTAAAAGGGACTCTCTGGTGCCAGGAAAACATATCCATTTTCCTGCAGTGTGCCCCTGCCTCCCAACCCCCATCCCATGTTGCTGAATGTGGTTAAAACCCCTTCAGTGACTTACCTGAATCCAGCACCGATGTCCGTCGGCGCTGGGTAAGGTTCCGCCCATGCTCCTCCCCCACCGATGTCAGGGGAGTCCTAATGCGCATGCGCTGCAATGGACGCGCGCATTAGACCTTCCCATAGTATGAGGATTCCGGCGACCCTGGAGGTCCTCATGCATTGCGTGAGGACGTCCAGCATCGTTTAAAACACTTTGTTCTAAGAACACGAAAGTCCCTCTAGCGGCTGTCTGATAAGACAGCCACGCAAGGTAATTATTGCAGTTTTAATTTTTTATTTTTTTTTTATAATTACACTTGCAGAGTTAAGGGTGGTAGGAGTTGGCACCAAGCACACTCCAATAGACAGAAGTGGTCTGGGTGCCTGGAGAGTGTCCCTTTAAATATAGTCATAGAACATAAGAGGTCATTATGGGACTTCTAGTAGTTCAGCTGGTGCGTATGGGTAATTACACCTAGTAATAAATAAAAATCAATAAATTAATTAATTTTCAAAAACTGACACCGTAAAGTCAACATTCAGAGTTCCAATTGGCTACAATATTATTGCTATTCCCCATTCTATGGACGTACAAACCCTCCTGTGGAATTACAGAAAGTATAACAAACTAAAATGAGTATAGTGAACAGTGGTCTCATTTTATGCAATCTGCATACAGTATACATCACTTTTCTACACCAATTACTGTAGATAAATATGCCTCGACATAAATGTTCTCTCACTGAAAGAAAAAAATCCGTATCTAGCACACTAGTACACATCTGGCTTTGGAAGCAGCTTTAGTTCCTGGTTGCAAGATCTTTGTTCATAAGACACCATGAACATGCAGCCTCATTTGTCTGAACATATGACAGATCTTAAATAAGTTTGGTAAAATGTGTGCTTGAACAACTGTGGATGGACCATTCTTTTCATCTTCTTGGGGCACTGGCTCTGTCATAACTTAGCTTGTGCCATTCAAGCAGATAATTGCTTAAAACCTACAGAAACAAGGAATGACATTTTTTTGGCATTCTGCGAGTCTTGTGAATTTATTTTACAAATGTGTACATACTATATAGGGATGCACCAAAATGAAAATTCTGGGCCAAAACTGAAAATTCAGGATGCCCTTGGCCGAAAACTACTTTTTCTCCCATATGATTTTAAAATAGTTTTTTTTCTTCTATAATTTCATTAAAATTAGATTTTTTTTAAAATGAATCTAATATGAAAAACTTCCCTTCACTTTTAGTGGTCCACCCTACCCCGATGTTCCTTTTCCCTTCCCTGTACCTTCGTGCCCCCCCTCTTTTTTAGTTTCCCCCCCGTCCCATAATGTTCTTCCCCCCCCCCTCCCCTGTCCCATAATGTTCTTCCCCCCCCCCCCTGTCCCATAATGTTCTTCCCCCTCCCCTGTCCCATAATGTTCTTTTCCCCCCCCCGTCCCATAATGCAGTATTCTTTACTTTTCATGTTATCATTACGACCTTTCATTTGATATATAATCGTCTGAATTGTCAATGCAAGCATATCTGTTAAACTATGCACTACAAAAAAAAATTTAAAAAAGAAATGTCAGTTTATATATATTTATTTTTTTTCTGCAAATTTGACCCTTTAATTGGCCGAAATGGAATAGGCCCATTTTCGGCCAAAAATGTTGGCCGACGAAATTTCGGTGCATCCCTAATACTATTTACAAGAAATACAAATGGGAATAAATATACATTAATCAGGACTTCTGTTATGTCACCACAACTTAAATAGCACTTAGCTGGATACGGTCATAGTGATTTCCAACAGTGAACCAAGATCAGGGTCATGCTGACAAACCCCACGCGTCAAAACAGCTGAGGAATTTGAAATGGAAGATCAAAGTAGGACACATGACAGCCTTGTCATTTTTTGACAATGGTGTTTTTACAAAAATGTCAAAAACTCAGACTTTAGCAAACAGAACCACTACTAAATTACAGAGATTAAGCACACCGGCTACCCAAAAATATGGCAAATACACTTATAAAATGCTAAAACCGTGCTGCTTCACTGGATTTCAGAGTGGCTACCCATTTGCTAGAGTCTTTACTTGGCATTCTGCACAACTGTTAGAGAAGGAATTTAGCTTTAAAAGAGAAATGTATGTTAACCAGGTGAGGGGTTCCTTCTTTTCATCTATATCTTATCATATAAGCTTTCCAAATAATTCAATATTTTTGAAAACATTTTTTCCAAAATGATTTAGCTACAAAGTTCCCATAGACTTTAATTATTGCTTCTGTAGATAAATTACTAAAGATTTTCTAACTATACTGAATTAATCGGAACGCTTAAATCAAGGCCATGTGAAACTGCTACCTTCCTGCATGTAGATAGAATATACAAAATAGTTTGGGAATTCATCACAAGTTTCATTTTTACACCACTCTTCTCAAAAAGACAACAAATGAGGGCCACCTGCTAAAATAGTACAGGTAAAGCCAATGACAGGTGAGGGCCACCTGCTGAAATAATACAGGTATCGCCATGGACAGAGGAGAGCCACCTGCTGAGAAAATACAGGTACAGCCAGTGACAGGTGTGGGCCACCTGCTTAGATAATACAGGTACAGCCAGTGACAGGTGTGGGCCACCTGCTTACATAATACAGGTACAGCCAGTGACAGGTGTGGGCCACCTGCTTACATAATACAGGTACAGCCAGTGACAGGTGTGGGCCACCTGCTTAGATATTACAGGTACAGCCAGTGGCAGGCAAGGATGGCCTGGCCAGATACTACTGGTAGAAACAGACAGGAGATTGAGACCCTGCTCAGAAACGTCAGGTACAGAAAGTGGCTGACCAGGGGCTCCTGCTTAGGTTTTACAGGTATATACATTGACACGTGACAGCCTGTTACTGGGATATTACTGAAACAAGTAAGAGGCCCTGGCTCAGATGGTCAGAAACAATTTGAAATTGTAATTTAAATGTGTTTATTCTGTTTAAGAAGTTTTATTTATGACTTTCAATGTTTGTTTTGTGAACATTATGAGGCCATGAAGAAGTCTAGTTTCATATACAGTATTTCCTTTAAGTCATACATTGTTTTGGTTTTTGAGACTGAAGGGGATAGTCTCAGAGAAATTCGTCATCCAAGCAGATTATTTACTCACCTGCAAGTATTTTATTATAAAAATACTACAGGTAGGTTTCTTTCAATGTTTATTATTAATTGCCTTAAGCGTCTGGCAGGCAGGAAAAGAATTCCCACCCACAGTCCCAAAGAGAACTGTCTGGGATGCTAAACTTATTTTGTGTTGGGTCAAGACCCCCCACCATGCGGACAATAATCTATAATTAACATCAATGTTAATAGAAAGAATCAAAAAAAGAGCACACAAATGTGAAACCTTACCGTAGCAAGTGACATAATTTCACTAAATATGGCCCATGGTTTGGTCTCTTCACCAATTTTCCTACAGGAACATTTAGTTATTTTTTGACAGGTCAGTGAACATATGACAGATCAGAATCTACTGAATCCATAAGTAGAAAGCAAGGGTGCATTGCAGATGATTACAGAGAAGGTTGGGGGTTGAAACATTCTACACTATGGAAGAAGTTTATTCAGAGAAGAAAATTTATCGTATGGCGCACAAAATGTGAAAAAACGGAAAAATGTAACATGCTATATTTGACCCTGTAACTTCCCAAAACACCATAAAACCTGTACATAGAGCGTACTGTTTTACACGTGAGACATCGATGAATACAAATATGTGTATTTTATTGCAGTAAACGCAAACAGTATGACGACATTCACAGTTAAAATGTCACGTAGAACTAAAACCTTTTTTTATATTTTATTCATATTAAATTATGTTTCATACCTAAATATTTGATGTTAATGAAAGCCCTGTTTCACCTAAATAAAATGATATAGAATAAGTGTGGGTACACTTAATATGAAAGAGTCGAATTACGGTTGAACAGACAGTCAAATTCCAGATTATGTTTTGATCACAACGTGTACATTTTACGCAGTCCTTAAGGGGTTAAACACTCATATTTGTGTTCAGCGAAGTCTTACGAGTATAACAATACAGGTTTTATGGTGTTTTGGAAAGTTACAGGGTCAATATAGGGCTTGCTCAATTCAGTTTGCCAGATTGGTTTGCTGGGTCTATGATGCCATATGGTAGCCCAGGAATGTGAATTAACCCCTCATGGCATACCATTGTCAAATGTAGACAGTCCAGGGTATTCAAAATGAGGTATGTCCAGTCTTTTGTAGTAGCCACAAACGCTTGCCAAAGTTAGCGTTCATATTTGTTTTTTGTACTCACCTGAACATGCATAAATGGGGTGCTGCATGTTCAAGTGAGTGCAGCCCCCTGGTTTCACATACAATATATATCTAGCCAACTCCTTGGTTTTTGCACCCCTCCCTGTCACAGGTGCCTCAAAACAAATTTTAAAAAACGCATCCAAAAACCGCATCCATTGCCATGTTAACTGCAGAAATGCAGAATGAAGTCAGACATGATGTCAGTCTTTTTTTTTTTTGCATGTCAGTCTGGGATATAAGACTTGCTTTTCCCACAGAAATTTCACTTTAATAGTGCTCTCACTACTGCAAGGGATTCTGGGTAGGTGTATGCAAATGAGCTCAACAAAGAACCACATTTTTGCCTCATAATTCCATTTTATAAATGGATTCCTTTGAGTCTGTGTCTGCTGTATACAAAGGCTTTTAAACACAACTCAGGAAGAGGAGCAAAGCCAGCGAGCCACTCATGGACACCTGTGTCACTATTAATGCAACTCATGAGGCTGGTTACAATGTATTAAATATCCACTTACTTCAGGTGGAAGGGGTTTACATCCACACTTTTTTCCCCACCACAACTCTTATGGTATGTACTTTACAAGTAACACCAAGCCTCCATAGCAATCCAGTAACCAACCTCATGCTGATGAGTTGCATTAACAACAAAACAGCTGTCCATGAGTGGTTCACTGGCTTTGCTCCTCTTCCTGAGTTGTGTTTCAATGCTGTTGAATACAGCAGACATACTTCATGGAATCCATGTATAAAAGTGGAATTAGGAGGCAAAAATGTGGTACTTTGTTGATCTCATTTGCATACCCAGAATCCCTTGCTGTAGTGAAATGCAAGTCTTTTGGCTTGACTGTTGTGTGTATTTGAGTTTAGCAATGTATTATATATAAAAGATGTGGGGCAAATGTCACAATATATTGTAAAAACTGGGCTTATTTGGGATTCAGTCTTCAAATGAGGAAAAAAATAAAAAAAAATCAACAAATTCAATGGTAGATTCCTCTTACGCATGAAGTGTATTCAAAAATAGAGAACATTTTACTGGCTGTGTACAATGAAGTAATTTTACGCAAAGCTACTATACAGATATAATTTTAAGTCTATAGAGTCCTATCTGCCAAGATTTTACATACACTTCCAAAACAATGTCAGATGTTCTTTCTTAAACCCTAACTGTAATCACAAATGTCGAAATGACAAATGAGAGATAAGTCTAGATGAGGAAAATATTAACCAAAATCAAAGGACTACCTATTTTAACATTATGTTCGCCTGCATCCCCATCTAGTGGTTACAAGAGGATCCAGGCTGCGGAAAGTGTCTTGAAGCACTCAGAAGATATTCATACAAGCCCAAGTATTCAACATCAAACCACAGATGCTCTATAATTGGGGAGTGGATATGTAGAGCGGAAAATATACATTTCAGTCATGGTTTATCCTTGTGCTAAATAACCATAGTGTAAAATAACCTCACATAATGCACACATTGAAATCAATGAGCACCTCCCTGTTTGAATTACAGGAAGATTTGATCTGATAAGAACCATCGTGATTTTCAGTTGGGGTCTTTTGACAAGCACAGATATCTTAAAAACAATATTACAAAAGCAATCTGCTCTCCCTTTCCCCAATCATGTATGTACACCTCCCACCATCTCAGTGGCCTGGAGGAGGGCATTTTTGCTTGAAAGTGTAGGTTTTCAAAAAAATTGCAAAGCACTACAAGATGACCTCGCGGATTCTTACAATATCATAATCTAGGTCGGAAGAAAAAAAAACAACAAAAAACATGACATATCTAACACACAAACATTTTGAAGCCCTTTCCATTTGTACCAAAACAGGTGGGAAAATCATTATTGATTTCAAAACGGAAATTTCGTACCTTGATAGCTACCTATGGTGTCCTCCTCTATTAACACCAGCCACCAAGGATCACTATGTGGATTAGAACCTTCTACTACTGTGGTCAAGACAAATAGGAACACATGGACCAGATTTAACAAACAAGTATGATAGTGGAACTATATATTACAAAACATTTCAAACTTTTAGAAGAAGCAACAGAAGGATCTGGATCCCAAACAATGCACTTGTGTGTCATGCAGAACAACCTTCCTCAGATGTTTCACTATTTTTCAGTCCTAGCTCTCCCTTACACAGAAGCATACTAGCTTCTAGCTGCTGTAGTTTCTCACTGAATTTGTGATGGTTCCACACTCACAGGTATAACTACAATCTCAAGAACCAAAAAGACTGTGTTCAGCAAGTAAATGAAACCATGAGTTGTCTGAACATTTATATTCCACATACCACAACCGGTCATTAAGGCGTTACATATTAGCCAAACTTCAATAAAATCTTAAAGGTACACTATAGGTACCCAGACTATTTCATTGACGTGCTCTGGGTGAAGTGACCCTGTCCCCTTAACTGTGCAGTTGAAAACATCACAGTTTTAGAGAAACTGCAGTGTTTTCATTGATGTGTTAAGGCTGCTTCACAGAGTTTAACTTTGCATGAGGACATCCAGTGTCTTCGAAACTCCCGTTGGAAAGCATTGATTCAATGCTTTCCTATGGGGAAGGCCTAATGTGCGTGGCACTCGCTGCACATGCACTTTAGATTCTTCCTTATAATGACGTCAGAGGTGGTGGAGACAATGGAATAAGGTTAGTGTCTAAAGAGCTTTTTAACCCTTTGAGCGCCACGTGGGGGCAGTGGGACACTATAGTGTTATGAATACAGCTTTGTATTGCGAACACTAGCTGTCCTTTAACCTTACAGGGATTTATGTTATGAAAAACGAGTCACCAAACATAACTCACAATATCAAAAAATTCTGCCTTTTAGTTTAATCTTTATGCTAAATTCACAAACAAAAGTGTGGCAAAACGTAAGTATATGGTTAGGTCGTCATGTGTAAAAGTTGAAGAGAAACATACTTGTTACCAGCTAATCGTCTCAACTCTTTCAATGGTAGCCTGATACTGCCCTAGCCTAGCAACCTGCTGAGGAGTACCAGATGGGTGAAACAATCTGTGCGTTGGATTCAGATCCTAAACGTTGAATAAGCAACACACCCACGTCACCAAACTTAAAACCTACAATCATGTATTACGTTGTAAGTTTACATACCAATATGTGCTCTGGCACAAGCTATCTAATGGTAGTAGCCCTTTAAGGGTATCTATAGAAACATGAAGAGTATCTAATCTAATGATTGCATAGGGCTTTGTTTGTATGTGTGCTCTTTTATTAGAATACTGCACTCAGCTGACACTTTATTTGTTCATTAAAGCAAATATCTAATCACCCAATCATATGTCAATAATTCCGTACACAAATTGTTCAGTTGTTCAAATCACACACCAGAAGGGAAACATGAGCAATGTGTCTTTGACGGACCCCTGAAGTGGTTTCAATAAGAGAGCCAACCATCTGAATTTTTCAAGTATATCAAACGTTTACAGAGAATGGTACAAAGGGGAATAAATAAATGAAATCACTTCAGTAAGCAAGTTCGGAGAACAAACACTTTGTTAACAGGGGCCTGTTGAGAATCAGCAGATAGTGCCATTGTCCTGACATCTTGAACCTAACTATAAGAGGAATGAGTTACAACAATAATGGGCAGAAGATCATCAAACAACATATCAAACACTGGAGGGAATGGGCTACAGCAGAGCTTTCCATACTTTTCAGGATGATGACACTTTCCAGACATTCATCATTTCATGGCACGGTGGCAGTCAAGACAGTGTTCTATTTTTTGAACACATCACTTCAGTTGCGGCCGCGTCCCCAGAAGAGACACAGAATCAGAACAGTACATATGTGAGCCTTCGACTGTCTTTCTAACACGCTTGCCCCTATTCACAATATAGTAATATAACATACCCAGCATAAGTATTTATTGTTGCTGGCTGCTTTGACTGGCTGCTGTAGCTGGTAGACTTGTGTGGTTGGCTGGCAGTCCTATTTCTCCCCCAACCCCTTTGCATGTTTCTTTTCCCACCCTCAGTGTGTCTTAGTCCCCCCCTTAGCCTCTCTGTGCCGCTTAGTTTCCTCCCCCCAGCGTGTCCCCTCCTCGCCCTAGCCCCTCTGTGTGCGCCTTTGTCCCCCCGTGTGTCTCTTTGACCCCCCTCAGTCCCTCTGTGTCTGTTTGACCACCCTCAGCCCCTCTGTGTGAGTCTGTTTGACCACCCTCAGCCCCTCTGTGTGAGTCTGTTTGACCACCCTCAGCCCCTCTGTGTGAGTCTGTTTGACCACCCTCAGCCCCTCTGTGTGAGTCTGTTTGACCACCCTCAGCCCCTCTGTGTGTGTCTGTTTGACCACCCTCAGCCCCTCTGTGTGAGTCTGTTTGACCACCCTCAGCCCCTCTGTGTGTGTCTGTTTGACCACCCTCAGCCCCTCTGTGTGTGTCTGTTTGACCACCCTCAGCCCCTCTGTGTGTGTCTGTTTGACCACCCTCAGCCCCTCTGTGTGTGTCTGTTTGACCACCCTCAGCCCCTCTGTGTGTGTCTGTTTGACCACCCTCAGCCCCTCTGTGTGTGTCTGTTTGACCACCCTCAGCCCCTGTGTGTGTGTCTGTTTGACCACCCTCAGCCCCTCTGTGTGTGTGTCTGTTTGACCACCCTCAGCCCCTCTGTGTGTGTGTCTGTTTGACCACCCTCAGCCCCTCTGTGTGTATCTGTTTGACCACCCTCAGCCCCTCTGTGTGTCTTTGTGCCCCCTCCTCTCCTGTGCCTCTCTTTTGTCCCTCTCGTGCCATCTTCTGTCCTCTACCCTGTGCCTGCTCAGTTCTGTGCTTCCTGTCAGACTGGGTAGGTGAAACAGAAGCTCCTCTAGCACAGTCCATCTGCTCAGCCACCCTACATGGAGTGACCACTCCCCATCCGAAAGGACACCTCCTCACGACTTAGATTGTGTAGCTAACACACTAATGTGTCACACCACACAGTTTGGAAAGCTGTGGGCTACAGTAACATTAGACCACACCAATCTCCATTCCAGTCAGCTAACAGGAACATAGGAAAAACGTTTCCTGGCTAGACGAATCTCGATCTCTGCTGCAGCATTCCGCTTGTAGGGTCAGATTTTTTTGTAAATAAGAATCTGTAGACCAGTACTTGGTGGTGGAATAATAGTGTGAGGAATATTTTATTTGCACAGTTTGGGCCCTTTACTAGAAAGTATGCGTGGTTTAAATGCATACAGCATTCATGGAAAGAATACAGCTCAAGTATTGTTGATCAGTATGTGCACCTCTCTTGGTCTGCAGTCTACCAAACCTCTCATGACTGCTTGTAGCATGGCAACATACCCGCATGACAGGGAGTTCAATGCACATCAATATACACAATATCCTTCACCGTCAACATATTAATCTAGTAGTAGAGAACCTCTAAGATGTGGTGAAATTGTTGATTTGTTGCATGAATATGCAGCCAACAAATTTGCAGCCAGTGAACAATGTTATCTAAACATGGACCAGATTCGCTGAGGAATATTTAAACATGGACCAGATTCGCTAAGGAATATTTAATATCAAGAACAACTCAGGCTATTCAGGGGCAAATGGGAGTCCTGCCCAGTATTCGTAAGGTGCACCTAATAAAGTTGCCATTGAGTGCATATTGACAATGCTTTTTTTGTGTGAAAATTCACTCATTCTGATCTGCTGTGTAATTGATTTTATATGCTATTACAGATTTGAGTAACTTTTTCCTACAACCAATTGCCATTCAGAACCTGAGGTATGACAGTGTGATATATTTAGCTTCGTACGGATGTGTTTTTGCAATTTGCTTTTTAGTAGTAAAAAATAAATATAATGATACATATATTTAAATATAAATAAAACTCAAAGAATTCCAGGACGGCTACATGTACACTCTGCTACAGATATAGATTCATAGAATTCAAGGCCAACATAGTCCTGTTTAACGTTACAAGGCTCCTCACAGTCTATGAATAGCATTGGCTCAGACAGGGTGGTGTCAGGTCTCCTTTTATTAATATTCCTTAGCAGTATCTTAAGGTGGTACTACAGGCATTTACCCAGAACAAGATACAACTCACATGTACACAATATGTAAAACAAACAAACTTATTTTAAATAAGTTTGTTTTACACACTTACCCTTTCCAGTGGAAAGGCTCCCTGGGCACTGCTTATCTCTTCGCCTCCCGCAATGTAATGAAGGATCGTCCAACTCAGTAATCCACATAGAGGGGACCTGATGCGCATGCGCAGACAGCGACACGCGCACATCTAAACTTCTCCATAGGAAAGCATGGAATCACTGCTTTCCTATGAGAGCTTCTGTGTCACTTCAACAGTGCAGCAGAAGCTCCTCTAGTGGTTGTCAGTATGAGTGGACTTGACTCTGCAATGTTAAAGGACCACTCTAGGCACCCAGACCACTTCAGCTTAATGAAGTGGTCTGGATGCCAGGTCCAGCTAGGCTTAACTCACAGTGAGAGCACACAAGCGTCCATAGGAAAGCATTGATAATGCTTTCCTATGAGACCGGCTGAATGCGCGCGCAGCTCTTGCCGCGCGTGCGCATTCAGCCTCATGGGAGGAGGAGAGGAGGATCGGAGGAGGAGAGCTCCCCGCCCAGTGCTGGAAAAAGGTAAGTTTTTACCCCTTTTCCCCTTCCAGAGCCGGGCGGGAGGGGGACCCTGAGGGTGGGGGCACCCTCAGGGCACTATAGTGGTCCTTTAACATTCCAGTTTCTAAAAACCTACAATATTTTACTTCGCAGGCTTAAAACTAAAAAGGACCACTGCACCCAGACCATTTCAATGAGATGAAGTGGTCTTGGTGCCTATAGTGTCCCTTTAAAGTTTATTTCTAAATACCACTCCAGCGTGCCACTGCCTCTATAATCAGATATCAAACGGTTTTGAAACAGAAGCAACACATTCATGCCTTGCTCTCACCAGTCACCTGCATAAATGGCCTTATTAGGAACACTACCATAAACAGGACAATCCTACTCTTGATGCAAACATACTGGCAAGGGTGAGTGACTTTCAAGCAAAGCATCTATGAACCCCATTGGCGGCAGCAGCGTTGGACTGGTTGCGTATGCTCAAACTCCGGCCCCCAGATGTTGTTTTACTACAACTCCCTTGATTCTTTGAATTACATAGATAGCCAGAGAATCAAGGGAGTTGTAGTTCAGCAACATCTGGGGGGCCGGAGTTTGACGACCCCTGCCCTAAAGCATTGATACGATTTGTCACTATGATAAAAAAAGACATATGCACTGCTTAAAGAGACACTCCAGGCACCCAGACCACTTCTGCCCACTGGAGTGGTCTGGGTGCCAACTCCCACTACCCTTAACCCTGCAACTGTAATTATTGCAGTTTTCATAAACTGCAATAATTACCTTGCAGGGTTAACAACTCCTCTAGTGGCTGCCTATTAGACAGCCACAAGAGGGCACTTCCTGGTTCATAGCACATGTTTTCTGTGCTAGAGCGTCGCTGGACGTCCTCACGCTGTGTGAGGACCTCCAGCGTTGCTCAATTCCCCATAGAAAAGCAATGAAAAGCATTTTCAATGCTTTCCTATGGAGAGCTCTAATGTGCATGCGCGGCTGCTTAAGGTCTCCTCAGCCGGCGGGATCAGTCTCCGCGCCAGCTAACGTAATGAGCGGCGGCGACCCGAAACCACCATCGAGGGACATCAGCGGGGGTCTCAGGTAAGTCATTGAAGGGGTTTTCACCCCTTCAGCAACCGGGGGATGGGTGGTGGGAGGGAGAGGGGACCTGCAGTGCCAGGAAAACGGATTGTTTTCCTGGCACTGGAGAGTCCCTTTAAGGAGAGATCAGTAAGTGAATCTTTCATAATAGGTTCACTTTTAAGAATCTATTGTTTCCTGCCATACATCAATTTTATTTATAAAGGCTGCAAACCTTTAACCCCTTAAGGACCAAACTTCTGGAATAAAAGGGAATCATGACATGTCACACATGTCATGTGTCCTTAAGGGGTTAAATACACATTAACAAAACGTTACAGTGCTCTCTAGGAGTACCTAAGTCCTTAGTGCAAGTTTGAGCCTGATCCCAAATATACAGCAGTTGAGAAAAAAAGAAAAAGAAAAAGAAATCTCTCTCCAGCCCACCAGCAATTTGCTGAGGCTTGGCTAACGCTGCATGACCTTTTCCCCATTAGCTTATGTCTGGACAACAATGATAGCTGGTTGCACTGGGGGCAGGTTAAAACAGCAATTAAATGACACCGGGGTGTGCAGTTTATAAATAAATATATTCTTTCTTCTTTAAATTTTAGTTTTCGTTTAATAAGACGGACCATACTCCTTATTCACTGTTCCCTCAGTACTGCTGAAACAGCAAAGCCTCTAAACACGCTTTAAAAATACAGTTAACCAGAGACAGATGGACAGATTTATTTTGGCAGGATAGATGGAACTGCAAAGCAGTAGGGATAGATGGATAAACACATGAAACAATTGAAAGAGAATCTCCCTTCAGATAACCATCTAGCGCCTCTTCCTTTCCATGCATAGGGGGAGGATACACGCATTCTATCACAGTGTCCCTCCACCACCCCATCAAACAAAGAGAATGCCTGCCAGCATGTGTCACAGTGACCCTGTACAGTTCAACTGGCTCAATCCCAAACTTCTCAGGAACAGAGAATGAGAGAGGTCTAAAACAAACACTGAAATAAGGGAGTCACACAAAAACCTGGCTGTTTCCACACACCCTCTGTTATCCGATAGCTAACATTATATAACATAAGCCATAAGGTTTTTGGGAGAAAAATAAATAAATATTATACAGAACAAAGAAAAAACAAATCATTTTATTTTAGTAGTATAACTGTTATACGTGGCAAGGTTCAAGAAATGACAGCAATATACTGGGCTGGCCATACAGGTAGAAAATAGAACGAGAGCACAATTAAACAGCACCTGTCACATGAATGTTCAGATGCAGGACCTGGATAATGGCAAAAAAGGCACCAAAACATTTCTTTTTGAGGCATTCTTTCTATAGACATTCATGCAAGCTCAACACGAGTAACATTTTCATGTTAACCTTCCTTCAAAGCAAGTGTATCTGAAATAATATATTCATTGGTTTTCTCTGGCTAGAGAGAGAGATATATATATATATATATATATATATATATATATATATATATTTCATATTCAACCATATCCACAATGCAGCAGTCGCCTTTTCTCACAGCAGACTTGTCCCAACAAGCAACCATTTACTGATATAAGCCAACAGGGAGTCTTCCAAGAAGCACACAGCTCACTGGATTGGGGATTGTAAACCCAATTTGAGGTTTAAATCCCTTTTTAAATTTGTATCGGAGTGGCTGTCCAAACCCTTGGCTTTCCAATTAGTGTCACTTCCAATGCTCGAATGGATACACTGCTTAGGTCCAAAACCGAACACATTCATCAATACTCTTCGGTAATTGTTATTACCTTTCTGTGATGCACAAAACTTTGCCCCTTACTAGATGTCAAATAATCCAACACGTCAACCTAAAACGATGGAGGAATTAAATTCCCCTGTAAAGGTGACCCACCTTGCTAAACTAATCCCAACATATTCCAACAGGAAATGCACTAGTCCAACCCTTCTACAGCTCAAAACCCCCTGTATGGAGGTGTCCCTATCCACCCCATTCTTCTAAAGCCAGATGTACAGTAGTATTATTTAATTTAAAAAAAAATTAGTAAAAAATAAAAATAAATACATTAGTCTCTGACTGTGATAACGAATACGGTTTTATATACCTTGCTAAAGATGAATACACCCAACAAAACTAAACGCCCTTTTCATAGATTTATCATCCATTTTGCGAACTGTGACTACCAGAAACTCATGACAGATACTAAACCCGGTGTTGGAAAGATCTTACGCAGAGAGCTGTATTTCGAGAGCCATCTCTTCCTTTATGATCACCTTACATTTGTGGATTCATAAAGATTAAATTCGCATTCATATGACTACTTTTTCCTTTAATAAATAGGTGGTCATCATAAAATTGATGGACGTTCTGTTTATACTGTGACTTGGTACAAAATGTGGGATGTGAGTCTTATTGGCAAAGCCAGTTTGTTCAAGTTTGTTGCGTGATCAGTATGAGTGAGCACTTTGGGTGGACAAGTGAATCATCACTACTCATGGAATTTGCTGTATCTTCTAGAGAAGGGTTCTCCTTATTGTATACACCTAGCAGTCAATCTTGCCATTAACTTCTATGACAAGAAATGATTGACAGCTGAAAGGATTTATTTTGTTGTTATTCACTACACTGCAAATTATATGCCTTTGCTAGCAATAATTGGTATCAGAATGTAGAAGTGATATGTAAAAGATGTTATTTAAAGTACAGCTGTAAGGAACAGAACGTTAATGAAAAATAATTCAATCCACACTAGGTCCTTTCTTCACCTCTTGGTAAAAAAATTGCTGAATTGTTCAAAAAGAAAATGATGTGCATGCAATGGAATAGGGTACTACAAGGGTAGATACCAGAGATTGGAAATAATAATCTGACAAGCCTGTAACATTGCAGATATCACAATGCCCAAATGTAAAAGTAACATGAAACACAGAACTTAGTTTTATGAGCTTGTAATGTTCACCCTTGGTAACTTATAGAATGGCAACATCTAATCCTTCAGATCAGGTTCTGTCTGCTGAATGTGAAATACTTGGGAACTGATGTCACCCACAGCACAAAATGCCAACCAGGCATTTAAAAAATTAATAGACAGGATGGGATAGTTTGGTGCTGCAATCATACCACCTGCAGGAAGTACATTACAACATCCACACACAATGTAAAAAGAAATCTGTATTCTAATATATATATATATATATATATATCTGTGAAATTGTGATGAACTCACAGCAAGAGCCAGCCATGCAGAGGTCATGGCAGAAAAAGCAGGCCTGGGTCATGCTGCTCGCAGCAAAATAATCTGTCAGTATCCCTGTTAGGTAAATGCCTTTTCAATAAGCTGGCATGTTTTCAACTTGCAGAACTAAAAATTGATGGCAACTCTATGGCACAGGGGCATGCCCTGGCACTCATACTCTGAGGGTGGCACAAGGTGTAGCGATCAATTCGGGAGATTTGAGCAAACATTGTGATTTTAGCCTCACAACAATACCAGGTGACCTTTCACAGCTAGGGCTGATACCTGCGCACACGGAGTACTTTCGGGGTGCAGAAAGTGAAAGGGAGGGGGCATGTTTATCAGGAAAGGAGTAGAGACAATAGAAGTGGTGGTCATATTTTGATTAGGTACTTAATCTCTGCTGATGATTTGGGGTAAAAATTGTTCACTATAACAAAAAAATAATAAAGGGTTTTATACACTGTTAAATCAGTGAACAGGTCTGTCCTCATTAGATCTCATCCCCATCAAAAGGGATGAAAAAGTCCAATGCAATAATGAGCAGACTCTGCTACTACGCTGTGTTCACCTAAAATAGTTCTGTCAACCCCGGATGAATAGTAGGCACATGCAAAAGGCAATGGGAGTGTAGTCTGGGAGTAACACACTCATTGGTTACAAGAAGGCCTCTAGATTAAGGGTGCCCAAAAAGTAGATCCCCAGATCTTGTAGAACTACAACTCCATTGATGCTTTGCATGCCTTTGGAATGTTTTTGGAATGACAAAAACATAGTTATTCTTTTATTATTTATATAGCGCCAGCAAATTCCGTAGCGCTGTACAATGGGTGGACTAATAGATATATTTGTAACCAGACAAATGGACGCACAGGAAGAGAGGGGTATAAGTAGGGGTAATGAAATAGGTTGCTATAAAAGTAATCACTGAGAACTTAGTAGGCTATTTTTGACAGTTACAGGAGAGGAAGCCGTTTTAAAACATCTGTCGAACTACCTTTTGGGCACCCTTGCTCTAGATAATATACATTGGTACCTGCATTTGCAATTTATGTAGCACAAATAACACACCAAGAATAACCAACAGTCCTACAAACGATATATAATCCCCATTTATTTATTTATTTATTATTTATTATTGCCATTTATATAGCGCCAACAGATTCCGTAGCGCTTTACAATATTATGAAAGGGGATTTAACTATAAATAGGACAATTACAAATAAACTTACAGGAACAATAGGTTGAAGAGGACCCTGCTCAATCGAGCTTACATTCTATAGGAGGTGGGGTGTAAGACACATTAGGACAGGAATGTACAATCAAATAAGGTGGGCTGCCCTTTAGGAGAGGGCAAGAGATGGGTATGTGAGGTAGGGGTTAGTCTTGGAGGCCATAAGCTTTCCTAAAGAGATGGGTTTTAAGGCACTTCTTAAAAGATGCAAGACTAGGGGAGAGTCGGATGGCGGTAGGCAGGCTATTCCACAGGAAGGGAGCCGCCCGCGAGAAGTCCTGCAAGCGCGAGTTGGCCGTACGGGTGCGGACAACGGACAGGAGGTGGTCACGGGCAGAGCGGAGAGACCGAGAAGGGACATATCTGTGGATCTGTGAGGAGATATAAGAGGGGCTAGAGTTGTTCAGTGCTTTATAGGTGTGAGTTAGTGCCTTGAATTGACTCCTATAGCACACAGGAAGCCAATGTAAGGACTGGCAGAGGGGTGAGGTGTGAGAGAACCGACTAGAGAGGAAAATCAGTCTAGCAGCAGCATTCATTACAGACTGTAGGGGTGCAGTACGGCTTTTGGGAAGACCAAGCAGGAGAGGGTTACAATAATCCATGCGTGAAATTATTAGAGCATGGACAAGCTCCTTGGTAGTATCTGGTGCAAGAAAGGGGCGGATGCGGGCTATGTTTTTAAGATGGAATCTACAGGATTTGGCAACATGCTGGATGTGAGGCTCAAAGGTGAGACCAGAGTCAAGTATGACGCCAAGACAGCGCGCTTGCAAGGATGGGCTGATGTTGGTACCACAAACTTGAAGGGAGAGCGAAAGAGGAGGATCAGTATTAGGAGGAGGAAAGACAAGGAGCTCAGTTTTTGAGAGATTGAGTTTCAGAAAGCGGGAGGACATCCAGTCAGAGATGGAAGAAAGGCAAGCAGTGACACGTTGCAGGACAGCAGGGGAGAGGTCCGGGGAGGAGAGATATAGCTGGGTGTCATCAGCGTACAGGTGGTAGTGGAAACCAAATGAGGTAATAAGTTTGCCAAGAGAGGCAGTATAAAGAGAAAATAGAAGGGGACCAAGGACGGAGCCTTGGGGGACTCCAACCGAGACAGGGCGAGGGGAGGAGGTATCATTAGAAAAAGAGACACTGAATGAGCGTTGGGAGAGATAAGAGGAAAACCACGAGAGGACAGAGTCACAGAGACCAAGCGATTGCAGAGTTTGAAGAAGGAGAGCATGATCAACGGTGTCAAAGGCCGCCGAGAGGTCAAGAAGAATTAGTATGGAGTAGTGGCCTTTGGATTTAGCTGCGATTAGGTCGTTAGTAACTTTGATAAGGGCAGTCTCTGTAGAGTGGAGAGGGCGGAAGCCAGATTGAAGGGGGTCAAGGAGAGAGTTGGAATTGAGGAAATGAGACACACGGGTAAAGACGAGTCTTTCCAGAAGCTTTGAGGAAAAAGGGAGCAGGGATATGGGACGGTAGTTAGAGGGGGTGGACGGGTCAAGGGATGGTTTTTTTAGTATAGGTACTACAGTGGCATGTTTAAGGTCAGCAGGGACGATGCCAGAAGAGAGCGAGCAGTTGAAGATGTGTGTTAGAGAAGGCACGAGACAAGTGGAGAGAGATCTGATAAGGTGAGATGGGACAGGATCGAGCGGGCATGTGGTGGGGCGAGAGGAGCAAAGAAGAGCAGCCACCTCTTGGTCAGTGGCTGGGGAGAATGTCTGAAGGGTAGGAAAGGCATGATAAATGTGTGGTTGAGAAACAGAAAGGCAAGGAGGGGAGAATTCTTTCCTTAGCTGTTCAATTTTGTCAGTGAAGTAACATGCAAAGTTATCAGCAGTAAGGTTGGTTTGGGGGGTGGCCACAGCGGGGCGAAGAAGTGGCTTCTAGAGAAGGGTTCTCCTTCAATAACAACCAGATTAAACGCTATCCCTTGGTTAAAGGACCACTATAGTGCCAGGAAAACAAACTCGTTTTCCTGGCACTATCGTGGCCTGAGGGTGCCCCCCTTCCTCCCCCCTCTCCGGCCTGAAGGGGGAGGAAGGGGGTTAAACACTTACCTTTCTCCAGCGCCGGGGACTCTCCTCCTCCTTCCGATGTCATCGGCTGAATGCGCATGCGAGGCAAGAGCAGCGCACGGATTCAGTCAGTCCATAGGAAAGCATGCTTTCCTATGGACGCTGGCGTCTCACAGTGAGAAGCGCGGAAGCACCTCTAGCGGCTGTCAATGAGACAGCCCCTAGAGGCTGGATTAACCCTAAAGTAAACATAGTTTCTTTGAAACTGCTATGTTTTCAGCTGCAGGGTTAAAACTAGATGGACCTGGCACCCAGACCACTTCATTAAGCTGAAGTGGTCTGGGTGCCTATAGTGGTCCTTTAACTGTTCTACACTGTATAAAAATAGTAAATTTTGAACTTGCTTCAATACGCAAGAAGCTTTGTCATGTTTTGGCTTTCCGCAACTTTAATTCTTAGCAAGAATTACACAGAGGCTTCACCAGGCTTTCTAGTCATTCTTTAAAGAAGGTAATGCTAAGAATATAGACATTCCTGAGATTAATCACCCACACAACAGTAATGGAGGGCTGCACAGACATATCCATTATCCCGCAGGTAACCTGCAGTGGGCCCCTAATGTTATTATCTGTATGTGAATTTCATCTTTCCTAAAAAAAATATTCTCCAGAAAGGGATAAGTTAAATATATTAGAAAGAATAATGGACACAACCCCCACATACACACCCTGTAACAGGAATCTAAAGCATGCAGCGCTCCTGCTTGATGTGGGAGTCAGCACTCAGCAAGCAGAGATAAAGGATTAAAAACAGGCAGACCTGGGTGCTTACACTTTATCTGACTGTAGGATCCAGAAACTGCCAATTATAAAGACATTCCAGAAATCAAAAATCATTACTTGCAGTGTTATTTACTAAAGTGAGAATTCAGAGTGAATTCAAAGTGAAGTTAAAAGAGCCAAACTAGATACATTCTCAGTCAGCTTTGCTTTCAGATCAGCTACTCTGACCTTAAATTTGAAATTCACTTTGAAATTCTCACTTTAGTGAATAACCCTGTTAGAATTTGTAAGATTAATATACAATACTGATTATCTGTACCAGGTATCTCTTAAAGGAACAATATGGGATCAGAAATACAAAATATGTTTTCCTGACCCTGTAGTGTTAAATATACAATTTAGCTTCCTGACCCCCTTTCCCACCCCTAAATAAGTAGAAACATACCTTCCCCCCTCCCCCTCAGTATCAGAACTGATGATCTCAGCCAATCCAATGCTTTCCCATAGGAAAGCATCGAGAGGCTATTGCACATGCACAACAAAAATACTGCACCAATCAGCATCTCCACATTGTGCAGTACTGACCCAGGAAACTCCTCAAGTGGAAGTCTGAGTGACGACCACTGGAGGTGTCCCTAGGAAGCAATATAAACACTGTCTTTTCTCTGAAAAGGCAGTGTTTACAGCAAAAAGCCTGCAGGGACTGACTAAACCTACCAGAACAACTACATTAAGCTGTATTTGTTCAGGTGCCTAGTGTGTCCCATTATGGAGATTTGTATGCTTAGATGCAGGGCCATTGTATCTGCTTGCTTGTCAAACAAAGGAGTTATACAACTGTATTATACTAGGAGTACCAAGTCCTGCTAAAAATGCTAAAACACAATATAAATAAATGCTCAATAATTAAAGCCTGCCATTAGCAAATTATGCAAGTTATTATAAAATGCGAAACAAAGTGCTTACGCTGTAAAACAATCACAAATGTAAACGTGCAAAATAATTTAGTTTTTCCCTCAGGCCATAACAACAAAAGTGCTTTTTACTTCCTCTTTGTGGTCCTTGATCTGTACAACTTGTGCGGTTTAACTTGCACAAAACTCTTTGTCGTACTCTCCTCTAGTCTGAAGAGGGAAGGAACTGCATCCACACACAGGTGCAGTCCACAGGTTGGGAAATATGTGCACACAGACTGTTTCACAAAAAAAGGTGTACGTGGGTGTGCACAGACTAAATCGGACTTCCAAATTAGTAGAAAATCTGTGCCGGACTCAGATAACTCATGGACCTCCATTCCTCTGAAGGGCCACTTCCCCACCTCAACACAATGATGCAATATGAAAAACAGGCATCTCAGCGATGATGTACAAATAAAACAATTCTATATTGAAAGCACGTATGGCCTGGCTCACAGCAAAAAAACAGACGCTTTTTTTTTTTTTTACCGTGAATCGAGAAATATGTGGTTTCAATAAAGAATCACTTTATTTGCACATCTCGATGTGATGCCAATTATTCATAGTGTAACACAGGGCTCGAATCCTGCAGGAACGGTGTTCCTGCACTTTTATCACAGCAGGAACGCCGTTCCCCCTGAAGGCACTAACCATGGGGCGGCAAAAAAATGCCACCCCCAAATGGCATCCTGTGTTATCCTCCCCGCAGATGCCTGTGTACCTATCAGACGCGGCAAGGGAGCCATGTTCTCCCAGCTCTGCTCCCGCGCACGTCGTTTGCTGTTGCCAGGAGCAGTAGACAGCCCGTGAGGGAGCAGAGCTGGGAGAACATATCCCTCTACCTCACTGCAACCCCACTGGACCCATCCATGCCAGCTTTCCCAAAAGGTAGGGAGGCTGAGTGGGTGGGAAATGTTAATTCTAATAATTTGTATATATGTATGCTAGTGTGTATGTGTGTCTGTTAGTGTATGTGCTTCTGATAGTGTATGCATGTGTATGTTTGTGAGTGTGTTAAATCAGTGAGAGTGTCTATTAGTGTGTGTGTGTCGGTCAGTGTTTGTTTGTGTCTGTTAATGAATGAGTGTGTCAGTGAATGTGTGTGTTACTGTCAGTGTGTATCGGTGAATGCGTGTGCTTAACCCCTTAAGGACACATGACATGTGTGACATGTCATGATTCCCTTTTATTCCAGAAGTTTGGTTCTTAAGGGGTTAAAGGGACACTTTAGGCACCCAGACAACTTCAGCTCATTGAAGTGGTCTGGGTGCAGTGTCCCTGTCCCCTTAAACCTGCAAGTGTAATTATTGAGGTTTCTCAGAAATTGCAATAATTACCTTAAGGGGTAACTCCTCCTTTAGTGGCTGTCCCACAAGAGGGACTTTCGGGTGGTTAAGTGACCAAAAGTCGCCTAACTGATGCTGGACGTCCTCACACTGTGCATGAGGACATCCAGCATCTGCTAAATACCCATAGGATTTTAACCCCTTCAGAGTCAAGTGGGGGAGGGAACCACTACAGGGAATTATAGTGCCAGGAAAACAGCTTTGTTTACCTGTCATGAAAGTATTTTTATTTTTATTTTTAAAAGGAGAAGAAAAAGGTGAAGTCTAAAGAGAAAAGGGTGGGTTCTTAATCAGGAAGAGGTGCACCCTTGACAGGAAGGGGTGGTAAATTTAGGTTAGGGGGGGTGCTCAGGTTTAGTCATGCCTAGGGCAGCCAAAAATTTAAATACAGTATGTGTGTGCCTGTGCGTCTGTGTGCATGCGTTTATATATGCATACAAGTATTTTTTTCCCCCCAGGACTTGACCCCGGTAACATAACTTAGTACTTCCATTCATTTCATATGAAGAGTGGGCAAAGGTTAACAGGATAAGAGTAGAAGAGAAAGGGGGGGGGGCAGGAGGGTGAAAAAACAACCTAGCCCCCCCTTATTTCAAAATTGCCACACAAAAAAGGAGAATGGAATCCTGTATAGTGAGTTTCATGCACCACAATATACACATGGAGCATATATGACGGTGGTGCTTGGAGTGTCTCTTTAAACTTACTTCCTACTCAGTAAGCTCATAATTAGTATTTTATATTTCCACAAGCATTTTTGTAATTAATTTCTGCTGTAATTATACGTTTCCTAGATTTAAACCCTAAATTGCTGAACCACATCATTTAATAGGATGGAACTGTATACAATATTATTCCTTTACATATCTTAATGTTTTATTTTTTTATTACATAATCCTATAAAAAAGACAACCAACCTGATGACAGAGTTATGGATTTCCCAGCCCGGGAACATAAATCAGCAATCAACAACTGTACAAGAATAAGACTGAAATCTATCCAGTTACCTTCCCTACAGCATTTTCCCATAAACTAGTGATGAAACTCTAAAAAGGTGCTCTGTAGCTTGCCCAAGCAGACATGAAGAACAAGTCAATTCTCAGGGTCAGATCACATGGCTATTATATATACACAAAAGAACTTCTTATAACTTTCAAATATTGTACATTCTGAATCTTAACACTTTCTATACTGTGTGCATACTTAAAAACAAGATGTTTTATGAATCATAAATTCAAAATTGACTTTTCTATCCAAAGATTTCCGTTTATAATACAAAGAAAAATGAGAAAACAAGGAGCGATACATGATGTACCACAGCCTTCCGATTCTCAGAAATAAACAGATAAATTGTGAAGCAAGGCAACAATTTTTCAGCATTGTAAAGATCAAAAATGCTATTGCTGAGTACAATTTTAGTAAAAGACTCTGCTTGCCATGTGCAGGGATAGGATTTTACTTTTTAAGCACATCTACAAATTAAAGGATCCTGTTGTTAAACTCCAAATTGCCCAGATATTAGCATCAAGTTTATGGATTTTAAGCTTTGATGCCTTTAGTTCAGCAGGCTAAAATTCAGATATAATTCTAGCTTATTCAGTTTAAAAGTGCAGAATTCAGACATTGTTAAATACCGTTGACAATACCCAGATAAGGCTCCATTCGGACATCAGTGAATAACCCTGAATTGAGCCTTAAAGGACCACTCTAGGCACCCAGACCACTTCAGCTTAATGAAGTGGTCTGGGTGCCTGGTCCTTCTAGGGTTAACCCATGTTTTCATAAACATAGTTTCAGAGAAACTGCTATGTTTATGAATGGGTTAAGCCTTCCCCTATTTCCTCTAGCGGCTGATTTTCACAGTGAGAGCACGCCAGCGTCCATAGGAAAGCATTATGAATGCTTTCCTATATGACCGGCTGAATGCGCGCGCAGCTCTTGCCGCGCGTGCGCATTCAGCCGACGGAGAGGAGAAGAGGAGGATCAGAGGAGGAGAGCTCCCGCCCAGCGCTGGAAAAATGTAAGTTTTTACCCCTTTCCTCTCCCCAGAGCCGGACGGGAGGGGGACCCTGAGGGTGGGGGCACCCTCAGGGCACTATAGTGCCAGGAAAACGAGTATGTTTTCCTGGCACTATAGTGGTCCTTTAAAGCAGAACGGTTACCTTTTTGCTTGCAACAGTTCTATTTTACCTACAAATTTTCATATTGTGCCCCAAGTTTTTCCTGCAGCCCAGTCCTCCTGCAGTGATGTTACCTCCTTCACTGGAGAAATAAGGGGTGAGAGGAGGACACAGCATAGCAGGAGGGGCCTGTGCTGCTACAGACAATGTCGCCAACTTGCTATGCGTGCTGACAACAGATGCCTAATATGCATAGAATTATCATAAGTCAGCCAGGAACGCTTTTTCCGTGCCGACTAGTGACACTGCCGGATGTGGAGTTACAACCTGGTCGCAACCTCAGTATGTGCAACATTTCAAATTGAAATTCTGCACATACAGATGGCAAGCACCATGAGCACTTCAAAACACTTAAGTGGTCTTGGTGCTTGGAGTTATTATTTAAAGGATCACTATAGTGTCAGGAAAACAAAACCGTTTTCCTGACACTATAGTGCCCTGATAATGCCCTCACCCTCAGGGCCCCCCTCCCGTGGCACTGAAGGGGGTTAAAACCCCTTCAGCAGCTTACCTTTATCCATTTCCCTTGGCGCTGTTGACTTCTCCTTCCCCTGCCAACGTCAGCGGAGCCGAATGCACATGGGTGGCGCGCGTATTCAAAGTTTCCATAGGAAAGCATTTCTCAATGCTTTCCTATGGACGCTCTGCGCTATGGAGGCATAATATGCCTCCAGCGTGGCAGATGCGCCTCTAGTGGCTGTCCGGAAGACAGCCACTAGAGGCTGGATTAACCCCAAATGTAAACAAAACAGTTTCTCTGAAACAGCTATGTTTGCATCTGAAGGGTTAAAAGCTGAGGGACCTGGCACCCAGACTACTTCATTGAGTTGAAGTGGTCTGGGTGACTAGAGCGTCCCTTTAAGTACAGTACCAATTCTAATACAATATGTGACCAGGAAATTTAAAAAAAAAAAAATTAAAAAAATAAGATTTAATTCACTGTACTAGATCATTCTTGCTGTTAATGGGAACAGGAGGTATACATGGGATTTTGCTTTAAATATTTTAAACCTTACATCTCCCCATTTATGTTTTATAAAGAACTACTGTTACTGCCTTTTTATTGTAAACGATGATACTGCTCAAATCCTTTTTCAGACAGAATTTAAAGAAGATATATGGCGAGCTGGTGGAAGGGAAGTTAAAGTGATTGTGTAGAGGGAGCTTGCTTCTTCAGACAAAGTTCTGTCTCTAATTCAATTCCAGCTAGTTAGAACATCCAAGTCATGGGATAATTAAAAAAAAAACAAAAAAAAAACATATGGACTCCCAAGATAAGCAGAGCCTTGTATTTCTCGGAATCTAACAAATTATGCAGTTAAGCCCTCCGCTTCTGTTGTAGTCACGAGAAGGGAAGGGCAACCATAAACCACATTTGAAGATTTCCTCATGATACATTGTGAGTTCTTTAGACTTTAAAGGGATACTGAGATTGATACGGAGTACATGATTTTTTATATTATGTATCCAAATGAGATGGCTCATGCATATAGTAACTGCCCACAAATCTGAATTATTATATATACATATACACACACACACACACACACACATACACACTATAATAATGTATGGACTTTAATATGCTCTCTACATATGCAAGCTTGCTTGAGCTGGTCCTCACCACCTTCTGTTCCTGTACATCCAAACTCCAAACATGTCTTCTTGCAACTACATGTTTGTAAGTCCTGTACTTTGTAACAATAAATAATAAGCCAATATCGGGGGGTGGTATGGGTGTGGATAGATAGAGATATATATATATATATATATATATATATATATATATATATATATATATATATATATATATATATATATATATATATTTTTTTTTTTCAAATATAGTGTATATAGCACTCCAGGGACTTTTAATAGATAAAAGTAAAACTTAACTTTTATTGATCATTAAAAAAAAATCAGTTTGTCATCCAAACTCATCAGGATGAGCTAATGCTATAAAAGATAATCTTATACACGCCCCCACCTCATTATTCACTTACCCCATTAGTGCAGGGATTTAATCTGAGTCCGCCTGAACCAGAGCTTGCACGGGTCATTAATTGACCCCGATTAAGTCATCGCCATGTGCCCGGCGTCATGACGTCATCAGAGTTCATCTCCAAGGAAACCGCATCTCTGAGCATTTTTAACCAGCAATCTCTCAATTAGATGTAACCAAAACTTAAACAAGGATAAATAGCAAATATCGTGCAGACATGACTCAGGAAACCACCTACCTAAAAACAAATTGCAATGCTGAGCGGGCACCTATCAGGCAAGATCTGGAAATCCTGTATCAGTCTAAAACAACCAGATGTGACACTCAACATAGTAACTGCATAATGAAATAAAATATCAAACTATCATACTAACTTAGCTGCTGAAAAGATGGTAAAAAAAAAAACCATTCATATTGTATGCATCTTAAAGGATCACTATAGGGTCAGGAACACAAACATGTTTTCCTGACCCTATAGTGTTAACACCACCATCTAGCCCCCCTGGGCCCCTCATGCCTCCATAAATATAGCAACATCTTACTGTATTCAAGCCTGAAGCTATAACTCTGCATGCTGTTTGCCTCAGAAAAAAACAAGCTGTCTGCTGACATCATCAGAAGTGGTAGTCTGATCCAATTACAATGCTTCCCCATAGGATTGGCTGAGACTGACAAAGAGGCAGATCAGGGGCAGAGCCAGCATGATTCAAACACAGCCCTGGCCAATCAGCAACTCATAGAGATGAATTGAATCAATGAATCACAAAGTTACAACAGCCAATCAACACAGTACAGTTCAGTCAGACACTCCCAGCTAATGCACACAAACCCTCCCCCTCACACAATGAGTTCCATAGATTTAGGCTGTGCGGTCGGTCTATTTCACATAGGTACATTTCTAAGTTCCATTCGAATACACGAACGGGCGCCGTTCGTGAAAATATCCAATGTTAACATGGCGTTCGAATAGTCGAACGCACTTCGATTTCCGTTGAAGTGTTTAAGATCCATAAAAAGCAAAGAAGTCAGCGGTGTTAGTGCCGTCCTGTATCCAATTTGAGTTCCATGAACTTGACGGCAAAACACCACTGACCGCGTTCGACTAAATAAAAAATGTCCGCCGCCACCACGTGTTCGTATGTCGACTACTTCGGCTGTATCTGAAGTGCCACTTCAAAAGTGCAAAGCTGTTCCCATATATTTTAAAGGGGCAGCAATAGTGTATTAAAGCCCTACATGCCCAAATAGGGCTTTTAAAGGGCCATACATCCCAGGGCCATAGTGACATGGTAAAAGGCTAGCCATCAGTTCTCTCCTAAAAAACAAGTGGCGAAGGACACTTCGTCACAGGCAGCAAATACCTAACTGGTGCTGCAGGATCTGAACCTCTGTAAAGAAAGCTGAATCCTACATAGCTGACATTCATATATGGACAGAAGGGGAAAATACATTAACCCTTCATGTGATGTGACCATAGAAAAAGGGTTACTATACATGTTGGCAAGGTATGTTGCTTGAATAGACCACAACAAAATGAGCAAACATTATTGAACAATAATTATTGAATAACAAACCTTCCTGTAGTCAAAGGTTTGTGTTTCTCTGGTTAGATAAGAACTATGAAGAATAAGAAGGCAAAGAAGTAGAACAGAGGTATGCAACCTTCAATAGTCCAGATGTTGTGGACTACATCTCCCTTAATGATCTTACAGCCATAATGTTGGTGGAAAAGCATCAGGAGAGGTGTAGTGAACAACATCTGGAGTGACGAACATGGCCTACCACTGAAGTAGAAGAGAGAAAAAAAATAAAAATAAATAAGTTTACGGAAACCGTAAAAAAAAAAAATTAAAAAAAAAGGAAGGTCTTCCATTCTAATATCCTAGTCAACATTTATACCGAGTCATAGTATGAATAAAAGTTTTACAGCACTCTATAACTAATAAATATAGAGGAAATTGTCCTAAGAGAGTCATTTGTTTAGGTAAGTTATCAGCTAGGAATGCAATGGGAAAAAATATATATCTAGGCGCAGGCTGGAAATTTCTGTTCAGAGAGAGGAAAAAAACCATCAACAAAAGGAAATCTATTTGGCTTTCATAGATAGAGGAGTCTCCTCCCTGCTACACAGACCTCTCTATAGGACATGGAAACAATATGATGTTATTAGGTTACATATACAAACAAGGGTAATATTATACAATTAATCATTTTACATGGATAAAAAGTGGGGGACTTCACTAGTTAGAAAAAAGCCGGTGGAAGAGCAGATTCTATATCCATAAGGTCGTTTGTTTACAAGCTGGACCCCTACCTAACCTGTCTGTTTTTGGAAGAATATTGAATGGTACAGCCTGGAGCATTAAAGAAGTGACAGGACTTGAAAAACAACTCAAAATATGCTTTAACCTACGTTTCTCCTAGAGTTAGAAGCTGTGAAGATGAAAGCAGGCCTGTCACCATCAAGTATGTTGCAGGGGAGGACACATTCAGAAAAAGCACATCTGTAACTATGCCTCCATTGCCGTACAGTGGCATCATTAACAGGTGTTACAGGGCAAAAAAAAAAAAAAGTTATATGGATGATATTAAAATGTCTTAAATCACCTCCCCCGGGCAATACCCAGGAGACCCCAACACCGCAAGATCAAACCTCGAACAACCTACACAGGACAGAGGCCCTTGCCACACACACACACGCACTCAATCCCACCTCCAAGACCTGAACGCCAAACACACCAACCACCAAAACCACACTGACAACCCCGACACATTCCGTATGCCCACCACATCCCCAACCTACTATCCACCCCGGACTCCTACCCCCACCCTTCACTCTGTCATTGGAAACACGTGACGGACGGTAACAGAACGAATGTACACTCCACAACTGTAGCGTGTACAACAAACTAACTAACCTCTCTTCATTCTGTATGGAAATTCCATGAATACGCACGCTGAAACTATGCACCCTCATGAAGGCTTTTACATAAGCCATGTTATTGTTTACCTTTATGCTTCCTGTCATTACAAAATAAAAAAAAAATAAAAAAAATAAAAGTACACAGAAGACATGCTGTAAACTCAGCTATCACAAAATGATTTCAAAATTCCTGCACAGCATTGTTTCTCATTTTTCAGTTTATGTTCAAAACCTTCCTCACCTTGCAGTTTGCGAATCCAATGTTTTAAATTGAACCCTGACGCAGTTATTAAAAAACACACACAATGTTCTGCATTTCAAAAAGCGCAGGCATTTTCTGCGTGAAAAGAAAAGAATAATGTGATGTCTGCCACTTCAGAATTATGATGAACAATGTATGTTTTACGAATAATGCATCGTATTTTCTACCAAATAAAGATTAAAATTCCTAGAATAGTGAGAAGAAAAAACGAACAAAAACACCCCATTGTTCAATAATGTGCCATCATTGGGTACTTGCTTTAAAAGGTTTGAGAATATATTTACCATATCTATTCCATCAATCAAAATGTTTTCCTTTCTACACTCCCATACCCGCAGCTATATGTGCAGGGAGCTTGAAAAGGCATGGAGTATCATTTTTCATGGAATTACATTTACACATGTGAAACTGGTTTTCCAAGAAATAAAAAGTAAAACTTTGCCCAACATCAGAGCAGATTTAAAGAGATTAGTGAAAAATATATTAAATGCAAAACATTCAACTATATACACAACAGCACACACCAGATCAATAAAGTCAGGGGAGTGGGAAATACAATTGAATTTCACTGTCCCTGAGTAATATGTTGGAAAGAGACAAACACTGCAAGGGGGAGGTGGGGTGTAATATATAGCACCTGGAGATAAAAAGAATAGATAAACAGTTCCTGGATTTAAACCTGCTCTGTAAAGGCTATAGCAAAGAATGAAATGCATGCAGCAATGGGACCGTGGTTGTGAAGACCCTAATTCAACACATGATGACGGATCCCCTGTGGCACTGAAAATATCACGTCAGATGGCTGCTTACTAACAGGATAATGCTTTAAAGCATGGACCATCAGTAACTGAAAGCAAATTTAAATGGTGACTCCAGCAATGGCCATTTCACTGATATGAAGTGGTCATGGTGCCTGGAGTCTACATGTGCAGGTTTCTCTATGAAACACTGTTCATACCAAAGTTTAATACTTATACTGCCGCAGAGTCGTTGGGGTGTCATCAGCAAATAAAGTCAGTCATTGCCAAAGAGCGGTCAGCTAACGCTCTCAACAAAATGAACGCCGAAGGCCACCACTACTGCAGTCCTTCAGAAGTCGGGAGCGTGTCAATAGACCACCAGAGCCCAAAAAGGAACCCAGGTAGGAAGGGTAAATTGTTGCCAATTCGTTAGCCTCAAAACAGAGCCTGGGTCCTTATGGTATTGTAACCATTACATTGCACTACAGTAAATATACAAAAATAAGGAATTCACTTGAACTCCCACTATTCCTGGACGGCAGCAATGACTATATTACACAGCAGCCCCAATACATACAATAAAAAATAAAATAAATTTAAAAAGCGTTACTTGCATACTATCCCAATGCACATTCAAATAACTGGAGGTTATTTAAATGTGCGTAGGTATTTGGGATAGTGCACAAGTAACTCTTATTTGGTTTTTAGTTCTAGTAGTTATGATGCCCATAGCACACATCCCATGCCTGCACCCCAATAGTCCCCCCCCAGTACACACCCCATGCCTGCACCCCAATAGTCCCCCCAGTACACACCCCATGCCTGCACCCCAATAGTCCCCCCAGTACACACCCCATGCCTGCACCCCAATAGTCCCAGTACACACCCCATGCCTGCACCCCAATAGTCCCAGTACACACCCCCCCACAGTCCCCCAGTACACCCCATGCCTGCCCCCCCCCACATGCCAGCACCCAGCTCTTTCCCCAGTGCACCCGGATTGAGCCATACAGCTCCCCCTGCCAGCACTCACTGTGATATTAACTTCATGTTTCTTCAGCCTGGATTTCAAGCTCTTCATGGTGGCCTCCCCCCGGGTGTCACTGGCACATGCCAGGCAGTGCCTTTCACTCGTCTCACTCCGCCAGCTTTACTCGCACTTTCTCCCTGTGTTGCCCTCAGCGCTGAGCCGCTCCTATCCAGTCAACCAATCCGCTTGCTCTCTGGGTTTAGACGAGCCGATTCTCAGCCAATCGGCAGAGTGGAAAAGTTGAGGGGGCGGAACTTCCTCTGGGAAGTTTTCCCAACAGTTCAGGCACACCTTTCGGCGGGAGTGTGACGTCACGCAGGTGGACGGTGGTCTCAGTATAAAGCCCTGTGTACACAGAGACACTGATAGACTGGCAATAGACACCATGTCACAGGAGAGTCTCAGGAGTGCATGTCCATTGTGAAACCATGTGCAGCTATGCAGTGCCAGCTAATAAGGGTTTCAAAGAAAGTCCCTAATATTTAAAAGACATCATAGTATTGGGTAAAAAGATTAATGCTAGTTAAAGGTGGTTGTCAACGTTTTATTCAATGGTTTAATAGTCAATAGGACAAGGAGGGACACTTTTACTTTAGGGTTTTCAGTATGGCCAAGGCTGTTCTGTGAGGTGACGCCTTACTGATAATTTATGCAACTAAAATAGTATGTATTGTAGAACAATGTATCTTATTTACACAGGCTGATTTCTATTATTATTATATTTATGTAGTGCCAACAAATTCCGTAGCGCTTTATGATGGGTGGACTAACAAGCATGCAGACATCCCAAGTGTCCCAGTAGGTCCAGGATGCTCCTGTATTTGAAGTGTATCTCCCTGACACCCTCAAGTGTCAAACAATATCCTGGAAATCACACACAATCACACACACTGCATTCACTACACTAACACATACTCTGCATTCATTACACTAACACACTCTGCATTCACTACACTAACACACACACACTCTGCATACACTACACTAACACACACTCTGCATACAATAAACTAACACACACACACACACACTGTATTCACTACACTAACACACACACACTCTGCATACACTACACTAACACACACACACTCTGCATACACTACACTGACACACACTCTGCATTCATTACACTGACACACACTCTGCATTAACTATACACACAGCATCCACTACACAAACATCCTGTATTGACAGTACACACACTACATCCACTACACATTCAAACACTCTGCATTCACTATACAGAGACACTGCGTCTAATACACACACAACATCCACTACAGACACTGCATCCACTAAACACATTGCATCTAGTACACACAAACACCACATCCACTACACAAACACACACTACATCCACTACTCATACACACTCTGCGTTCACTATACACACTGCATCCGCTACACAAACACTCTGCATTCACTGCACAAACAGTATCTAATACACACAAACACTACATCCATTACACACATTCTAATTCACTTCCACTATATACACCACATTCAGTCCTGCATCATTTGCAGCGGACTAGGTAGGAGTCTCGTGTGCGGGAGAGGGGAAGGGACAGGGGGGGGGCCCAGACCTTGTGCTGTGTCAGGGGCCCCAAAATTTCTAGTGGCGGCCCTGCCCATGACTATTATTTCTGAGCAGGAGCGGAGTCTGGCTCTTTAAGGGCCAGGCACCCGACCAGGCCTCTGCTAAATGCCCTTAATTTATTGCAGTATTTGCCGGCTGTGAGGAAGTAATAAACAGGGAGGGAGGAAGCTGGAGCACATAGGCAGCATGGAAACAGAGAAGAGGCTGGAGTGAGCAGCTCATGCTCACTCCCATCAGCCTCAGCCAGGACACAAGGTAAGCCAAGGGTAGCTGCAGATCAAATTGTTATGCATTGTGTGTGTGTCAGTGTGTATCTGAGTGAGTATATGTGCCAGTGTGTGTCAGTGTCCGTATCTGTGAGTGTATATGTCAGTGACTGTATCTGTGTGTCAAGGTGTGTGCATGAGTCCGTGTGTGTAAATAGTTTTGTTCTGTCATAAAATATGATGATGTTGTTCATACATATTTGGTGGCTGTGTGTGTTTTGGAACGCGCGTGTATGTGTACGCACACATGTGTGCATGGCAGTGCACACATGGGGTAAGGGGTGTGTATACCGCGAGGCAAACAAGGCATTTGCCTTGGGCGGCACTTTTCAGGGAGCGGCAAAAAATGCCACCCCCAAATGCCCAGGGCAAATGTCTTGTTTGCCTCGTATTATGGGACCCCAAGAGGTGTTAGGCTCCCCCGGTGCAGGCAAGCGGCGAGGGAGCACTTTCCCCTGAGCTCTTGTCATATTCCGGCTCCCGGCATTACTGCGGGTCGCGCAAGGGAGCTGAGCAGAGAGCTCAGGGGAAAGTGCTCCCTCGCCAGCGCCACCCAGGAAACCACTGCCCGCCTGCACGTCCCGCAGCCTCCATGCGCAGCAGCCCCACTGGACCCCAGGTGGGAAATCCACCCAGCTATCCCAAAAGTAGGGAGGCTGGGTGGATTTCAATTTTAAAAAAATAAAAATAATTGTGAGCGTGTTTTAGTGAATGTGAGTGTGTGTCTGTGAGTGTGTATGTCAATGAATGTGAGTGTGTGTGTCAATGAATGTGAGTGTGTGTGTCTGTCAGTGAGTGTGTGTGTGTTTCAGTAAATGTGTGTCAGTGAATTTGAGTGAGTGTCTGTCAGTGAATGTGTGTGTGTCGGTCAGTCAGTGTGTATGTGTCGGTCAGTCAGTGCGTGCATGCGTTGGTCAGTCAGTGTGTATGTGTAGGTCAGCCAGTGCGTGCGTCGGTCAGTCAGTTGGTCAGCCAGTGTCGGTCAGTCAGTCAGTGCGTGCGTCTGTCAGTGAGTGTGTGTCCGAGTAAGTGTATGTCTGACTATCAGTGTGTCAAATCAGTGAGTGTATGTATGTCATTGTTTGTCAGTGTATATGAGAGTGTGTGTCTGTCAATGAGTGCATGCATCTATCAGTGAGTGTGTGCGTCTGTCAGTCAAAGTGTGGCCTTGACAGGAAGAGGTGGGGAAAATTTAACTGGGGATGGGGGGGTGCCTGAGCACAGTCCTGCCTAAGGCAGCACAAAACCTAAATACACCACTGCATGGGGTGTGCAGTTGCTGGTGAAGCCACCTCCCTGAAATAACTCTGCATGTGCAGTGGTTCAAGCTGAAATACTGCACATTCAGACTCCTATCATCCAGACTTCAAAAAGCAGAAGTGGTCATGGTGACTGAAGAAACCCTTTAAAGACACGTTAGTGTGTCTTTAAAGGGCATGTGTCTATTATACCCTCATACACACCAATATACTCTCTCCTAGAAGAGAGGGACATTAGGATAGAAAAGAGGAACAGAGGGACAGGGCACAAAATATGGACATTTGGGAGGTATATAATTTCCAGAGAAGTGACTGTTACCTTTGATTCTACAGCTTATCCATCACGCTTCAATTTTAAATCTGATTTTAAGTTACATTACTACTTGTTACCCTTACACTCAATTTGCCCTGATTGATAATGCTGCACAAAACATGAGACATCTGAAAGGAATGATGTTTTTCACTCGGTTCCTATATTCCTCTAACAAAACATCGATTTAATGTTTTTAGATAAGCTTTTCAAATTATTTAAATGTTTAGAATTTTTTTTAATGATTTACCTACATAAATTACCAATACATATATAGGGATTTTTGTAGATAACTTTTACAAAGTTTTTCTAACAGATTTAAAATGTTTAAAAAGCTTACCCAAAAATTTGAAAATTAGACCAAAGTGTGATATGTATTGACCAGCGGTATAAATTAAACACAGCAAATGAATGCACAGCGAAAGATTGCATGTGAATTGTCTATCAGTTATTGGCATACATGCTGCGCCTTCAGTATCACCCTGGCTGCATTATTTTAACAAATATTGGTTCTGTATAACATGAGTATAAACTTAGTATAATACAGTAATGCTATAGCAACTATCGTGTACCTAGTGTTTTTGCAAACAATTTTATTGACTGTGGATCTTCTGCTCTCGTGACTCATTTGATGTATAAAACACATTGCGTAACTTTATTGTATAGGCTTGACAAAGGCTTTTGAGAGCCGGAATGTTGATAAACTTGCTGACAGAAGGCAAAGTCCTCAGAATCATATTAGTGTGCTTGGCCTGCTGTCTCATTGTGTCAGAAGGTGGTGGCTCCTTAGTACTTTTGCATTTAGTCCCACAATTCATAACTTTGCCATTCATAGACTGGATAACAGACTGCAAAGGCTACATTGAACTATGAGTCTTTGAGGAAGACAAGAGAAGGTAATAAGGAAACATTGTGGAGCTGAGACAGCAAACAGTAGATCCCAAGCTGTTGTAGAACATTTCCCATGATACTTTGCACATATCATTTGGCCAATAAGTTAGGAGAATATCCTGCAAAGGTAATCCATTTATTCTGGAAAGAATTTCAAGTTCCAACATGTCTTAAACATACTCCATTCCCTCCTGAAATAGAGAGACAGGCTCTGACCTTACTATTGCTAAGAGACGGAGGACAAACAAACTTTTATATAGGATGGTAAATAGGGAGAATAGAACCTTTTTAGGAGCAGTCCAGGCAGGAGGCTGTTAGTACTAGAAAACAGGCACAGAACATTGCCTTGAGAGGCCCAACTAAACTCTTAAGAGATGTAAAATGATGCCTGGAAGGAATGTGTGGGAATACCTGATTTAAAGCATCTCCAAAAGAATAGGAAAGTATATTCATTGCTATAAAGACAACAATAAAAAAGTAATGTAAATAATGTACTTCGACTTTGTAGCAAAAATAAGTTTCAGTACAAGGAAAATTAAGAGTCATTAAGAAATTATATCTGACCTAGTACCCTGAGCGTAACATCACTGTGTTTAGTGATGCGATAGATCTACACTTTCTGGGGACTTTTCCCTGGTGTTTTCAAAAGTGGGACACCATGAAACAGAGTTGGAACGATGGGTAGAACCCTGAAGTATGGACTGTCTCCCCGAAATCAATACAGTTGGGAGCAGTGGTGTAACTACCAGGGTCATGACTAGACCCTGGAGTTTTGCCTGTCAGGGTAGCAGCAGTCAATTTACTTAACTTACAATACACTCGCTCGCTTCTGACCTGCACGGA